ATGATGTATATAGACTCAAGGACTGTCGAATTTGTTCTAACACCGGCAGCTCGCCAAAACCAGCCAAAATCCCACCATCTTACTGATTAAAACAAACGGCTATCTGCACTATGCATAAAATATTCTTCGTTTATCTCACCCCGAAAGCAACTACTACATTTTGAGTTGTCCATAGATCATCAGAAAGTAATATTCGACTCTATTTAATTAACGCCAACTTCAAGGAAATGACTCGAGTTTGGGGTAATTTATTCAAGGTAAAGTCTGCCATCTTCGTAATTGGTATGAGTGAGGGAAAAGTGTTAGTATCGTCGTATCCTTTCCATTAGGCAGTTTAAAATCAGGATACGTAACGGGTATCGAATTGTAATAAAAGTTAATGCGTCCGTCTTGGATTTCCTATCGAAGGAATGATAGTGCGATATTAAACATTCCAAATTGAGTTCTTTATCATAAATTAAATGGTTATAAGGAATTAAGTTTAATAAGGAAGAATAAAAATTTTATGTTCGCAAAGAAAATTAAAAATGCTGTTGGAATTTTTAATGTGCAAGAAATATTTTACTTACATGATACATTTTTATTTCCTCCATAAAAAAATCTAATGCTTCGATATATTTTCTGTAAAATTTTTCCCTCAAATATACTTGGTTGCTAATCTCTTGTAGTGCAGTGAAATTGACGTAAGGACTCCATAAATTTAACAGCATAGTTATACGCATACTTCGGATGCATTTTTTGTAAAATATTTCCATCAAAATGAAAGATTATTTATCTTTTACAATGCTGTGTAATCGATGTGCCCATTGCAATAATTCCACAGTTTTGCACAGATCTTCTAAAGAACCCCCCATACGTTTTTCATTTAAAAGTAGTTTATTTATATTAACATATTTATTAAGGGTAAAATATATATTAGAATTAAATCTCACCATAATATTATGTAAAGGATTGTACGTAAATAAATAAAAAGAAGAATCTGAAATTTAAATTAAATACGTGACAGTTATATTTTTGCTTACTAATCATAGCAGTAGAAATTTAAGATTCATGAAATTGATGTGATATTTTAATTTAAATAGAAAGCTTAATAGCATTTCGGGAAACGAACTTGGTTTAACTACATCTTATACTAGGGGACGAAGCCCACTATTCGCCGAAGCTCATCAACCCCGATGATTGCTTGGCAATAATTGCTGTTTCTTGGCATGTAACAGTTTAAATTATTCAGCTGAAAATCTATGTACTAAAACGAACACTTGTGCCTCCACTTCCCACGTTCAAATACGAGGGTTGTAAATTAAATAGTGGCAACTTAACCTTTAAACTCACAGAAGGACGGGCATGCGCAAATTAGATATGGGAACTGTGAGGTGGGGCTGTTGTCGATGTGTAGAGTGCAAAAAAAAGTCGATTAGCTTAGAAGGGTAGTTGTTGTGTGGCGTTAAAGTGAGGAGTTTCGTTTCCATCGCTCTAAAGCATGTTGTGAAAAGGCTTAATGACGAAAAAAGACGAGATGCTTGAATCCATCGTGCTACTGTCCTATATGGTAAAGCATTTGCTCCAAAGGCTTCCACTAATCCTCGATAGCATTCTGTTGCATTTTTGCCACGGGCAACCTCGATTGTAAGCCACGACCGCTGATCACCTTTTGAAAACATGCTTTAGAGCGATGGAAACGAAACTCCTCACTTTAACGCCACACAACAACTACCCTTCTAAGCAAATCGACTGTTTTTTGCACTCTACACATCGACAACAGCGCCACCTCACAGCTCCCATACCCTATTTACGCATGCGCGCCCTTTTGTGAGTTTCAAGGTTAAATTGCCACTATTTAATTTACAACCCTCGTATTTCCCTTATTATACAGGGTTATTCACAATTCCCTCCGGGGTTTCGAAGCGCTATAGTAAAAAAACGAAGACGAATATAGCAAAAAAGAGCATATGAAATTATTCCGAAAGTATTCAAGTTTTAATTTAAGCAGTTGCCAGTAGATGGCGGTAGCATGTATCACTGAAGCCAGTTGTAGTAAAGAAAAATGGCGTTTACAGGCGAAGGGAATTATGAATAACTCTGTACTATTAAGATCTATAAGTGAACATAAATCATTTTTTCAAATAGCATTTAAAACTAAAAGTATGTTACAAATCCAATTTAATATTTTTGCTTACCAAACACACGAATGTATTTTAAAAACAATTTTTGCATTTATCACTTTGTGCATGAATCTGAAAGTTAAGGTTCTAAATCATTTAACGATTCTCTCTTTAACCGTAATTTATAATAGCATACTAATGTTATTTGCACCAAAAAATAATAATTGTAAAACGGTTAATAAGATCAAACAGCGATTTAAATAACTTTATCTTAAAATGTAACGTAGAATTGCAATATTCTAATAATAATAAAAAAAGGCAATCCTCCTAAACTCTTAATTTAGAAATCAAACAAAATCAAAAACGTAATAATAACAGTGCAGGTAATTTTAAACGTTAAATTAGGAAAACAAAAATATTCATAGGAAAACGATAACCTCATGACTTATATCAATTTTATGCTGATGACAACCAAACTCATATGAAAATTAATGTGGGAAAACTGGATCCTGCCATGTGATTTTCCAGTCAATAAAAATTTATTGCCAATACTGGAAAACTGCGACACCATCATAAGATGTTTATGTATCTTATAAACGCACACAATGTGTTTCAGTTGAGGAATTAAATAGTTTCTATGCGCAACAACGAAATCAGAAAAGATTAACTTTAGGTTTGTGATGGTTATAAAATGGTTTCTGATAGTTCAATAATCGGCATTCATAAATACAGTCATTTGAAAGAAACAGTGTATTCTGAACGATTCCTATTATTTGACAGAGAAAAAATGAATTTCTTGTTTTCGATAAAGGAATTGTAGAAAATGTTTCGATTTTACCTCAGAGAACAAGAAGAAATTCAGCAGAAGGCGAAGTATATATCTTAAAAACATGGCGGAATGTGTTAAAATTGTTCGTAATATTTAAAAATTTATTAAATCTTTGATTAATAAGTACATATGTTCATGCGTAGATGACGGCATTTCTTCTTTGCCCAAATCGTAAAAAAGGCAGGAACATATTTTTTCCCCCAGCGATTCATCCAAAGAACGAAAGTATTAATTTCAATATTTATATGTGTTTAACTCAGTTTTAGAACCAGCGTAACGTGCATTATTTAATTTCAGTTATAATCATATTATGAACTAATTGGCTACAAAAACATATACCATTTCTATAAAATGTATTTTTTGCTTCGTTGAATTCTATCACTTATATAAATAATTTTACTCTTATAAAGCAAAATAATTTTTACCCCTTTTGAGTAGAGTAATCTTTACTCTTCGAGTAAAAATTTTAAAATCTATCGAAATTTACAACCATTTTCAAATAGAATTTAATAATTTAATCTCATACAGTTGAAACTAAAAACGTAGACTTTGTCAAGAATTTCTCTTACAAGATTACATTAGAATACAAAATGTAAGTATTATAACTTAATAGAAGCATTCAATGAAAAATTATGGTAAAATATTAATTTTATTAAATAATAATATTGACATCTAAGTCAAACATGGAGCTTTAAAAAAAATTAAGTTCAAGAAGTAAGATTTTTAAAAATCTAATGTATACAATTATTAATAATCCAACTGGTCATTTATCTTCAACAAAATTGACTTTTATTCTTCGTTACTTTATATAAAGTTTAACCCGTCGCTGTCATATGTGTCAACTCTGATTTAACAAGACTTTTTACTGTTCCAGTCATATGTTTACTCTGCACAGCAAAGAACAATGCTGATTTTATAAAATTGAACATCTCTGTTCGCTTGAGTCATTAAGCTTTGGAGATAAATAAAATTTTAAATATGTAATAATTTAATAGGACAGCAAGAAGTGTAGGATGCACGCCAAAATCAAACTATAGGTAAACTATGGGCATAGGTATCATGTACTATAGGTAAACTGCATTATGGCGCAAATACAAAAAACTGAAAACTAAAGGAAACGATTACTAAAGGTCTGGTTTCTTAGGACAAGCGCCTTATCTGGGCGTCAGCGGGACGTCAACGTCCCGCTGACGCCAGCAAAATACTGTTTTGCTAGCTCAAGGCCTGGTTTCTTAGAACTAGCGCCTTATCTGGGCATCAGCGGAAAGTTGACGTAGAGCTGACGCCAAAAAAATACTTTTTTGTTAGCTCAGCGTGAGCAGTCGGTCCAACGCAGACATTATCTCTCATTGCGCATGCGTTAATAACGTAAACAAATATTTATTTTGAATTTGTATTGATTTTGTTATTGTCGACCAGTGTTTTAGAGAACAAATAATGACTTTGTCCAAGAAAAAACACATTATAGCTGAGCTAAATGAAGAGTGCTATGTTTAATGAAGAAGCTATGTTTAATGTCAAAATCAAAATCTTGGCTGATTTCAATGTGCTGTTGGATGTTGTCCGCCATTGCTTCTGTGGTTAACGTCACGTTGTTATCCAACTGCAGTTGAGTTGGACGGCAATTGTAGTTCAAGATGAGCGATCGATGACGTATACTATCAAACTTACAAATGGACCAATCAGAGGTTAGCGCTGATTTCCAGCTGACGGCGTCCTGTGCTAAGAAACCGGGCCTTAACCAGGCCATCAGAATCATGGAACTCTTATTTACTTTAAAAAAAATAAATTAAAAAAATAATAATAAATAATAGAAAATTATAGTACTATTCTAGCTAAGAAATAAATTACTTTTCAATTTAGCTGTCATTTTTTGATAATTTAAAACCAATTTTTCATCGAACGATTTAATAAATATTTCTGCTTTTAGTTTTAATTATAACAATACTAATCATTCAATAATTGCATATTTTTATGCAAAACGATTTCTTCCCACCCGCAAACTGATAATTCAATATTATATGATACAAATACATTTCAATAAAACTATTTTTCCTTTTCTATTTCAGTACGCAAACATAGGAATAGAAACTGATGAAAAAGGAGTTTGTGTCCGTCCTTATGTCCGCATGCATGCGGATGAAAACATTAAGTCGGGTAGCAGCGACCCAGATTATACGTCCAGCAGTGAACAGTCGTGTGACACAGTAATCTATGTGGGTCACCTTTCACATGGTGGTCAAGAATTCACGGACAATGAAGGCCCTCCGTCATCTTTACCAATAGTTCCTAAACTAAAACAAACTCAGAGCAAAGCACATTCTAACGAAAAGAGTTCGACCTTAGAGAGAAAAAGGCACAATTCCATTAGCAAATCAGGGCCATCTTCAGAAGAACAGCGTAAAACAGAAGACAAGTCATCCAATCTTCAAAATGAGGGCCATCATGCAAGCTCAGGAAAAACTAATAAATCTGATAAAAATCTATTAAGCTCTAAAAATTCATCTTCCCTACAGCGGCATCAACCAGCTAGTACACAGACTTTAGGAGCGGATAATAAGTCCGCTCAAAATAGCCCCGTGCATGTTCAGAAAAAAGCTAAACATCGGACATCTCAAGCAAAACAAGATCAAATGACAGATGCTGAATTGCTTGCATCAGCAGTAAAGAACCAATCCCCTTGTAAAAATTCGAAAAAACAAAGTGATGAAACTTGGATAGATGGCCCGCGTTTTACGAAACCTAAATTCGACTCTAAAACACTCCATCAATTGCAAAAGGAACAATGGGTTGATGGCCCACCAAATATGTATGGTTTTATGGACCACCATAAGCAAGACATGATACAAAGATGGATTGAGGAGCATTCTCGACAACTTCAGGGATCACCGAAAAAGAAGAAAGATGAAGTTTGGATAGATTATCCTAAGGACTCTGCCGATAAAAATAATTCCAGTAGTGAAACCACTAAGAACCAGACAGATGGCTTATACGGAAAAATATCGAAAGAAGGTAAAAACGTTTGTAAAGAAAAACATTCAGATGAAGTCCGCAAGGATGAGAAAGATGATTGCGCTGACAACGCTTCGTGTGAAATGGAAGTCGTAGATGACGAGGCAGATAGTGCCAGCAACTCGGCTGATGTCGATGAAACTGATAACGAGGAAAACGCAGAAGCAAGTGGCTACGATTCAGATTTGCATATTTTAAACATTTCACAAAATGGTATACAAAATCAATCTTTGTGTACATCAGCATCTGCAAATACCTTTGATATATCTGATGATTATACAGACACCATCGAAGTATACGAAACTGATGAATCAGTGCCTATGGTAGATTCATGTCTTCAGGTTACTGAAGAAGACATATTAGCAGAGTATTGGATGCAACAAAGACGGAAATCATCTGAAAATCCTTTACCAGAAGTTGATCAAAGTAACCGCGAGCATCCACTTCGAATATTAAGTGAAGAGGGCTTAAACCTTCCATCCTCATTCACAGATTCTCGTTCTGTTAGCGTAGATTTGGACAACATTAGCGTTCCTGATACCGGTGAAAGCTTAAGAGATCGTAATCAACTAACCTGGCGTCTCTTGTATGGCAATATGTTCCAAAAAATCAAAGAGCAACACCAGCAACGTAGAACTGCAGATGACTTATCATCTGAAACAAATAGAACTATGAACGAGAAACTAGAAAGAATAGCTAGGTTGAGAGATCTAATTCAGCCACTAACGAGGCACCGAAGTCAAACAAAAATCGAATCAATATTTAAAACATGTCCTATTGGTAAATTACCTTCCTCAGGTTCTCGATACACATTACCAGAAATTTTAACTGATAGTAGAGATTCTAGTATGGAAGATTTATCTGCTGCAGAGGTGATAAGTACCCAAAGTGAACCAGCTGATTTAGATATAGATAAATATGATTTCAAATTAAACATTAAACCAATGAATGGATTGAAATTAGAAGCTTACTTCAGAAAAATACAAAAAATGCCACCCTTCTTAGAACAATATTCCTCCTTGAAACCTACTCAAATCGTGCCTCCTTTGAGTTATGAACAAGAGAAACTGTATTTGTTAAACAAAATGGAAACGCAGAGATCTGAAAGTATGATATTAGGACATTCTAACTATAAAGAAATGGATTTTTCTAGTTTTAAAACTGCGCCAGAAATCTCAACTATGGAAAGCAAGTGCATTGATATAAAATCTTCCACTAGTTCACTGAAAGATTCAAACTCAACCACGCACATTAATAAACATTTATCGACCACTAGTTTGCCTAAAGAATCATCTAGGCACAGCTCTTCCGAAAATATCATTCAAAATAAAAATCAAAAAATTTCAGAATCATCCACTGAGCTTGATAAAAAACACACTGATAGAAAAGATTCGAAAAAATCCATGGATTCTATCGATACTTCAAGGCGCAACGAAATAAAATCTTCCAAAACTTCAATTAATAAAAATGTAGATATTTCCCAATTAACTGTGGGCCAATCTCCCAGCAGTAACTCAAAAACCAGACACAGGGGAAAGGTAAAAAATTGCGAAGGTAATAATATATATTCGGAACCAGCATCTACTCAATCATCCTCTATTTCCTTATGGAGTAAAGATACTTCAATGTCCTCGAACTCGTCCAAAATGGCGCACAGATCTGGTGTCAATCCTAATTCTTCCTTAAGGACTTCAAATAAATGCCACGTTGGAAATGGTAACATTCCCAATGGTGGCAGCAAAACTTCAAAGACAATAAGCAATTCCAAATTACCTCCCAGGTCAAGTCCAACTGATAGTAGTACATCTGGTGTTACCACTACGTGTTGTTCAACTATGAAAGGTAAAGACAAAACAGTGTCATCTAAAAACAAGTCTCACGTTAAACAAAAGCAGAATGCAACGGACAGTAGAAAATCTCAAAAAAATAAAAGCCTCTGCAGAAGTACCAGTTCTCCAAGCACATGTGTAGATAGCGGAGATACTGCTATCACTGACTTTACAGATAGTGACCATTACCATAATTCTCGACATGCGAGTGTGTCAGGTGCCCTAGCGTCTCCCTATCATAAAGTACCACAAGTTCATGTTAGTCATCATCATCATCACCACCACCATCATCAAAGGACGAGTAGTGGTCATGGTAGTGAAAGTAGTGTGAATAGCAGTGAGCCACGGGAGGCAAAAGAATTGCTTCTGAAAGGAACTAAAACGCAACAGTTTTCAGGGACCAGCAGTGGTTATGAAAGCATGCTCAGAGACAGTGAAGGTACTCCTCTTTCATCTAGCCAAGAATCAGGAAATGAGGATTCTTTCGACAAAGGCGAAAGAGGGCGAAGGGGAAGAAGAAAATCTACAGGTAATTATGAGTTTTAATTCGAATCATTAAGGGTCGTTTTTGAAACTGGGGTGCTTAAACAGACGAATTATTTGTGCCAATAAGAGTGAGGAATAATAATATTGCTAAAAAGAACTTACTATCATTATTTTGAACATAACTAATTTTTAACATAACTTGGACTTGGAAAACTTCATTTTAAATGGTACATAAAATGTTTTTTTTTTTTTTTTTTTTTTTTTTTTTTTTTAAAAAANTTTTTTTTTTTTTTTTTAATTGCCTTTGTCTACATTAGCCGCTGACATGGGATTAAATATGAACAAGTCATAATATTAATTATTTATTTAATTTAATACTACCTGTAAAAATGGAAAAAATTTTAATACAGAAATACAGTTGTGAGTAAATAATTTTAACTAATTTTATTTTAGTTACATTAGAACGCAATAAATATTAATTTTTACTTAATAATTGAACTATATTCAAATTTTGTGAGAAAAAAAACTTTTTAAAAAATGTTTTAAAGACTAGTTACTTCAATAGAAAAATATTTTTTTTAATTTACTCAATAAGAAAAAAGCATTATTTTATTAATTAAAACTAATGATTTTTATTTTATTAAGTCGCTTGATGAATCTATATTAAATAGCGACTGAGTGGCAGAAGCATTAATAGAATTACGGAAGTACACATTTTACAACTGCTATAGAAAATTGTAAAATTCTATAAGTAGCCAACACTATCAGCTAAAAAGAAAAAAAAGAACTAAAAATGAGTTAAAGCATTAGTTTTTTTCCTAAATTTTATTTTATTCAAAAACAAATCGAATATAATAAATAAAATATAGAAAAAAATTTTGATAGACTAAATGCTTAACAAAATAAACAATTTTTAAGTACTTTACAATAATTAATCGTTGCATTGTCAATTTAATTAAATGCTTTACAAAATTAATCTAATTTTATAAATTGATTAAATATATTACAAAATTAATTAAATATTTTCGAAAGCTAATCTAAAATTAGTAAATAAATACCATAATGAATAAATTGTTGGTAATTAACCCGTGCTATCACAGAAAAGTTAGTAAATGGCAAGTCCACACAAGTCCCGGAATGCCATTTTTCATTTAAGAAAACAGTAGTAACTTTAAAATGTTTTTTTTTTTGTTTTTTTTTTTAATTTTAATACTAGAAAACTCATTTTTGGTGCTCCAGCTATGCATTACGAGCATAACTAATATACCAAGTTTCAAATGAAAATATTCAAATATGAAGATAATTAAAATATACTTTTAATTACATTTAATTTTTAAAAAAAGTTGCTTGCACTACAAATCTTTAAAAATAATTTTAATTATTTTCTAATAAAACTGTTTACTTATAAGTTTTGGAACAAATGCTACTCGAAATGGTTCCAAATATATATGTTTGCATAGTTAAAAAAAATTATAAAATATTTAACTTTCATAAACTTTTCCTTTTGGTAATAGTTAGTTGTAGCTGTTAATATGGTTCTTCAAAGCTCTTTCGCTATTGAAAATACAAAAGCCATGGTTTAAGTGCCTTAGAATTGAAGCAAAGCTCTAATTTTAAACAATATATGCCATGCCGTGAAGAAATAATTGAGCTTTAGAGCAGACAAATAGTTTAAATATTTCAAAAGTTATTAAACTTTTCTAAAAATCACCAATTTGGTGACATTTTTCCCCTAGATTAAAAGTGTCAAAATCGATACCTTATTCTCATTTTTTGCAATTTTTTATGAGCGAACATTATGCAGCATAGTAAGTTTTAAGTATTAAAATATCAGACAACAAACGTTTTTCATTTTTCCAAAACTGCGCCATTTTCAGAGTAGAGGACGCCGGTTAAAGATGGGACAAACTTGACCTAAATGTCATGAGTAACTTTTGCAAACTGACGGAGTTGTGAATATAGCATATCTATTATAAGCAAAAAAGCATCATTTCATGGGACGACAGAGCCTACGAAATACAGCTTTAAAAAATGTGCGGTTGCTTAGTTTATACTCAGACATAATTCCTACGTTCCGCAAATTGTAAAATATAGATATCCTGCTTCAAAATATTCTTCTTACCTTAAATATTTCGTAAATTCAATGGTAGCGATCAAAAAAATTTCTATGTAGAAAAAATTATAATTGCTTTCATTTACTTTCCTTTTTTTTCTTAATCCTACTTGAATTGAAGTGTTTAAGACAATATAATAACAAGCCCAATTCTCAAATTGCACGAGTGTTATTTGTTGACTAACACCACAAGTTTAACACAGGCAAATAAGATATTTCGGTATATTGTGTTCTTATTTATTCTGAAGACTGATAAAAGTGTCTATCTGGAAACAATATTAAAGTAAATATGTTTTGATATCGACATAAAAATGTAACCTTTGGAAAAAATGTGGCTTATCACTATAATGCCCCAATGCCTTCAATTAATTGAACATTTTTTGGATTTTTGTAGTTCATTTACGTTGCACTAAAGCTGCACAATGGGCTATTGGCGACAGTCTAGGAAACATCCCTGAGGATGATCCGAAGATATGCCATCACAATTTTGATCCTCTGCAGAGGGGATAGCACCCCCGCTCAACACCTCCTAGATAAGAGCAGGCCTCAGCACGGGTTACCATAAATATCCTTTAGTAGTCCAAACGTNTATATATATATATAAATTGCCTTTGTCTACATTAGCCGTTGACATGGCATTAAATATGGACAAGTCATAATATTAATTATTTATTTAATTTAATACGACCTATAAAAATGGAACTAATTTTAATACAAAAATAGAGTTTTGAGTAAATAATTTTATTTTAGTTACATTAGAACGCAATAAATAATAATTTATACTTAATAATTGAACTACTATATTCCAATTTTGTAAATAAAAAAAAAAATGTTTTAAGGACTAGTTACTTCAGTAAAAAAAAATTTTTTAATTTACTCAATACGAAAATAACATTATTTTATTAATTAAAACTAATGATTTTTATTTTATTAAGTCGCTTGATGAATCAATATTAAATAGCGATTGAGTGGCAAAAGCATTAATAGAATTACGGAAATACACATTTTACAACTACTATTGAAAATAGTAAAATTCTATAAGTAGTCAAGAGTTTTACCATTATTTTTTTTTTTTTCTGATCAACACTATCAGCTTAAAAAAAAATTTTTTTTAAAATATCAAAATGTGCTAAAGCAATAGTTTTTACCTAAATTTCCACTATTCAAAAACTAATCGAATATAATAAATAAAATAGAAAAAAAAATTTAGATAGACTAAATGCTTAACAAAATAAACCATTTTTAAGTACTTTACAATAATTAATCGTTGCATTGTCGATTTACAAAATTAATCTAATTTTATAAATTAATTAAATATTTTACTAAATTAATCAAATACTTTAGAAAGTTAATCTAAAATTAGTAAATAAATGCCATAATGAATAAATTGTTGATAATTAACCCGTGCTATCACAGAAAAATCAGTAAATGGCAAGTTCACACAAGCCCCGGAATGTCATTTGTTCATTTAAGAAAACAGTAGACCTTTAAAATGTTTATTTATTTTTTAAATTTAATACCATAAAACTTCTTTTCGGTGCTCCAGCTATGCATTATAAACATATCTAATATACCAAGTTTCAAATGAAAATATTCAAAAATGAACATAATTAAAATATACTTTCAATTAAATTTAATTTTAAAAAAAAAGTTGATTGCACTACAAATCTTTAAAAATAATTTTAATTATTTTTTAATAAAACTGTTTACTTATAAGTTTTGGAACAAATGCTACTCGAAATGGTTCCTAATATATATGTTTGCACAGATAAAAAAAATTATAAAATGTTTAACCTTCATAAACTTTTCCGTTTGGTAATAGTTAGTTGTAGCTGTTAATATGGTTCTTCAAAGCTCTTTCGCTATTGAAAATACAAAAGTCATGGTTTAAGTGCCTTAGAATTGAAGCAAACCTTTAATTTTAAACAATATATGCCATCTTGCTGTGAGGAAATAATTGAGCTTTAGAGCAGACTAATATTTTAAATATTTCAAAAGTTATTAAACTTTTTTAAAAATCACCTATTTGGTGACATTTTCCCCCTAGATTAAAAGTGTCAAAATCGATGCCTTATTCTCATTTTTTGCAATTTTTTTAGGAGCGAACATAATGCAGCATAGTAAGTTTTAAATATTAAAATATCAGACAACAAACGCTTTTCATTTTTCCAAAACTGCGCCATTTTCAGAGTAGCGGACGCTGATTAAAGATGGGACAAACTTGACCTAACTGTCATGAGTAACTTTTGCAAACTGACAGATTTGTGAAAATAGCATATTATAAGCAAAAAAGCATCATTTCATGGGACAACAGAGCCTACGAAATACAGCTTTAAAAAATGTGCGGTTGCTTAGTTTATACTCAGGCATAATTCCAACGTTCGGCAAATTGTAAAATATAGATATCCTGCTTCAAAATATTCTTCTCACCTTAAATATTTCGTAATTTTAATCGTAACGTAATTTTCTATGTAGAGAAATTATAACTGCTCTTATTTTCTTTTTTTTTTAATTCCACTTAAATTGAAGTGTTTAAAACAATGTAATAACGAGCCAAATTTTCAAATTGCACGAGAGTGTTATTTTTTTGACAAACACCATAAATTCAACACAAGCAAATAAGATGTTGTTGTTCATTTACGTCGCACTAGAGCGGCACAATGGGCTGTTGGCGACGGTCTGGGAAACACCCCTGAGTATAATCCGAAGACATGCCATCACAATTTTGATCCTCTGCAGAGGGGATGGCACCCTCGCCATGGTAGCCCGACGACCTGCACGCGAAGTCGAGCACTTTACGTTAGAACAGTTTAACGGTGACCAATACCGAACGCACACCCTCAGTCCCTACGCAGACTAATCTAAAGGCCTGGTTTCGATGACGATAGTGTACGTCATGGAACGATCATCTTGAACTCGATGACGTATACTATCAAACTCACAAATGGACCAATCAGAGGTTAGCGCTGATTTCCAGCTGACGGCGTCCTGTCCTAAGAAACCAGGCCTTATGTGGTCATACCACACGCCCACCGACCACAGCCAGTGATGCTTGACTTCGATGATCTGCTTAGTTTTTTCTGTTTTAAAACGAGAAATGGAACTTTAGATGAGCTCTGCGTATTTGATAGACACGTGAAAAACTAATTTTGATCAAATTTATGTCATTTAATTTCAGGGTCCAGCAAAAGAAGTTCATCTGCCCCTGCTCGAAGTCCTGCCTCACCTTTGGGTCGTTCTAATTCCTCAGCCATCAATCAACAGCCAGTGTCCAACAGTAGATCCCACAGAAGGGGAGATCGAAATGCGCATAGATCTGACGAAGAAGTAGGATGTACGAGTCTGCTCTGCTGCCGATTGCTGGACTTTTACTGAAGAACTTCTTTTTAAGCAAAATAAATTCACCATTAGTGCCAATTTTTACCATTCTCCGCTCCAGAAAACATAGTTATCTACTTTTGAAATCGGACATTATCAGATTTAAAGAGAAGTAAATAAATGTGTTGAAAACTATATATGGAACATTTATGATAAATAAGCAATGTAAGAATGACTGTTTATAAGTAAAATGAAGAAATCAATTTTGTATTATGGAACTTGATGAGTGAGAAGCTGATTTGTTTATTGATTTGTAATAACAATAAATTTAAAATATTTAATATTAAGACTGTGGTAGTATTAATTTAAAAACAGACAAAACAGAGGGTCGAAAAGTGAAATGTTTAAAAAAAAAACTTTTACTTTTAAAGTAACGGTAATGAAAATCAATTCAAAATAAAATATGAAAGTTAGTCAACGTCGTGAAAGTTGTATTTTTTGATAAAAATTCTCTCATCCTAATCCCTTTATGTCGTTATATTTTTGAAGAAAAAAATGGCCATAAAATTGCTTTTTTTTTATTCAAAAAAATTATATAAAACTAAGTGTATGTATAATCTATGTATTCATTTTAATTTTAGATTATTTTTAAGCTTGAAATAATAATAAGTGCTAACATCTAATTTAAAATAAACTACACATTACAATTAGTCTGGTACTGCCATCTGGTGTATAGATTGTGAAATTAACATGATTCCAAGCATCAAAAATAGATAGTTTCAATATTTTTGACGTGTTACTTTTAAACATTCTAGAGTGGAAATAACACGGGTGAGAAGCATAGGAGGGAGGAAACTTCACCCCGTTGATGGGAGTGAGTAGGAAGGGTTTATAATGAGGTACAAAATACAGTGGGTGATCGGTTAACGAACTGATCGGTTAACGAACACTTTCACAAAAGATTTTTGTGTTCGGATAACGAACAATTTCAAGAAAGATTTTTTGTGTTCGGACAACGAAAACATATTCGGTTAATGAACAAAACGAATTCTAACGAACACTTCTCGGCCTGAAAAAAATTTATATTAAACATTTGTGATCATTTTGCATACGAAATAAGATCACTGAAAGGAGAAATGTTTAAAGAAGATGAACTAACGACAGAAGAACTCCAAGAAATTTTGAATGAAGAACACCAAGAAACACAGCGAAATGTGTCTCCTACTCTTGATGTACTAATGATGAAAGAGGACCAATGCCGACATCTGCCATTAAAGATATTTTGAAAAAGTGGGAGGATGTCAGAGCAATGGTCTTAGAATGGCACCCAAACCAAGCTGATGTCAGTAGGTTTGGGGATCTTTACAACGACAATGCTATTAGTTACTTCCGGAAAATCCTGAAAAAGAGAGAAAAGCAATCGACATTGGACCGCCCCATAAGCATAAAATGAAAAGGATTGATTAATATGCAAGACTATATGTATGTATAATTTTTTAAAAAACTTATTAAGAAATTATACATTTTTTAAAATTTAATTTTTAGGGTCTCCAGAACGAATTAATCGATTTCACATAGAAGTCTATGGTAAATCGATGATCAGTTAACGAACAATTCGGATAGCGAACATAGTCTTGGAACGGATTATGTTCGTTAACCGATCACCCATATGTTTGTACAAATGAGATTCTTGAGATGAGCCTTGAGAAAATTTTTGGTTGAATTTAAAAAAAAAAAATGCTACAAAATTTTTAGAAAGATTGTTCCATAAGGAAGTTCAGTTATATTGATTCCATATTTCATGGAATCAATATAACTGAATTTTCAACAGCATCCAGTTTAAAACTGTATAAAACAGTTTACAGCAAGCAAAACAAGAAAGGTTGTGATTTATGGATGATAAATAAACATTTATTTCAAACAATTTGAGAATGTCCTTGCCTGCTACTAATGACTACTTCACTTCCTAACTATTGTTAATTGCGTTCCTAAGTTAAATGTTTAGTTTTTGAACAGATAAGGCATAAGGAAATATTATAACATACATTTTTAAAGCTTATTTTAACACCTTTTTTAATAACTTATGTCTGTTTAAAAATGATGTTACAATTATGGACTGGAACCTTGCATTTATTTTTATAGATTATTACTATTTCAATGGATTTTGATTTCTATTATTTTTAACATAAATGCTAGTTATTCAAGAATTGTGCAAAATAAAATTAAAAAAAATTTCTTTGTTAAAGAAAAAGTTATTATCAAAAAATTTTAACAATAAACAAATTTTATTTTCTAAAAATATTTTGAATAAGTTATCGCAACTTTTAAAAAAAACAAAATCTCCAGTGAAAATTCCAAACCAAAAAAAAAAAGCTGTGTTCTAGGGAAATTTTAAGCTCTTCGAAAAATCAGATTTGTCTGCAACTTTAACACAGTCAGACAGAGATTATTATTGTAAAAATTAAACATCATCCTAAATGGATTTAACAAAATTTGCTAACTAATAATAAGATTATACACAGAAATTTATGTTGTATTCGTATTTTACACACTCATACTTTAGCTTCGCGAAAAAAAGAAAAAAACAGATGCTTATACAAAGCCCAATCAAGAATTTGGAGAGAAAAATTTAACTTACAGATCATTATATTAAAATAAAATCTTTTAATTTCAAAGGAAGAAATTAATGAAGTATTAATTTATAGTGTACTGATTTGCACTAATCATGACAAATAAACAATAACCAGAAAAATGGGTATTAAATTACTGTTTTTCACATCGCTATCAAATTTTTAAAAAAATTAAAGCTGTTCCATATTTTATTTAAAAATAAATAAATAAATAACGATTAAAAACATCTTTCTATTCAATTTTTTTCTGTTCTTGTTTTTTTCTGCTTGTAATTTTTGAACTGGAATTGTAGATAACTGTACAAGATGTTTCTTTTTTGAAAACATCTATTTTTAACACAATTTATCATTATTATTTATTAAATTAATATTAAATATCTGTTAATTAAATCTCTTTTTTTTGTGTAGGATCATCTTAGTTCTCTTTAATAATCTGTTTTTTCCTTGTTGCAATATTTAACTTAAGAAAAAATATTAAATTCTTTTGACTTAATTAATCACAGACTTTCAAAAAAACTATTATTGCTTCAACATTTTTTTAAAATTATTATAGCTTAAATTTTTTTTTTTAACTTATTTATTATTATCGAAAAATTATGGATCATTATCTTTATGGATCACCCGTGTTGATCTTACAACTTCATACGCAGTCACAGCCTTTCTCGAATGTCTTCTGCGCAGAATTTTACTATAAGTCTCATTCTTCTCTTATGTAACTATGAAACAACTGTTTTTAAACCAGTTCTTTCAATTCATTTTTTTTAAACTTTTCCTACAGCTTTATTACCTCTTTCAATGATTGTTTCCTTTAGTGTATTTCATTCCTCTTTAATAAAAGCATCCTTTCTTCATTTTAATTTATTTCTCTAAATAAAAACATCGTTTCTTTATTTTAATTAATTTAGCTATAGAATTTCAGCTAGATTGCTTTTAAGCGGTGAGCAGACATATTTTTCCAGACCAGAAAATGATCAAAATCCAGGTTAGCACCACAAGAGGTATTTAGTTTCCTTTATATCTGTCCTGTGTCCAGAATCAATTGGAAGCAAATGAATTTGATTGCAAATGTCTCTATCAGAAGATTTTCATGTAATTTTATGAATTCTTTTATGTTGTAACATAGCACTTGGAATGACCATATCAGCTGCCATCACTGTTAGCCATTTTCTGGTATTATTTGATAAATCATTGATATTATTTTACTATTTTTGCCAATGATTTGTCAAAAAAATTCCTCTTCTTTAGCAGGTTTTGCATTTGCGTCCCCTACAAAATTTTAACATCATTTTTTAGACATGATGCATATAGTGCATGCAATTTCTCATAATAAAAAGTTCTTTTTCCACATAATCTTTATCTTTAGTTGGAAAGTGGATGTTAATAAAACTATAATTAAAAAAGGATAATCTTTATCTTGGTGACTTGAAATTAATTAATAATGGTCTTATTTACTTGCTTAAAATGTTAGCAGACATATTTTTCCAGACCAGACCAAATATATGCCTGCTTTTTAGACTACTGTAAATTATAAACTGCGGTTTTTCTTTTCAATTATTTGTTTTCCTATCCATCTCACTTTTTGCAAAGCTAAACTATCAATTCAGTAATTATCTATTGACTTAATTAGAATCTGCAGTCCTTTATTTCTATATGAAGACATAATATTCCATAATCTAACTCTTAAGACCCTTAAACCTTTTTAAAATCTTCTGCTAGAAGTCACTCAGCGGCTTAATTACTACTTGAGGTTTTGCAAGAATTGTTTCCTTTACAAGGCAGGTTTGTTATTCCTATGTCCAACCACCAAACAGGAAGGCCAGTCTCCTAACATATTAAATCTTGAATACAGACATATAAAAAAATATGATTTGTTTTGTTTTTTTACCTTTCTTTGGTAATGGTAAAGTTTTTTTAAAACATTAGACTAGAGAAACATTATCCTTACTCTCATCAAAATAATAACAACAAAGTCCCAGATATAGTAATACCAGGGAATATCAATTATGTTAAGCTTTTTTTTTTAATAGTCCTTTTTTTTTTAAAAAAAATTACATATATTCTGAACATAAATTATGTTACATATTTTCTTTTATAATCATTTAAATAGTTTAGTCTTTGTTAAAACAAAATTCAATCAACACTTATAAACTAATAAAAGTGAAAAGAAAAAAAATAATTTAAACACACATTCGAAAACTTATGATAAAACGAATTACTTAAAAAAAAATTTAAAAAGAAAAATTTTCAAAATTTCAAATTTCTTTAAATAAATTTCAAATATTCGGACTAAGTTTTTATTTTGCCCAATATATACAATAAACACGCTAAATTATTTTTATTTTATGACAATATATAAATGACGCAAAATTTTAAAATAATTTAAAATGAATAATTAGAATTTAGCAAATAAAATTCACTTCAGACTTCCTAGAGTTAAATTCTTTATCAGCAAGCATTGGAAAGTGTTATTTTCACAACAAAATTGGTAAAATAATCAATCGTTCAATAAATTGATCTTAGTCTACTTCATTGCTTTAATGACGTAATATATGTAGAGTCAAAACTTAAAATAATTGTTCATACAAAAACCAAAAAGTTTACTCTGTATTTCATATTTCCATCTGAAAAGTTTCTTCTGACCCCCTTGAAAGACCTGTTAATTAAAAACATCTTAAAGCCCCTTTATTCAGCACCCACTACAAACCTTTTTATCTAAGTGAATCAATTTGAACGTTAAAACAATATCATAAGATTTATCAAAATCACGCAAAGAAAATCACACAAAGCAAGATTTCAGAACTTAATTCACTAAAAGATAGTATGATTATAAAAATGATGGAAACTAATGTTATCTTATAAAAATTTCTTAAATATGGAAGTTAATACAAAATAAATACAAACAATGCAAATTCATTAAGATAAAAGAAGAGAAAAAAATTTTGAAGATTTTTTTTTGAAAAAAGTAACTCTTTGCAATAATATAAATCAATAACAAATATTAAAAAAGAATATATTATGTTTAAAATCATTATTATCTTTGAATTCATTACCTCATGTAAAACCTTAGAAAAAGTATTTTGTTTAAATCGTGAATTTAAACACATTTTATTATTCTTTATTATCTAATAAATAACATAGTTTTATGCCTTATTAAAAAATAATCTTGAAAAATAAGATCCTAAAATAAACTAACAAGTTATCATATTTTAAACATACTCCCATGATTTAATTGTATAGCAAACAAAAAAGGATTCATATCAATTTTCATTTATTATTTGAACAACAAACAAATAGAACATATTACACTAGACATACAAAACGATATAAGAAATATTACATCTTTTTGTATAATGAATATTTTCTTATAAATATATCAATAAGAGGTATAATAATTATTAAAATACAAAACTCATCATAAACTCAAATCTGAATAACAATCCACATTTTTAACAACAAAATAAAAAACATTAAAAATTATTTTATATATATATATGAACTTTTCAGAAATATTCAAAATAATTTTAATGAACATTTAAACAACTCTTAAAAATAATGCTTTGGCTTGTAAATGGTAAAGTAATGTCTCTTTTTAATATTATTTTACAAATTTTACAATAAACTATAGCTTATTTTTTTTTATATTTTTGATTTCATTTGGTTTTCAAAAAACCACAAGAGAGCAAGAACCATAGTTGCTGGGCGAGGTACAGATTCATCATAAATCAAAGATTTAGCTTCAGGTAAAGTTAATTCTACAACTTCGATATATTCACCTTCATGTCTGTTTCCACCTCCTTCAGAAACTTTCATAGCGTCAGTGACTTCAGCATAATATAAGGTTTGAGTTGAACCAGACACACCAACACCAGATCTAAAAATAATTACAATTTTTAAATTGATGAAAAATTAATTTTTTTCAGGTTTGAAGCTGAATTTTATTGCATTAAATAGAAATTTAAGTGTACTTCTTTTCTTCAATCTTTTTTTGACAACAGTACACATCAATCACAAATATCAAACATAAGGGGATAGAACGTTCGCCTTCTAACGAGGTGCCCCGGGTCCAAATCTCAACGATGGCTGGTCAATACAAATTCCGCATTTGGCTTGCACCGACCACAGTGCTAGCGTAAAATATCCTCAATGGTAGACAGATTATGGGTTAGAGTCCCCTCTGCCATCAGGCTAATCACGGGAGGTTTTCCTCCCATGTAATCCAAATGCAGGTTAATTCCATCAAAAAGTCCTCCACGAAGACAAATTTCTCACAATACTTGATCCAGGAGTTCTCTTGTCTTCTGGATTGGATTCAAAATTATAAGGCTACGGAGTTGAATATTAGTAGCCGTTAACCCAAAAAATTTACTCATCTGCTCAAGGACAAGTTTAAAATATCAAATATTATGCAATTAATCTAGAAAATAAAGAGAACTCCATTTTTTTTTTAATTTTGCTGTTTATCTTAATCTTTTATAAAATAAACAGATAATTGGCACAATGCACCCTATACCACACCAAAACTCAAAAAGTTTTAACACTCATACAGTATTTCGTATTAGAATCATGCAGTGATGAAGAAATTTTGATTAGGCAAAAACCACATTATTATTGAGAAAAAATATCTCATTTTATTTCAGTACAAATTTATAAATATATAACAAATTGGTCTTCCACCTGATTTTTTGAACACAACAAAGGCAGTGAGATGTATATGAAAATGTAACATAACAGAGAATGATAAATTCGAAACTTTGAAGAAAAATGTTTGGGGGGTTGCGCAAAATGAACCAAGAAAATTGACGTGTTCTAATGCTACCAAACAGTGTTGTGTTAGCTCTCACAGATAGATTTGGCAATTTTGAAATTTAAGTAAAATTATTAGCCTAAAATTGAAAACTTTAAAATTTAACAGGTGAGAAATAATCGCTAGAGGTACTCTGTTAAACAAGTTAAAACATCAAAAGTAAAACGAAATAGGCAAGGTCTTATTCAAATTTAATGTAGAGGCACATTAAAAATAGAAATCGTTTAAGTGAAAGTGAATTAAATGAATAAATATGTTGGAATATTATTTCAATACGACAATCGCAAATAAAAGATGTGTGCATAATTTTTCATGAGTATTATAAACAAACAATTTAAGGAAAATATAATGAAAGTGGAATATTTTGTTTATTTGCTTAAGAATTTTATTTCTTTTAATTGAAAAAAAATTCTCAGCTGAAATTAAGTAAAATTGCATTATAAGCTACCATATTTTGGTATTAGAAAGCTGAAATTTGACTGTTTATGGGGAGTATTAAAATTAATATAACAGATGGGTTTTAACTCATTTTTCCTTTGGCAGAGATGGTAACCTCTTTCACCAAAAACTCAATTCATTTGCAAAAAAAGTAATTACAAAATAATGATTTTTAGAGCAATAAGTGGTAAGATTTTATTCAAAAAAAAAAATGCTTTGCTCAGTATTTTTGACAGTCATGTAAATTCGTTACATTTGGCCACATAAGAGAAAAAAATTATGCAAAATAACAAGAAAAATTCCAAAATTGCTATTTTGGCTGCTTAATGAGGGCTAAAAGTAAACCATAAAATAAATTTCTTTCAAAAATCTTAGATATTTTATTTTTAAAAAATATATCTAATTTAGTGTCAAACAATTCAATATATTGAATAACTGTCTCTAAATTAATGGTCCAATATTCTATTTCAATTTTACGAATTTAATGACATTGCTAGAAAAGATATTCAGAAAAAAGACAAAAAAAAAATACTTCAATAAATCTCTGAACGCATACTAATCTAACAATATTTTATTTATCTAAATATTGCTGCATTTATAAATTAGTATTTGTCTTATTACACTGGCATTTAAAGTTATGAAAAATTTTATATTTGGACGATTACTAGACAGATTTTAATAAAATTTGTTTAAATATTTGTTGATATGATACAAAAATAATAACCATTCAATGATTATGTATCGAAGCTGATATACACATGCATGATCGTGCGTAGCACTGATCAGAGTGAAATGGTATCAAAGACAGATTACAGAATTGAATAAAAGAATGGTTTAATAAGGGGGTATGACCTTAAGTACAGATATACAGGTCTCACACACTGATTTCACACTGGAAATAAGGCTCCTGCGGCAGTTTGTCGCACTTGTTCAGCAACACTGTAATTAGACACTGGATGGTTCTTAGAGGGGGTTACTTACTGCAATTGCCCTTCCCAAAGTGTTCGAAATGCTCTATTGAGTAGAGGTCTGAAGATCTGGCTGGCCAATCAATTGGGCGAAATCTTCATTTTCCGAATAATGGTTGATCAAAAGTGCTCTTTGGGGTGTCGCTTTGTCATCCATTAAAGTGAAATCAGGATCCATTGCACCCCTGATAAGGCAAACATATGCTCACAGACGTCATACCAGCCACAGCACCTCTTTAAAAGACAGGGAGGGGCGTGAGGGAATCCAGCATTATGCCAACTCAGACCAACAACCTTGGACCACCATAATAGTTGATTTCTCAGAGATTAAAAGGCTGGTAGCGGGTCCCTGCTTCTCCCCATATGAAAGTATGTTGAGAGTCAGTGGTCAAACTGAAGTGGAGTATGTTTGCCATGCTCCCATCTCTATAATCTATGCACCATCCTAAACGGACTCTTCTGTTGGCAGAAGTTAGCAGGACACAAACAGCAAGTCTTACAAATAGCCCTCTCTCATGAAGTTTTCTAGAAACAATAACCCTTGAAACTTGAATTCCCAGTGTCACATAGAGGACAGAAGAGAGCTGCAGCATCCCTTTTGCTGGAAATTAAATTAAATTCTCTGCAAATCTGGATTTGAAACTATCCTTCTTCCAGTCTCCCCACAATTCACCAACTCATTTTCTCATCTTAACGTTGGTGGTTACTCATTTTTGTTGTTTGAAATTAAATTTAAAAAATCATTTAAGATTGCTGCCAAAAAACACAAGATGTGGGAGCAAACAAATGCAGATTTTGCAAATAGTGCAAGGAAATTCTCCACTAGCTCCACTCACACATACATATCCGCTTAAGTATTTGACACACAAGATTTACATCTTTCTTTAAAAATAGTAGTTTTACATTTTACTCAACACATTACATTTACAGTTTGACATTTTGCTTTTGTTTTGAAGCAGTAGCTTTACCCTCTCTCTCTAAATTTTGAACACCAGTGCAGATTTATAAATGCCACTAACTATACTTTGATACAATAAAAACTTTGATAAGCTCTCGTTTTGAATTAGTAAAATATTAAGATTTTGCTTTAACAAATGTTTTATTCTTAAAATGAGAAATTCTTATACTCTTAAGTTGCTTTGACTTTTTTTGCAATTTTTTTATAATTTGATTCAATGTTCTAATAATTGTAATTATATTCAATGTTCTAATAATTAAATTAAATCCTAGTAATGAATCTTATTTCTTAAGAATTGAAAGGTATTTTCTAAATAAAATTTTCAGATTAAAAAAGTTTAATAACATTTATATTTATTTCAATTAATTATATATAGAACATGAATAACATTGCGTATATAAGAATAACACAATTTCTAGAAATAATAACATCAACAGTGACTCATAAGTTGAAAACTAAATCACTGGTCAACTTAAACAGGTTTCACTGAAGATATTTTAAGCAAAATAATAAATTAAAACAAAAACTTTTTCAAGAAATAATTTTAAAAAAAGCATTGAAAACTAACTTGTAACTTGAAACTTTATGTATGGCAGTCAAAGGACACAAATAACCACATTCTTCTAATATTTCATCCCTAGCAGTTTCAACTAGACTTTGATCTTTATCAACAATTCCAGCACAGAGCTCAATTGTTATTCCTAAACTTGGTGGATACTTTGTAACACTGATTTCATCATCACAGTCCTCGAGTTTAACAGAATTAAAGTACACAGCTGCAAATCAGCAATAAAAATGTAAATATTAGCTTGCATGCAAACTCTACTAAAAGAAAACAAAAAAATTTTCAAATTCTAAATAGATATAACTTCCTTGAAAAAAATGCGCTAAAAAGCAGCAGAAATTTCAAAAAAAGAATAAAAGTAGCAATAAAGGAAACGAAGGAAATAAAAATATGACCACCGAAGCCAACATCTTCAGGGGGTACTGGCCCCGGTAGCCATAAAACAAAACCATTTCTATTGAGGGAGAAGCAAATGCCTAAATTAACTCCCTCAGTACCCCGAAGGTTTTGCATAGAAGTCCAGAAAAAAAACATGAAATACAAATAACCAATTTAGAAAAGAAACTCAAACAAAATCATCAGAAAATAAAAACTCACTTAACCAGGGCCAACAGCGATTTCACAAGCAAGCCGAATGAAAAGGATTTGTAATCATAATTTTTTAACTAATAAAATGATTGAAGAATTCTAGGTTTTTATATATTTTTTTCCTTTAACAAGGCACAATTCAAGTCTTAACTGAGCAGCCTCAGTTAAGCATTCTATTAATTTGTTATGTATCTTTTTCTTGACTTCCTTTATTTTCTATCTGCGCATTGTAATAGAGGGCGTTGTTTTCTTTAGTTTTTAGTATTTCCTTTTCATTCGTCTTGCTTGTGAAATCGCTGTTTGACCTGGTTGCGTGAGTTTTTATTTTCTGATGATTTTGTTTGAGTTTCCTTTCCAAATTGGTTATTTGTATTTCATGTTTTTTTTTCTGGACTTCTATACAAAACCATCGGGGTACTGAGGGAGTTGATTTAGGCATTTGCTTCTCCCTCAATAGAAATGGTTTTGTTTTATGGCTACCGGGGCCTGTACCCCCTGAAGATGTCGACTTCGGTGGTCATATTTTTATTTCCTTCGTTTCCTTTATTGCTACTTACATGCAAACATTATTTTATTCCGAAATTTTATAAATAAATATTAACAATCAATAGTAAATATTATTAATATGTGTATCTAAAAATGAAATTTTGAATATTGTGACTTTTTTTTACCATAAAGTTAAGGTATTGCCTAAAAGTTAANACTTGAATTGCGGCCTGTTAAAAGAAAAAAAATATATAAAAACCTAGAATTCTTCAATCATTTTTTTAATTAAAAAATTAACATTACAAAAATTAAAAGGAACATCATTATTACTCAAATTATTCAAAAAATTATTCACAGCTTCCCGAAAACTTTCAACATTATTGCAAATAATTTTTTATCCAAACCAATTGTGAAAAAAAATAAATTTTATAGAACTTTTTGTTACACAAATTAGTATTAGAGTTGCAAAAAAAAAAATAACTTTACTACTAACTTAACTTAATAACTTAACAGGGCGCAATTCAAGTCTTAACTGAGCAGCCCCAGTTAAGCATTCTATTAATTTGTTACATATCTTTTCTTGACTTCCTTTATTTTCTATCTGCGCATTGTAATAGAGGGCGTTGTTTTCTTTCGTTTTTAGTGTTTGCTTTTCATTCGGCTTGCTTGTGAAATCGCTGTTTGATCTGGTTAAGTGAGTTTTTATTTTCTGATGATTTTGTTTGAGTTTCTTTTCTAAATTGGTTATATGTATTTCATGTTTTTTTCCTGGACTTCTATACAAAACCATCGGGGAATTGAGGGAGTTGATTTAGGCATTTGTTTCTCCCTCAACAGAAATGGTTTTGTCTTATGGCTACCGGGGCCGGTACCCCCAGAAGACGTCGACTTCGGTGGTCATATTTTTATTTCCTTTGTTTCCTTTACTACTACTTACATGCAAACATTATTTTATTCTGAAATTTTATAAATAAATATTAACAATCAATAGTAAATATTATTAATATGTGTATCTAAAAATGAAATTTTGAATATTGTGACTTTTTTTTACAATAAAGTTAAGGTATTGCTTAAAAGTTAAGATAAAGTAAAGAATTGTATTATAAAATTCACAAGAGAAAAAGTGCTAAACATTTTTTAATTTTGTTACAATCGGCAAATTCTCATAACATAAAATACCAACTGTTACTAGAGTGTTGCTTTTAGTATTACATTACTAATGGTGTAGGAATAAAACTTAGTTTTACTTGGCAGTGTTAAATTTTAGGAATTTTATTGAAAACTAATGCACAGTAACTCAACCAACTGTTATTGGAATATCCATATGTAGTTTGTGAGTAAAATGTGCACTCCTCTTTTGAATATGAAGTTGTAAAGAAGATATCTCAATAGAGCTTTGCCTCTCTGTATATTTGTATATACATTGCATATAGACTTCTTTATTTTTTTTTTTTTTTAATCAAAAATAATAAGTTAGAAGTAAAAGAATTGGAATTTTTCTTGCAAAAATATCTTTATATGAACTAATACGAAAATTTCATAAACATTTTTCACAAAGATGAAATTAAGGTAAATCATGGATCCACGACATAATGGAATCAACAGTCCGTATATAATCCATATATAACCATGGGAATGAGTATTTTTCAAGAGATTTAAATCACCACATAAAACTAAGGTTTAAGACTATAAACGTATAGCAAAACCAATTTTTTACAACAAATAAAGTGCAATATTTACAAATAATGTATTTTAAACATTTACAAATACTATAAGTTAATATAATATATATAAGTTCAAAATGAAGAGAAAACAAAGGAAAATTATAGACATATGAAAAGAAGGGGGGAAATAATAATGAAAAAAAAATAACAAACAACTGATTTAAAAAAAATAATAATAATCAACCGATTTTAGATTTCATTAAACATAATAAAATTAATTCTATTGCGACTTTTGATTTCCAGGATCTTCTCAATAGCATTCCCCTTTCTAAACTAAAAGAGGTCCTTTGGAATTATTACTATGATTTTAAAAATATCCTTTGTTGCGATTTTGATTATTGGGAAATTCTGATTAATTTTTGTCTCTTTAATAATTATCTTTACAATTGAAAGGATATTTTTCTTCAAACTGATGGAATACCACAAGGATCTAATTATTCATCTCTCTTAGCTAACTTATTTTTGCATTATTATGAAAAAAATTATACTCTTAGTATTAAATTTGTTTTTAGATATATTGATGACTTAATTATCTTTAATTTTCAAGATTTTACTATTTTATTAAATGGTATTTACCCTGAAGAATTAATCTTGCTTCGTAATCATGATGATAATATTAATTTCAATTTTTTGGATTTGAGTATCATAAAAGTTGAAAATATCTGCTTTGTTGATTTATAAAATAAAAGAAATGATTTTAATTTTAATATTAATAAACTAATTACTTGGAATTCTAATGTTACTAGGAGCATCTATTTAAAACCACTTTTAATGAAATGAACAGACTGCTACAGAATTAAAAGAATATGTAGTAATATTTATTTATCCAAAAACAAATCGATAAACTCTTTCAAAATTTTATAAAATGCAATGGATACCCAACTAAAGTAATAAAATTTTATATAAAATCATTAAATTAATCGTATATTTTTGTGGATATATTTACTAAATAATTTCTTTGTCAATTTGTATAATTTTTCCATTTCGGGTAAATCCCTGGTCAAAATTATTTACTAAAAAATTCCGTTATTAAAAAATTTCCTTTGCTAGTTTATATAATTTTTCTAAGTGCAAATCCATTTCGGGCCAATCCGTGGCTAAAATTATCTACTAAAAATTTTTTTCTTTGTTAATTTTTATAATTTTTCCATGTGCAAATCCATTTTGGGCAAATCCGAGGGTAAAATTATTTACTAAAAATTTATTTATTAATTTATACAATTTTTCCATGTGCAAATCCATTTCGGGCAAATCTCTGGCTAAAATTATATACTAAAATAATTTTTCTTTGTTAATTTTTATAACTTTTCCATGCGCAAATCCATTTCAGCCAAATCCGTGGGTAAAATTATTTACTAAAAATATCTTTATTAATTTTTCCATGTGCAAATCCATTTCGGGTAAATACGGTTTCAAATTATCTACTAAAACTTTTTTTCCTTTGATAATTTATATAATTTTTCCATGTGCAAAACTATTTCGGGCAAATCCGTGGCTAAAATTATTTGCAAAACAGGCAATTTATGCTTCTCTTTTCTATTTTATATTTTTTCTTAAATAAATATTTATTTTCTAAAATTATTTATGGTTAACTTTTTAAATTATCCAGTATACTATTACCTTGCGCACATCCATTTCGGGCCCATCCTTGGTAACTAACAAATCAATGCACAGCATAACAAACCACTTCAGCAATGCAGTAAGAACGGCCCTTTAACCTCCAGTTACACTCGATTTGCGCTTTTGTTTTCATATTTTGTAACCTGGCAAACTTGTTGCGAAAATATTTTTAAATCATTCTTCAAAAATTTACCGTTCATGTAAGTACATCTAATTTTGCTACTCGCTTTAGGGCTTTTGTTTTATACTGTTTTTTATTTTATTTTATTTTCTGATTTTACGTGTTATTTTTACTTATTGTGTTCTATTTTATTTCTTGTAATTATTGTAAAAAAAAATTTTTTTCAGTGCTCCTCACACTATTATATTAATATATTTTGCTTTGGCTACATTGATACAATATCAGAAAGCACTCTTTTTTGCGGATATAATCGTGTGGGCTGATGAAAAGNAAGCTGAATTTCCACGATAGTAAATTTTACGCAAGCGCAACCCTTTACTAATAAATTCCAGACAGTTTAAGGTAATAAATAATGTGTTGACATACAATTGTGTACTAATCTATTATTATATAAATGATTACATTGATATTTAACATTTAGTGAAAATAAAAATTACCAATTGAAAAAATAAAGCTGGAATTGAAAAATAAAGCTACCTCAGTTCACATGAGAGACAATTATTACTTGAAAAACTACCTGGTTTAGCAAATAAAAACTACTGAGAATTTACATTAATATTTCATTTCTTTTAATAAATACTGTTATGTGATTCATAGCAAATACATCAATACAAAAAGGCGTAAATACGAATCACAATATCGGATTTTTAAATCTCGTAAATAAGAATCGCAACATACAATATTCAAATCGCGTGAATAAGAATCGCAACACGCAAATATGAAAAGCTTTGTTTGATATTAAAATTGTGTGAATAAGATCAAGATATTAGCAGATTCCAGGCTTGGGACCTCAGAAGGCTTGTCAGAAGCAGCGTCGTTTGAACTACAAAAATCAGATCTATCTGGAGGGCGGGTAAAAAATTCGGAAAATCTTATCTGTTGCGAGTAAATGGAGACAAAATAGCTAAAATTAGTAAAAATGAGAAAGGATTGATAGCTATGTAGTTTGAATCTTCTGTTTCTCTTTGAAAATCGGTGAATTTTCTGAAAAAGCGGAATACTTATTAAAAAAAGTGAAATTTTTAGAAAAATCTGAATTTTTGATAAAAAAGCTGAAATTCAAGAGATAAAAGTGAAAAAAGCGGAAATCCGCTAAAAAGCGGAAAAATCTCATCCCTGTAAACAGTATGACAGCTAGCTTTGTAAAATGAAATATAATTATGATTAAATAAGTGACAAATATTAAGTTAAAAAAAATTTAATATTTTTATATTACTTGAGTAACAAAACATTTTACTCATAAAATAAACTAGACTCCAACAAATATCTTACATGTCATGGAATTTATATTTTCAGCAGTAATATGAACTGAAATATAAAAAAAATTAAAATATCAAAACTACTTTTTTTATTATAATTAAAAAATTATAAATGTCACTAAAAGGCCCTAACTGAAGAAGGGGACCTGTAGTTAATAATTTATTATCTGCTGCATTCCCATCTTTAGAGATATTGTTTTGAAAAACGTAACAAACAACAACAAAAAAAGACTAAGTGTAATATAGTAATTTTTGGCTATATATTTTTAGTATTCAGAAATGAAAGGAATAATTGATTTAATCTTTTTCATTAAATTTTAAAAGCCTTCACTACTAAAACACTGAGAACTAAAAAAATTAATGAAGTATATTATCAATGGGTCAAAAAGGTTATTTGTCTAATGTGAAGCATTTCCACAACACTTTGAAGGCCCTACATCAGAGATATTCAATAAAGAACTTTAGTTTAATAAATTTAAAATTTCAATTTCTCTTTTTTTTTTTTAAATATTTTTAATGTTGAAAATCTGAAAACTTTGCTTTACACTTTATTTAATACTAGATACATGAAATAACAAAGGACCAAGACAGCAGTTTTGAAGACAAAATTCTCATTTCTGTTACAGAAATCAAAATTAAAAAATAAGATATGAACCCATATAACCCATAATATATATATATATATAATTATAGCACGACTGGACTCTTAATGCTCAAACTTTTGTACTGTAAGTTGAAAATGTAATAAATTAATTTAAAAGGAAAAAAATTTTAAAGTTTTTCATGCTTAAAAAAGAAATTTGAAAGAAAAAAAAATCATGAAATCTCAATAAATAAGCAAAAATCTCAAGATATCCTAAGATATTCATTTCCTTAGAAGCAACGCAAAATGTTTTTGTAACGTTTATTAACAGGTCAGTCAGTGTATAAAATTTTTTGGTAGAATTCAAAATTTTCTGTTGAATTTTACCTATCAACTAAACAGTTTGAAACAAAATAACTTGTCAGAATTTCATCCTAACATTTAATTGCTTTAAATCTCAGTCAATATCTGTTGCATCAGCAAAGAGGTCTTTCTCAAAGTTATTAATTTTAAATTAATAGTTTCCTCTACCTTTAGGCTCTTTCTACTGGTGTGTATATTCCTTCTTTAAGAACAGAAATTCAATATTTATTATGAAATGTAAAGAGTAGAAGACAACGTATTTAAATAGATATTGGGACTATTCAGAACAACTTTTGATCCATTTCTTATGCTTCAAAGTTATAAATCGACAGAAGTGTGCAAAACAAAGGTTATGATTATAATTTCTTATAACTCGATCACTTAGTTTTTCTCTTTTTTGCATAACATTATTGTTTGAATATTACATATATGTCATGGTGAGCCGTCATGGCGCAAAGTATAGGGCGTTCACCTTCCAATGAGGTGAAACACGTTCGAATCCCACCAATGGCTGGTCGATGCGAATTTGCATTCGGCTCGCACCGACCACAGTGCTGACGTGAAATATCCTCAGTGGTAGACGGATCATGGGTTAGAGTCCCTTAGCCGCCAAGATAACTGTGGGGGCTCTCGTGATCTCCTTTCCATGTAAAGCAAATATGGGTTAGTTTCATTAAAAAGTCCTCTACGAAAGCAAATGTTTCCCAATACTTGATCCAGGAGTTCTCTTGTCTTCTGGATTGGGTTCAAAATTACAAGGCTACAGAGTTAAACATTAGTAGTCATAAACCCAAAAATTGAGTCGGCTGTTCAACAACTGTTATAAAATTTAAAAATATATGTCGTGGTTAGGCACCAATCATAACGCTTTCCAGCAAAGGGTTGAACCTGACACAAAATCTGCAGATGAATAATAAATAAGTTAGATGCCATGAATAAATTGGTGAAGACCTAAGAGGGCCTTATTCCTTAATCTCATAACCATACTTGTATAACATACACTAACACTCAAATGTCATTAGCAGAAAATTCGACACCATCATGGAATACTATTAACTAAACTATTAACTAAAAAAGAAAACAAAAATTAGTTTCTTCAAAAAAAGTTTGCCTTTTTCGAATTCTCGAGAAAGAATAAAAAATATTCATTTTTACGCTTGTTCCATCTAAGAAAAACGCAATTTAAAATAATATTCACATGGTTTTTACTTGAGCAACTTTAGATCACACATCATGTTTCGTAGTTTCCCAATTTTTTATCAACTATTGTGTTTCGTGTTCACAAGTTTTAAAAGTCATAAGATCCATTTCAAGTGACTTAAAAAACAAATAACAAGATTCATATTCACGCAATCAAACATCGAGAGAAACATTTAAAATCTAACATCAAGATTCTTATATATGCGATTTTAAAATTTAATTTCAAGATTCTTACTCACCTGATTTAAAAATCACATAAAAGTTATATAAATACTTAGAAAAAGTCATTAAAGATGACTTTGGAAAAGAAAAGCGTTTTTTTTTTTTTTTAAAGTCTGATTTTTTAAATTTTTTTTTAGAAAAGTCTAGCTATTTTTCTAACTTGTTATAATTACTTAAATAAAAATAGCCTATAACAAAAAAAATCAACTTATAATATCCTTACCTATCATGGATACGCATTAAATCCCAAGTTCTCTTTTTCCCATCCTAAAATGAACATTTAAAAGTATTATCTCAAAGAAGAAAACTTATACACCAACAAGCTCCTGAAAAAATATGAATATTACAACTCAGTTAAACATTTTTAAATTAACTATCATTGGTAAGAATTACAATTCAATATAGATGATATAAAATAGTAACATAGATATTACATATAGAATTTACAGGATATATACTTTTAGTACATTTAGAATTTAATATAGATAAGGTAAAATGGTTAACATTTTAAATAGTAACCCGTATGTGCCAACATTTATATATTTTTAATTTTCTGTAAGCAGAAAAGAGTATTTCTTGAATAAATCTTCCGTATCCTGATTTTTGGCAAAATAATCGCCAAGTCTTGGCAACTTTCGGACAGCGGCCCACGAGAAACAGGGTGGCCACTCAAATCAGATTTCAAATTTCCCTGATTTTTCCAGGTTTTCCAGATAAAAATCTTAAAATTTTCAGGTTTTAGTTTCTTTATTCTAATAAGTGTAGGATGTGGGTACAAGAAAAGTGTCTATATTATAAAATATTTTATTCAAAATGTTAATTTTTTTTAATATATCTTGAAAAAAAGAATTTATTTTGATAATTTGACAAAATTTTTTATTCATTTTTTAATGTTTCGGTACAAAATTTTGAATTAAAAATCATATATTGACCAACAAAAGAGTAAAATTAAATACTAGTATATAGTCAGTTCTTAAAAAAAAACTTTTTTTAAAATTAAAATATGTTATAAAAGGTTAAAATGAAATAGAAAAATTAGCATTAATGCAATAATTGTAACAATTTGTCGATAAACATTGCTGTTAGCGATTGTAAAAAAAAATATGTGATTGGTTGGTTTGCTGAGAAAAAATAATTCTCAGATGTCTTTTAATGGGAATACAAAAGCTTTCAGAAAAAGAGTGCAATATAAAATCTATTATTATTATTTTATAACCAACTAATTTTTGAAGAATTTTATAAAGTTAAAAATACAAAAACATTTTGTCAAAATGGAAAAAAATTACAACGAAAGCATTAGAACAAACTTAAGCCAGAAATGGATTCAGACCAAGGACAGAATTTAAAAACAGAAGCTAATATCCTAATCCCTTCTTCCACCTGCCCCACAATCTTTCCTAAATTGCACACTCCATAGCTGTCAAAGGTTTCCACATTCGTTTAGCAACAGTGGAAGAATTTTATGTGACATTCTAGTTTCACAGAGCTGTAATGGAGCAAATTTTGATGCAAGCAAAATATTGCTAAATTGATGATATTTCAACTGCTTGGAGAAAGTGGGGAAAAAAAGTGGGTATAATGGATGAAATAATTTAAATTAAGAAAATTAGTAAATAATTTAAATTAGTATAGATTTGGCTGGNAAAAAAAAAAAAAAAAAAAAAAAAAAAAAAAAAAAAAAAAAAAAATAACAGAAAGGGACCAACTCGAAAGGTATTACTCGCAGCCATCTCCAAGCAAACATCTACGTTGTTTTCTTTTGTTTTGTTTTTTAAATTTGCAAGTTTAAAAACTATTTGGTACCTTGACGACAGATCACGATATGAAAATATCCCAAGCCGCTGTTAAAATTTCCTCGAATGTTACGAATTGTCAAAGTCTAAGAGTCCTATGCTTAGCTAAATGAAAAATACTTATGTAAAGATTAATTAATAGTGTGAAGTAGTTCAGTTTAACGTCTCAATCACTAAGTTTTAAAACCGTTTTTCTTTATAGCAAGAGGATAAATAAACAAAACATAAATTGAGAACAAATAAAATAATTGCACATTAAAAAATAATTACTTGTTCAAATTCCATTCGCGATGGCCTCATATAAAATGAATCAGTACAATCAACTATCCTAACGTTTTTTATTTTTTCCATGATTCTAGAATTACTATCAGATTATTATATGATTAATTACTAATAAAATATACAAGTTGTGAAAAGAAAATTTACTTTACAAAAATTGAACCAAAAACTTAAAAGAGGAACTGATCATAACACAATGATAGATTGATTGAAGGATCGTTATTTCCGGTTAGAGGTGTTTAGCCACCCAAAAGGAAGTTTCGTATGAATGACAAAGTCAACAACAAAGCTAAATTAGGTAAATAAAGCATCATAGGTTTCGATTTCAAAGATAATTTATTTTTGCTGATTTTCTTTTTCTTTGCTTTTACGCAAACTGCTTTGATCGTTTTGTAATTTTCCCCTTTTATTAGAGATTTTTTTAAGGCAATTGTTTTGTAAAATGAGAAATTATCCGTGAAAAGGCCTTTTCTATACTTTATCTAAAAAAATTGGAAAAATTTAGAGAATTAAAGGAAGAATTAAGAAGTATAGTTCGAATTCAAATGACGAATTTTATTTTAATGTTTAAGGATTTGAATAAGAAATGCTGACGTGCGGCTCGGTGGTTAGGGGTATGATTCTTGGATTAGGTGAGCGAGATCCCGGTCGTGCCCGAAGGTTATATCATTTTGAATCTGATACGATCTAGCATGCGTTTAAAGAAATATTGCACGAAACAATTAGAGAAAAAGTACACGTTATTTCACGTTATCGTGTTTAATAAAGCAAAGGATTTTCAAGAAATGACATATTTTTGACATTTTAAAATAAAACATAAAAATACGATGGTGGATAATATCTTTCATAATACTAATAAAATAAAAATGTGCATACCTTGCGTGCATGTGGCTCGGTGATCTAGGGGTATGATTTTCGCTTAGGGTACTCTCGCACTTCGAATGAACCGAATGAGATTTTTTTAATGCAATTGTTTTATGAAATGAGAAATTATCCATGAAAAGGCCTTTTCTATACTTTATCTAAAAAAATTGGTAAAATTTAGAGAAATAAGAGAAGAATTTATGGCAAAGTATAGTTCGAATTCTGATGACAATTTTTAATTTAATATTCAAGTATTTGAATAAGAAATGTTGACGTGCGTAGAATATAGAGGGGCTCCCCTCGATATTCTTTGTCTGTAGCACCCTCCTTATTCTCCTGATCCAACACCAGCGAATTTTTACCTATCTCTAAGGCTGAAAATAAAATTAAAGGGACACCGTTCAGATGAGGTGATCGAAAATGCGACAAAACAACTGAGGACCATTTAAAAAATGGATTCCAGGCAGGGCCTGATTATCGCCTAGGCCCAATAGGCACGGGACTAGGGCCCACACTTTCTGGGAGCCCTCAAAAATTAGTAAAAAGTCCGCAATATTACTATTTTTTTAATTACTGAAAGAAACAGTTTTTCTCAAAAAAAATGCATTTTTTAATTCAAAATTTTCGTTATATTGTGATAAACCAAACTCGTGAAAACATTGCACGATTCAAATTCGAAAGTACAGCTGAATTTGAATTTGTGCAATTTTGACGTCAACGGCTTAAGTGAATGAACTGAATATGAATTTTAATTTTTTTTAAAAAGTGTTATATTCAAATAAATTATTATTTAAATGTGTTTTTAATTTTCCATGAGTAGCTTTAATTTTGGAACTTTTGGATATTTTTACGTGCATTTTTTAATAAAAATTATAATTAATAATGATAATTATAATTATAATTACCTTAGCATACATGCTGAACTTGTAGTTAAATCTAATGAAAAGTTGACTGACTTTGTGTTGGTTTAAGTACTAAATAAAAAAAAATAATTACAGCTTACAGAAATAAAGTGATCCAGCTAAACAGTGACTTTTAACAATGATCACTGATTTCAATTGTTTGTGGTCACCAAACTATTTGTATTTTGACACAACATTGTGTTGTTGTTTTATATTTTGCTTTAATGTATATATGCGTAAACTTTATCTTAGAAAAATAATCTTCAATTGTCTGTTTTCAAAATTTATTTGAATGTTTCTCTTGAATCATGCAGTTTAATAGATTCCTTTTTATTGTTAGGACTATTCATCAGTAATTTAATTTCAAAATATTTTGGAAGGGACCTGGAAAATTTGGTGGGCCTGATTTTGTCTTGATCGGTCCCTGATTCCAGGAGTGTTCTGAAGAGTCATAGAAACGTTGAAAGAAGTGTGTGTTTGCAAGAGGAAAATACTTTGAAGGTCAATAAAGTAAAATTGTTGTTCTATTGTAAAAAAAAGGGGAGGGGGGAATATTTAACAAATAAAAATATGCAGCGTTATTTTTTTTTCTTTTTAAAAAAAATTCTTTTTCACTAGGAAGCATCAATTCAAATAGAAAGTTTTTTTGCTCCTGATTTTTAACATCTTGGCGCACAGGCAAATTGCCTAAAATATGGAAAAACTCAACTATTGTCCCTTGTCCCTGTTCTCAAGCCAGGCAAAAAAGCCAGCAATTGCAAAAGCTATAGACCTATCTCACTAACCAGCATCCTTTGCAAAACAATGGAAAATATCATCCATACCAGATTGATGAAATGGCTGACCGAGAAAAAGACCGAACATTTTTATCAAACTGTATACAGAACTAATTAGCTCTGTATGCTCTACAGTTGATCAACTTTTTTACCTATGCCAGTCTATAATTGATGACTTCCAAGAAAAGCCTAGCAGAAAAACAACCGCGGTTTTCTTAGACCTCTCTGCTGCTTTTGACAGAGTTTGGTGGCGGAAACTAATTGGAATTATCTACAAAGAGGATATTGTGTCTAACTGCCTCATCTGGATCAACGATTTCTTATGAGGAAGGAAATTTTGAGTTAAAGTAAATGGATCCTTTTCAAAAACTCATCGAACTTGGGCAGGTGTCCCTCGTGACATCCAACTTTCCCAAAGAATTCTAAATCAGTGCACGGAAGGTATTGAGAGTTGGTTTAAAGAGCTTAAGATCACTGTAAATCCTGATAAAACAAATTTTTGCATTTTCTCGACTGATAGGAAAAATAGAGGTAATTTTAATCTTACTATAAACCTATTTAGCTCTGCTATCCAACGCACTAAGCATCCAACATACCTCGGCCTCACCCTTGATGATGAACTGAGATTTTCACAACACCTTGAGCAGATCTCTAACAAGGCCTTAAAACGACTTAACATCTTAGAAAGGCTGTGCGGTGAATCTTGGGGCTCAAGACCAGCAACTCTTCTTAATGCTTATACCTCGCTCGTTAGACCAGTTCTTGAATATACTGCTCCCATTTGGGACCGACCTCATCTTCTTCAAAAGGCAAAATCGACACAGTACAGTACAGAGCATCAAAAATCATCATTGGTGCTGTCTCATCCACAAATAATTGTAAAGCTGAATCTGAATGCGGCCTAAATCCTCTAGAAAGTAGAAGAAAACTGGCAACTATAACGTTCACAAATAAAATTAGAAGCGTAACAGATTTCCATATCTCAAATAAAACTTTTAAGGCATGGAATGGTAAAACCAGGTTAAAACGGTCTTCTACCCTTCAGTTTGACAAAGAAACTAGAATGGAAATCAACTTCACGAGGATCGTACATATGTTCAAGAACCCTCTTTCCCCATCAGTCCCTCACCTAAGGTAACAATAAATTTAAACCTTCTACAGCCCTGCACGAAAAAAAACCATCTGCAGTGATTAAGGAGAAAGGTCTGCACACCATCCGTGAGCTCTCAAATTCGACTCAAAATATGGCCATCGCTTTNTAATAAAAATTAGAAAAAATTAACAAAAAATTTAAAAAATGCTTTAAAATGCAAAATACGCCCCAAAATTTAAAGAAAATGCCCTATAATTCTCAAAAAATGCTCTAAAGGACAAAAAATGTCCAAAAATGCAAATGTCATCAAAATCCGGGCCTTAATTATAACTATTCAATAACACTTTTATATTCACTCCAGCACAATAATTTGTGTAATTTAAGTCCACTTTTACTGCAATTTACCTTAATTGAGTTATTTTTTTAGAGTTTGATACAATCGTCAGAAGTTGATGGCATATTTTTATAAATTTACTATGATGCTTGTCAGGGAAGTAAAGGTGTCCTGTGCGCAAGCAAGATCGTACCATCACAATTATTCCATTGTACGTGGAGCCTTAACTTCTATGAACGTCTGGCTCACAGCAGACTGTTGTTGAATACTTGATTTAATTAATTATTATTATTAATAAATAAGTGGTAAAATTATCTATTATAAATATTAAGAGCATATTTTGGGTAAACGAATTATAAAAATAAGATCTCGTTAGTTTTAGATAATTTATAAAATTATAACAAATTTGTGTATATTACAATTCTTAGAATGTCATATTATTTATTTTTTTTACTAAATATTAAAAATTATAAGCGATTATTTAAAAAAAATTTTTTTTGTTTAAATGTTATTTCAAGAGTTTGCACAAAAAGTTATAGAAATGCTTATTTTATATCAAGGGTATAATAAATAAATTTAAACATCAAAATTAACATAACTGGGGGAGGGGGGCATCTTTAAGAGCAAAATACGGAAAAAAAAATTTACGATACATTTCATCTAATATCAAATATGTGGAAACTTTTTTAAACTTTACCGTCTCAATATTATTATACTGGTTATTATATTAAATTCCCTGAGGCAAATATTTATTAACCCTTTCAAAGGCCGCGATAAGTATACTTAACACCACCGTTTAAAGTTCATGGCGAACTTTTTTACCACTTTCATTTCAGGTTTCCATTTGTTAACAACATCAGTTTTCTTGAAGCGCGTTTGAATAAAATTGGTTACCATTTATTAGTTTAAAAAAGCGTATAAAAGTTATAAAATATATAATTCCTCTTAAAGTTTGTAGCATTTATAAAATTTATTTTATAAATAACGAAAAATAAAAGTCAATGAGTTCCTAATAAATCGTGGTAAATATACTTACCTAAGCTAAATTAGGCTTTTTTTTTTCTTACATCAATTACTATTCTTTTGTCAATTTCAATTCCAAAAATACTTTAACTTACCTTTACTAGAAATAAATGGCCCATTAAAGGGTTAAAGCAGCAAATTTCCAATGTGTTTGTATAAACTTAATTAGAGAAAATTAAGTACAAAATCATTTATTTAAATCAATTTAAGAAATAATAAAGCATTTATTATTTGGCAGTTTATTCATCTTATTATTCGATATTTTAATACTTTTAAGGTGGTACATTCCCAAGAAAAATATGAATACCTTTCAAGGGAAAAAAAATTTTATTACAAAAATTTAGGAAATTAATTAAAATATTAATTAATATATTAAATTTCATGTGAAACCTATGCATATATGTAATTTAAATATATACACAAATTTCTAACCAAAAAAAAAAAAAAGCCTAGCTGTCAGATAATTGACATTTAATAATAATATACTCCCTCTTCTACATTTGAATACTTTTGCACTGCTTATTGATACTGATGAGTTTATGATTTTGATTAAACATTTTTCAGATATTTCAAGGTGCTATGCTATCAGTTTACAACGTTTACATACCAATCATACCCTACTTAAATCAGCACCAAATTAGTTTCAAAATTTTTTGAAGCTAATTTTGAAAAAAAGTTGGCGCTAAAAAAAAATTGCTTTAACGCTGTCAAACAAATCCCCTTTTTGCTAGGACTCTTCCATAGGTGTAATCGCATAAAATGATATTTTAGTTAATGAACCGTGAATTCAGTACAAGTATAATTTTACTGTTGTTGTTCTATTAAATTGCATCGAAAGTTATTTATTACTCAACTTACTGGAAATGTAGCAATTGATTTGGGAGGGAGAGAATATAAAAAAATTAACCTGGAATCATATGAAAAAAAAAAAAGCATTTCAAAGTTAAGTGAGATGATGCTAACCAACCTGCAATTACACCCTTAACTAAAATTGAATCACTAATTCAATAATTAATGCCTGCCTCTTAAACTGGATAATACTTTGAAAAAATTAAAAATGGAAACTGAATATTAAATATTAATTTTTTAATCACTAACAAAAAATCGCAATTTGTAAATGTTTTTTTTTTTTTGTACATCAGAAAATGTTTTTTGAACCAGCAAAAGAAAAAACAATAACGGGAAAAGCTACCGTTAGTTGCTCGCTAAATACTCTATAAATTAAAAAGAAATATTACTAAATGGAAAACTATTTAAACAATTGAAGATAATATTAAATGTAAATAATTTATAAACATTATTTTTAAATATATCAGATTCTTTTTTTCCATACATTTAGGTGAATCACTTTTACCGAGATTTATTGCACTATATTTTCAAAATTAAAATCAATCACCTGCACTGAGTCAATTTTAACCTCTTACTTTTTTTAAAATCAATTTTAATCTTTGCGAATTAACATTAGATGAAAATTAGTTCTATTTTGTCATGTAATTCTCTTCCCATACCGATTTCTTTTCTTTTTATACTGAAAAAAAAATGTTTTAGTTAAATATTTTTGAAAATCCTTTTGCATTTCCTTTGAAAGCAAACTCCATTGTGTATTGAGTATTTCTACCCTTCAGGTGATGGAGTGGACATCAATTAACCGTAGCTGAGAAGGGAGTGAATTTCACGCCCATTTCCGCAAGTAAGGGGGAAAGCATTAGCGACTTTTCACGTGCATGGCCGTTTCGCTGGACAAAAATCTGAGGCTTTTTTTACGTGCAGGACCATCTATAGGTGGAAAAATGAAGGGAGGTTTTCTACGTTCACGACCATTTGCGAGCATGAAAAAAAGTACGACTTTCTACGTGCAGAACCGTCAGTGAGTTAAACAATAAGAACATTTTATTTTTCAGTTAAAGCATTATTTTCTCTAATTTTTTTGGAATATTTTTTCTTCATTTAAAAACAATATTTATTTAGACACCAATTAAAATAAGATTTTTTCAGGGTACGTAGCCAAATCTCCCAACTAAAAATAAGCATCTTTTAAGTACTCGAAAAATATTTTTGAGCACTATATACATTAACAAAATGCAAAATAATTTTAAAAGACTTTAAATGATCATGATAAAATAACTAGTTTCTGACAAATAACCCTTTTCTTGATTATATTAGCCATTATAAAATGATCAAGAGATTTTTTCGGTTCAATATCAGAGGTTGGAAAATGAAGCCTGAAATTGAGAATATTTTGCAAAATGCAGCAGAGTTGCACATGAGAGCACATTAATCTCACTGAACCCAGCTCAGTAGATGCACATATGGACTCACAAGTATTTCATCAAACATGTAAAATGATTGGTGCTTTCATACGCTATGGACCGACAGTATGTCGAAATAGATTGTGGTTGAATGAATTGCAAAAATGTAGAATAGAACAATGTGAAAAGCACGCTTTTGCATAATACGTGTCCAAAATAGACATGGGAAAGAAAATAATCTTATTTTCAAAAAGGGAAATTTAAGCACTTTTTAAAAATACCCGATGAAAAAAGCACCTTTAAGGGCTTTTAAAAAATAAAAATACACTCTTCAAAACGCTACGCACCATGTTTTTCCTGAAAGAAAAGCCTTTACCATTTAAACAGTAAAACCAAATCCTAGTTACATTGGTTACGTTTGGACAGTTTTATTTTCTAACAGAGAACAATTTTCTTTATTTGTTATTACATTTTTAACAAAAGAGATCCTCCAGGGCATGGTTCTGAAAATTGAGGAACTTTGGAGTCCTTAAATCAATTTGACTTTTAAATTGCATCACTTAACCACTAAAAAATAATTTATTTATGGAAATTTTAAACATTAATGTTTCTAATCTTTTAGTTCATTATCAAATACTAAAACATACATACTATACTAATCTATCTCAAAACCGTTTTTCAATTTTAGAAGACTTTTTAAATTTAATTTATTAGTATTTAACTTTCGCTAGTTGACAATCCTGTTTATTTTGTAAATAAGTTTTGAGTAACATCATTTTTTGCATTTAAAACTTTTTCCTTTTTCAAAATAACTAACAAAATCACAACCAAAAATTTTAACAGTAAAGAAAAATCTGATTTTAACATTAGGAATAACTATTTAAAATTAATAGGAGTAATTAACATACATTTAAACAGTAACATGTTATATGAATAGTTACATTTTTTGAAAGTAAAGAGGACCCCTAATTATTTTCCTTAGATTATTATTATTATTTTTAAACTTAAAATAATAATACACAAACACACAAAAAGAAAAAGAAACAAAATTTTTATGTAACTTATATATATTTAACTAATATTCACACTAAAATACAAATGATTCAGTCATCAACTTCATAAACTTTCCAATCGTTTCAAAAGTTCTGGATCATTGAAGTCAACCCCAATTACTTCCAGATTAGGAATAACATCTTGCAATAGCAATGAGACTAATTCTTTGTCCTTTATATTTGGGGTATCTTGCAGAACTAGTGTTTTTAATTTTCTGAAAAAGAAATTTTTTACATAAGTAATGCAAAGAATTTAAATCAATATTTAATTTAAGTATTGTATTGGTTACTAAAACTATACTAAATATTAATATTTTTTAAACAGAATAATGATATTTGGTGTTTAATTCTTAAAATATAGAATGAAGACCATACAAGTAATATCAAGTAATGTGATATGTATTGCAAACTTCATCCACATCAATAATATGGCGATTTTTTTCAACAATAATTTATTAATGTCATATATAATGCCATAATAATTATTAATGTCATTCGGATTTTAATGGACGGTAAAAATGTAATATTTATCGAAAATAATGATAATATTGTGGTTTTTATGGATGATAATGTGATTTTTATCAACAATCATAAATATTTGATACTTTGGAATTTGTTTGACATTGTATTTTTACATGCAAGGTTTTGCTCAAGATAATATTAATTATACAAGTTTTATTCTTTTTCAGTAGCATGACAGCCTTTTTGAGAAGCTTTTTCTAGGCAACTTTCCCTTTGGGAACTATCCTCCAATTTTTGGTTTTCAGAATGTCAATGTATTTTTTGAGACAGTCAATCCATCTAATTCAATGTCCGCCATTTTGTCAAGTTCCTATAGGATTGGCAAGATATAGTTTGAGACAGTTTGGATCTTCGGACATTCTAACCAGATGCCAAGTCCATTTTATCCTTTGGATATTTTAAATACTTCACAACATCAGGTTGTTTAAAGATTTTATATAATTCCGAATTTGTTACCCTTCACCATATGCCACCCGCCTGATTTCTACAACAAATACGCCTCAAGACTTTCATCATGAAAATTGCTCATCTTCCGAAGTTAATGCCCATGTCTTAGATGCATATAAAAAAAAAACAGATTTAAGTGCTTTTATCTAAAAAAAAAACAACTTAGTTTTCCATTTTAGAAAACTGGGCTTCATATACTTTTTTGTGATTGTAAAAACATCTGTTAGCATTCATGATTTATTTATGTATTTCTGAAGTTAGATCATTGTTGTTGTAAAATTTGTTCTAACTAAGTAAAACTACACACTTTTTCAAACTTGCAGTCTCCAAATACTAGATGACTGATTTAAAGATCTAAATTTAAAAATGGCAAAGTTGGTCTCTTTTTTCACTTACTGATAAATTAACTGCTTTTGTATTTTTTTTAAAACTATAAAGGCCAGTTTAAAGGCTTGAGTGAGTGTGGGTCACAATAGCAATATCATCTGCATCAAATCATTAAAGAGTTCCCTCTAACTATAAAAAATATCACTATTCAGACTCAGACAGACACTAACACTATTCAGACTTTCACTACTTAGAATACTACTATCTTTACCTCTAGAAAGTGTAGATCTTGATTTAAAACTTTTTTGTCTATACAATAGGTCTGAAGTATGACTTATATCAATAACAGTACGTTCTATTTGGTTAAAAGTGTCACTATCCAGGTATCTCCAAACCTAATTATGAATTTGTTTATGAGGAAAACAAGTGTTGGCAACTACCATATTATGTTTTGCAGCAAAATACATAAGCTTCTGACCATTATTTTTGGTAGCATCATGTAAGCTATGTCTACCAATAGAGGGATGGAATTTATACTTTTTACCAAATTTAACATTTGCGTCACCTAGCACTATTTTAATGTCATATTATAGACAAGAAGTATATACCACATGAATTCCTTTATAGAAGGCCTAATTTTCTCCCTTCATCTTTATCCTCTATTGGAACATGAATCTGGATTATACTGTCATTGAAGAACTTACCCTTTTATCTTATTTTGTATAATCTAGGTGATATAGATTCAAAATCGATTACTAGGTGTCTTATCTATTTATAAATTATAAATCCTTTTGCAGATACAAGTGTTTTGGGGTCACAGCTGTAAAAGTTTGTAATTTTTATTGTCATGTATTCTTTGCCTTATCTATCTCATTTCTTAAAGGGTTATCAAATCCACACTATAATAACCCATAATTTGCATCAGAACTGACAATCCTTTGCTCCTATAAAGACATTACAAGTTCCATGATCCTCTTTTCAAGTCCTTTATATCCTTTCCAAGTTGCCTCCAATGTAACAGTCCAGAACTTTTTTTTTTGATTTTGCAATAGTAAGGTTTTTTTTATAGGGTGAGGTTGTTGGCCTCATGCCATATCCTAAACCTGGAGGACCAGGGTGTTACTTTTTGTCTGTTGAGCTTGAGAGGGTTTTGTCAGGCATAGGAGATCCTGCCAGTAGCTAAGCTGCCGCTGGCATAGTTCAATGGGTGCTAGACACAGCAAGGTGATGACACCAGTTGAGGGGGGACATATGTTTTCAGGTAAATGAATTCAGCTCTAGAAATAGTTTGGATTCAGCATCAGGATTCCAACCTATAAGGAGATTAGTCCCGTGATTCTCCATAAGAAAGATACAGGGAACCATTAAAGTTGCCAGGAATTATTTGGTTATTCATTAAGTCATCAGCTGGTTGTAACAGCTCCTAGTACTTGACTAAGTTAACCAATTCGTTCATATTAATATCATTATGCTTTGAGCATCATCAATGAACAATAAATAGTTATCATGAAAATTATCAATAATTGTAGTTATATACAATTTTACTATGAGAGTTGATAAAATATTGAACAAATTATAAAAAATATGAACTAGATAATAAGGAGATATTTCGAGACATATAGTGAAATATCAATATTTTTTGATGATATATTACAGAACTGGTTACTTACTTTAATGAATGAAGAGTACATATTCCTCTTTCAGAAATATTTTTACAACCACTCAGATCTAAATACTCTAAACTGTATCCAAATAAGTGTAATCTATTCAGACACCAATCATCAACATATTCACAATTACGTAACGAAAGCTTTTTCAATTCATCTAAATTACCTGCAAAAAAAAAAAAAAAAAAAAAAAAAAAAAAAAAAAAAAAANAAAAAAAAAGATGACTATAAGCAAGGGCAAAAAATATTTGTACACATTAACTATATAATTTTAAATTCCTTTTTACGAAAAGTAAATTTAAAAAAATTGATTATATGTAAATGTAAAAATTGATATTTATATTAAGTGAAGAGGAAACTGAAACATTAGCAAATCTGTTGATTTACTAGTAAATCCAGTTTGAATGCTGGATGAAACTTTGAAATGTTCCTGTTTTAACTAAAAATTGATCTGTTTCCTCAGGAAATTAAACAGGTTTTGATGTTCTTAGAACTGCTTCCAACAGCAGGTATTCCTTAAATTTCGAGAATTTTTTTTGTTTTTTCTCACTCAAATATTAATTTGCAAGCCCTACACTTATTTGGAAAGGATTATAAAAAAATATATTTAGGATGGTCATTGCAGAACACTCAGCATAAAACTTCGTAATAAGAAACAAGTTTAACTTGAACATTAAAAATACATCTAATATACACTTAAACAATCAAGAAACAATGAATTATTAATTAAAAGCGTATTAAATCAGAACCAAATATGTATAATAAAAACCTATACCTAAAAACGAATTTTTTGAAACTTTATTTAATGAAATATTGTTTAATTAAATATAATTTTTGGCATATAGTTTAATGAATTTTTTACAGATTAATTTATAATAAGATTTATTAAAAATTAATTATTTAAAAAAAAAGAAGAACTAAATGAAAATTAGAGCTGATGAGGCAGAAATTAGAGCTCACACTGTTCCAGGTAATATGCATTAAATCAAAGACTTCTGCCTTTTGTACATAGCTTTGTTTCCAGGTGGGCAAGAATCAAAAAGATGCCTTTAAAATACTTCCCACCAGACACAAAAAGTCAATCGTGATTATCTTAACAGGTCCCAGTGAATTTTGTCTTGGACACGAGCAGTGGCGTACACAGAATTTTTTCAAGGGGGGTGTTCATAATTTTCTGAAATTACTAAAAGAAATCCAAGCATGTAATAAAGCACTATTGTTTCCCTAATTTAGTCAGCTAACAATTTTGACTTTTTATTTAGACAGCATTGTTTAGTTAAATTTTGATTTGATTTTTTTAAGTTTAAGAAAATAGTGTAATATCTTCTCGCATGTAATATTTTCTGAAAAAAGTCCAATGTCATATGAGTGGGAAGTAACACTTTGAGGGCCACTTTCACATTCATCAGATTTTGTTATGCTAGAAACGTTTTCTTCAACGAAAGTATCACATTTCTGTTCAATAGAGAAACTTACATTGGTACCAGATACTGTCACTTCACTAATTTCAGGTCATGATTTTTTCTCAAAATGATTAAAAATTGTTAAATTCCTGCGTTTTGGCATCCTAAAGATCCAAGAACAGCAAATATATACATATATTTATTGGCATAGAAATATCTACTATGCTACGATCTCAAAGTTTCAAGCTGGAATGAATAACTTCAACGAGCACAGTATCTCCAATGGTATTGTTACTGATTTCTTCACTAGTCGAAATAGTGGCGGCGACGGGTTCGGCGATTGAATTAACTTTTTGTTAAGACAAAACGAAACAGATTTAGCGACGAGCTCCGAAAGACTAGCGGCAGAGATAACTCTTAGTCTGACTAACTAACTCCACTGTACTCCGTTCCCCCTTTTATATAATTTTTCACTGCATCTCCAAAATTCTCGAATTGTCTCAAAGATGACAGTACGTCTAGGATTCCAGAATCATTGAGCAAAAACCTCGCGAATGACTGCAAATCTCGAAAACTATCACGACTGGCAGGACAGAAAGGAACCAGCCCGTAACAATATCACTCGAATTTGGTTTCAAAAGTACAACTCTATTATAGTAAATATTTTTTCAGTATTTTGAGAAATACCGTGAGAAAAAAAAAGTAGGCATAAGGCAAATAAAAATATACAGTCTTAAAAAATAATGGCCCGCATAATTTCTACTAAAATTTTTATTTTTGCCATTTTGTCTGAGCTCAAGGGGGGTGTTTAAACCCCTAAACCCCTCCCTTGCGTACGTCCCTGGACACGAGCGTAGATTGGAACGTTTTACATATATATTATTAAATTTCAAGTTTATTGACTGATTCGTACCATATCTCCATTCGGAGCGTACATTTCTCTACAAGCAACCAACTTTATATGGATTCACCACACATACTTTAACCTTTAAATACCTTAAGGGTGTAAAATATCTCATATTTGTAATGTCAACTCTAAATGTCCAGTTTCTGAGCATTACCAATAATTATTATGTACAAAAAAAAAACATACATTTTAAGTATTTCAATGAAAATGTTTCATTCAACAAATTAGCTTAAAATATTTCAATTCAAAAACAAAGTTTTGGCAAGAAATACAAATCATTAAGGCAAGCATAAAAAGGTTTGAACATAACCCTATTTGAGTGAATGAAAAATTATAATAGGCAAATCCTATTACAACCACAAATTCTTAATGAATCTATTAATTACGTTTTTATAAGCAATGCTAACAATAAATTTAAAAATGTTTGTTGAACTGAGAAAAATTTTGGATTATATCTATCAGTAATAGATATACTATTATAAATATATAATACAGTATATGTAGTTAATAAAAATTAATAAGCATAAATCTGAATGATAAAAAAAAAAAATACTTGCTTGAAACCTTTTCAAAATAAATGAACTGAAGAAAAAAAAAGTATAATAAGAACCATACATAAAATATATAAATTTCAATTTTTATTATTGTTGAATATTAGAATCTTGAAATATAACTTTTCAATTTATGATATCAAAGTAAAAATATCATAGCACTAACGTTCTTAATAAACAAACAGTTAACTCTCCATCACTTTTTTACTCTGTATTTTAACATTTAATGCCATACTTCATTACAGTATCAAAACAATTACATGTCTGTTCTCGTGACATGATAAGTAATTTTTTTAAATGTTCTATTAACTTTATGTAAGATTTTGCGTAAATTTAGTTTATAAATAATGCATAATATCTTATGTAATTAAGGAAATTAACATAAACTAGAATATAATGCAACTAATAAATAATTTTAAATATTAATCTTTCTAATATTTTTACTTTTTAAACAAATATTTTTTAAGCATTGTTAAGAAAAAAGTAGTTAAGAGAAAGCCCACTTCAATGCTTTAGTTTTTTGTAAAACCCCAATCATTAAATAAATTACACGATTGTTAACATATTATTTGCTGTAAATTAAAATAATAAAGTAAATTTTCTTGACTAGGCTTTTATAAATTATTTTTGTGCATTACCAAGTGAGAACTGTGTTCAGAAAAGTTCTTTAAAAAATATGGGTTAGTTATATTACATGCAAAAGGTGATTATACAGTAACATAGCCAAAATAAATTCCCCATATAAGCATGTTGCTCGGTTTGAGAAAAATGGATAAAATATTTGATAAGGGTATAATATAGGAAGTGTTAAAAACAATTATCTAGTTTTTAACTTTACAATAACAGTGACAGAATTTCTAAATAGATTTTTCTAATTTTTCTTCATCATAGCAAAATCCCCAGAGAAAAAAAAAACCCTATTAATTAAAAAGTTTTAATGAGCAGATCATGTTTTGATGACAAAAGCAGGTCCTGCTGCTTGAAAATTTTAAAATGGAGCCACTGTAGTGCTTAAAAATATCATAATGAACCATTTTAAAGATAAATATGAATAGAAACTACTTACCTCATAAAATATTAAGTTCCACAGGACAAATTTGTGAAGATAATTTTTACGTTTTCCTGTGTATTATAACAATTGAAGTAATTTTTTCATAAAAATAAAAAGTATTTTTAACTGCCATTATTATATAACTTCACAACTCAGGTACAAAGTGAATGGTATCATTTTAAAGAAAATCTTTACAAATTTATGAAATAAAGTTTTATAGTTTCGATTGTATCATTATAATTTAGATCATTTTTAACTAAAATAAAAACTATAACTATATTCAACAGCAATTTAGAACTCAAATACAAAGTGCACAGTATCATCTGACAGATGAGCATAAGTAGAAACTATTTATCTAATAAGCCTAAAAATTTCCTGATACAAGTAATAAATTTTTTAAGGATCCACATCACTTTTACACAGGAAGGCACTAGAAAGACATAGACTTATTCATCCATAGTTTAAAACAATAGATTTCTTTATAAATGAAAGTTGTACAACATCAGTTAAATGTGAACTTAAAGTTCTATAATTCCAAAGGAAATAGAAAATTTTACATTATACTTTAGAATCATTACATTTTCAGAAGTTATAATTTAAACAAGAATTGTTTATTTAAACCATGACATTCAGATGAAAGAACATTAAAGTAAAGTAACGACTCAAATGCATTATTCATTAGAGAATAACAATATGAAACTTTAATTTCAAATGAGATAAAATTGAATGGCACTTTTATGAACTAGAATAGCAAGTCATTGTATCAAAAAATACTAACATAAGAATCTATACTTACAAAAGTTTTGAAAACCTTCATAGCATAAATTTGTATTAGACGCATCAATTTCTTCAACAAAATAACCGGGAACATACTTTTGCGGAATATGACCTCCCCTCAAATCAGTTTCTTCAGCCCATATATTTGAACCCTTAAACCTCACTTTACCACCTCGTGCACATATGAAATGAGTAGTTGCTAAGTTTGGGCCTAGAATGCGATGGCGTTCAGAAAGGAATCTGAAAATATTTCTCACAATGAGTAAGCATTAAATTTATGCAAAAAATTTAAAACTTAGAAGTTTTTAAAAGTATTATAGTATGTAATATTTCATGATACAGTGATTCTGCAAGATATTGGAACCTACAGGTTTTTAGGTTCCAGTACTGCTGACTTTCTGAGTATCTTTTACTGAAAGTAAGTCACTATTTAAAATATGAATTCTCTAACTCTTTTTACCATTTAGTGATATGCACATATATAATTATTCTATTAATTGATTAAAAAAAAACAAAGAATTCCAAAATAAGAAAAAGGTTCAAAACCTATAAAGATTATATTTGAAAAACCTATATCAAGGAAGAGCAACAATGTAGTAGAAATAAAATACTCAGAACTGTTTTCTTCTCCCACAGCTACTAATAAAGAAAAAAAAAAAACAACCTTGAATAACTTTTGATCTAATGATGCAGTCTTCATGCTCTAGGACTTAATCTCATAGGTTCCACAGGGTGACCTCTAATATACTTATTAATTAGTGATATTTTAAATTATGAAATCAGACACAAAAACGAACTTTCTCTGATTAAACATAACTTTTTTTCAATGGATTCAGATTTATGACTCCAAAAATATAAGAGGTAACCACAATCTGGAACATATGGTCCAAATAGTTTGATCAGGAGAGTGATCCGAAGTTAGGACCCCCTAAGTCCCCTGAGACCCATATTTACCATTCATATATTGAATTTACCATCAAGAACTTCTTAAGATAATTGAAAAAATTTTGAACACAGTTATAAAATTTGTTTATCTAAAGATTATTCCATGCAAAAAATAAATTTCAGTAAATGTTTATTATATTTTACTTAATAATAATGATAAAAAATTTGAATTGTAAGGTATGCAATTTTTGCATCCCTTAAAGTATGCTAATTTGCATGGCAAGATACAAAATTTCAGCAAAATCCTTTGAATAGTTCTTGAGAAATCAAACTTTAGAAAAGTTGTATATTTAAAATTCAAATTTCAAGCACTATTCACTCAATTTTATTCAAATTTTGTATTTTGCCATGTGAAATTAGATACTTAAAAATGATGTAAAAAACTGTATACCTTACAATTCAAAAATTTTTCTACTATTATTAAATAAAATAATCAAAAATAATAAATATTTACTAAAACTTATTTTTTGTATTGAATTATCATTGGATAAACTGATTTTATAATTGTGTGTAAACATTTTTAATTATCTTGAAAGGTTCTCAAGGTATGGCGAATTATGCAAAAAAATTAGCATGTTTTAGAATGCTCTCCTGATCAAATTTTAGGCAGCATATTTCCCAGATTGCATCTACACCTTACATGGTGTAAGAAAACCGAATCCATTGTAAAAAGGTATGTTCAGAGAAAGTACGTTTTTGTGTCTGATTTCATAACTTAAAATAGAGTGTGCACTAATTATTTAGCATATTTGAGAACATCCCCTTAAGCCATTAAGATTGAGTACTAAAGCGTGAAGATCCGATCATTATTTAGGGTGGTCAATTTTTTATTTTGCGCACTATACACACATTTTAAAAGTTCACATGCCTATTAAGAGCCTAAAGGGTTCAAATTTAGCCTATACACTATTTTTTTGTACTAGAGCGTTATGAGTCCCCTGAGTCACATAGTAAATTATTTTTCGCATCCGCACTTCGATTTTTGACGTGTTTGACGCATTATAACTTGTAAGCGAAATCAATGATAACAAGATAATTTATGCCTAAAAACTTTATATTTCATCCTTTCAGACAATCAGTTTCAGGCTGTTCATTGAAAGCAATTTTGCAACATGTAATGAGTTTTATAGGAAATAATACGCTATTTTTATAAATGTTCTTTTAAGTTTTGTCCATCTTTTGAGAGTGATTTCTATCATGATTAAGAAACCAGCAAAAAAGTCTGCATAAAGAAAACTCACAGCTTTTTTAATTTAATGAAAAACATTTGTGATCTAATTTTATAACATTTGAAAAGTTTCTCCAGAACAGCATTATTATGACTCATAAAAAGATGCAAAATTTGAGAATTATTTATTGATTTAAAAGAATTTAAAGCATATCACCCAATTAGCAATTTTTTTAAGGTTCAATTTTTAAACATTAGTCCTCTTTGCAGTACAATCATTTCTGTTCAGAAAGATAGTCTAAAATTAAAGCTTTACTTCAAAATTAAAACAATCAAACTGTATTTTTTTCCCCTTGGCTAAAGAGCTTTGAAAAATATCCTCAACATGATCAGAGTATAGATGCCTAAAATAAAAAAATTAATTTATTTTTAAAGTCAATGCATGAATTTGAGCTATATAAAAGAAAAAACTGTTTTGAAATCCGAAATGAAGTAAAGAAACCTGACATGCACTAACAAAAAATCAATACTGACAATTAACAAATTTCTTAGCTGCCATAGTTCGAAATCTCTATCAGATATCAAAGACTCTGTAATTCAAAGAAAGTAAGGGAGAAAAGAAACTAACAGAAATGACTATTTTTGGACACTTGTGTAAACTAAAATATGATAGCCAAAAAACAAAGCTTGTACATTATTTTTGAAGGTCATGAAATTCCTTTTATTTGCCACACAGAAAACCCATTTCTTTGAATAAAAACTAGGTTGAAAAAAAAAAAGAATACTGTTTTTTCTTCCTTGTCTTCCCTTGGAATTTGAAAATACTTGAAAGAAAACTTTTAAGGCAAAATTTTTTCACCTAAAAATTAAGTTTAACTGGTAATTTTGTGTCAGTTTGCNCTTGGAATGAAAGTTGCTGTATCGGTTTGCCGATATAGGCGTTAAATCGATATGTCGCGATATATCGATTTATAGCCCAGTCCTATATATATATATATATATATAAATATATATATATGAAATTATTCAATAATACTATTAGCATAATCCAAATGTACATTTTGTGTTTTTAATAAATTTTCTTTCATTTAATTATATGTTTTGTGTTAAGTATTTATTTGAAGAAAAAAAATATTTTTAAAGGATTAAATACTATTTTAACTTTATAATTGCTTTATATTTGAATAAAAATTCTTGGAAAATGCACATTAAAATCTCTGCACACGGTGATTTTTTGTTTTAATTTTTAAAAATAATAATTTTTCAAATTAAATAATAATAATTTCAACTCAAAAAATAGTAACTTTTCAATTATGTATAGGTGTAACCATGCGTTACACAAAACTAACAGGTTGTGCATCCATACATAAACATGCAAAACATATAAACTATACTAGAATGAGTTTAAACAGGGAACAATTCTGAAATGTGTTTCAAATTAATTTGAGGGTTGCTGATTATTTTTAGCTCAGGCCCTTAAAACTTTAGGTACATCCTGTCAACCTTATTAGGTTATGATGTATTAATTTTTTTATTTATAAATTTGCCTATAGCTGAAAATTTTAAGATTTAAAATGTTTTTAATTATACATTTCAGGAATATAAATAGTGTTCATTATTAAAATCAAAAGATTTGTAGACGGGATTACCAAGAATGGATAAAATACTCTAATTCACTATAAATTCTAATTCAAACCTTTGATCTTCTATCATGTCTTCTAGTTGTTTTCTTTTCATTCTAGCTTTGAAGTAGGTCCATGTAAAAGCATCTTTTCTATTTGTAAAAGCAAAAAACTCGGTGGTAAACGTTTTTCCAACTCTAGGTTTAAAATTAAAACTCATTTCAAGTTCACTTTTTTGAGTGTCAGGCAAATTGCGAACTTTAAATCTTTTGGGCATGATGGCTGGTAAACTTTTCTGACAACTTGACAGGATATATTTATTCAACATCATTAAAACTGCAATAGATAACAAGAATTTAAAAATAAAATAATGTACAGAAAAATAAATAACAAATAAATTTTTTTTTTTTAAAATTCTTATTAAGCAAAATTTTCTACTTCAAAGATTGGTAAGAGCAAAATAAAATTATTAACACAAATTATTTTAAACTAAAATTGAAAGTTTAAAAGTAAATACATAGTCCTTACTTCTTTCTTGTTAAAAAGATTTATTTATTTTTGAGAAGTATTTACTGAATGTTATTTCAGCAAAATTATTTTAAAGATATTAATAAAGCTCTTATTATTGTGTCAATATTTTTACATAATACGTATATTAAAATGATGGTCCAAAAGCAATTTTAATTCAGTACCAAATAAATGGTAATAATCCAATACGGTATTATATTCTTCAGTTTTTAAAATTAAAAATCTATTTTTAAAGATTTCAAACTTTAAAAAAATAAAAGATGATAATTCTTACTGAATTTGACTATTGAATTTTGTTACAAATAATTTTTGGCGTTAAATACTTTGCATAATGAAATTTGACGTAATGGTTTAAAATAATTTACAGCAAACAGATGTAGTCAAATGACATAAACAATAGTTGGGCTAGTGCAATGAAAAGCTCGATATTTCAGGAGTTTATGCTTTCAATAGTTCTCAAGAGGAAAAAAAGTATAATTACTCAGAAAAAGTGTGTTTTGTAAATAATTTTGCTCACACTAATTAATTAAGATAAGGTTTTCTAATAATCAAGATTTGGCCCTATCACATGAAGATCTGGTCATTACATCAAAATTTATTTTGGGAGTCATTTTTTGCTTTGTTTTGCCCATAATAGATTTGTCTATCGTGTATCTGAATCTCTTTCATCAAAATATCTCTGTTCAAAGTTAGTTCAATTTGTTTTTTTTTCAATGCACAATTCTTTTCCTCTTTCTATAACAATATCCATTAAAGACTCAATGCCTCTAGACAGTAGCATTTTCTTACATATCTAATGTCATTTATAACATATTGCACTACATTTGTAGAAGCAAAGTTTCTATCAAGGAACTTTCAACATTCTAACAAAGAGCCTTATGAGCAAGGGTTGTTTCATAAATGTCCAGTTTTTTATGTGGTAAATAACTGCTAAATTATTAAATTTAAAATTTACTGATTAACTATTAATCACTTAAAATTATGCACAATACAGAAATAACAAATAACAACTATTTACTATTGATCGAATAGAATACCTAATAGGATTTAAGGTATGAGGCACAATGCATCCTCACCATTCTCCTACCCAGCACCAAATTGGTTCTTTTTAATGACAACAGTTGATCAAATAGAATGTCTAGTGGGGTTTAAGGTAAAAGACCCACTGCATCCCCAACCTTCTTCAACCCAGCACCAAACTGGTTAGTTTTAATTCACATAGATATTTCACGTGGCTTCATATTGGATCAAAAGATTTAATGGTAGCACCTACCAAACTACCTACTAACAAATTTAATTTTACCAAAATATTGGGCATCAATTGCACTTTTTTCAGTACCTAGGCAAGCATGTGCCCACGATTTATAAACCTCTAACTGAGAAACTCCACCTCTGCATTACTATCACTGGTCCTAAGATAGTGGAGGCTGCATAAGAAGAAGCAGGGAGATATTTCCATAACAGTACCAGCTTGTACCAATTACAATCACTAAGGCACCAGAGAGGTATTATACTTGCAAAATTAAATACATTGTAAAGTTTGCCTATAGTTACGAGTTATTCCTTTCGAGTTGGTCCCCTTCTGGGATCTTTTTTAGTTTCTCTTGGGACACTGATTATTGAACTTGGTGATTATTTTGATTCCGATACATAAATTCTCCATGAAACTTTCTTATTTCTTCGGTATTATGAACTAACTAACTGTAAAGAGCTGACCCTTTCATCAGATGAATGAAAAAAATTTGCCAGGTTGAGTAACATTTAAATTTTACCCACTATAAAATAATTATATCATTATATCTGTATTCGACGAAAAGGTATTGGTTTAATGATTAATTTTTGTATTGGATCCTAACTGTACAGAACGATGAAACTTATTAAAATAGAAATATATTAATGGATCTTAAAAATAAGATCATACGTTGTTTTTAAACGGAATCATTATATTTCTGGATGGAACTTGCGGAAAGAAAACTAGTTATAAATAGTAAAAATTAAAAAAAATAACCAGAGCAAACAACGACACAAAAACTATCATAAATTATTAAGTTCAGCAAACATGCATATATACATTCACCAAATAATTTAGGGTAATAGTTACATCGCATTCAATACTCACATAGAATTGTGAGAGAAAAAAAGAGGAACTTGAGAGATTAATTATTTAAGAAAATATTTTACGCAAATTTTCTAAGTGAATGTTCCAAAAAATTCTTATATATATACATAAAAAATTTACTTTCAGAGGTGTCCGAAGCGAACTTTCTACTTTTTAGTAAATAAAAACAAAAACAAAACAGAAAGTTTTGGTTTCACTTCACAATTTCTCTTCACATTTGAAATAAAATTATTTCAAAATAATCAAAGCATTGTGTAATTTCGGTAAATTTAATTTATTTTAACATTTTATGATTATTAAAAAATTATGTAAGCAGCACAGCAAGTATTTTCGATAATTATTGAAATTTATTTGTTTTCGCTAATTTATTCAAGAATCTATTTTGAGATGGCAGCATTTTATTACCTACGTGTAGTGAGTGGATGTGATGATGTTTCTGCTCTGATGTTATGATAATATTTATGTTTATTTTCACACTTATATATATATAAAACCTTATACACATCAAAATTAAAAATGGTTTTAGCAGATTTGGGTCGAAAAATCACGAACGCTTTGCGTTCTTTGAATAATGCCACAATTATCAATAAAGAGGTTAATCAAGATTTTATTTACATTTGATGATACGTCAAATTTTAATGTTTATTTATTTTTCTTTGCACTAATTACTGAACACTATTTTTGCATATTTTAATTATTTAACTGAAAATTTAAATAATTATTTGTATTTTCATTTACTCTCTTTTTCAATCAATTTTTATGGTCCGGACAATATGCTACATTTATTTCCTTGATTGCTACGTTCTCCTTTCAAAATAAAGTATAATTCTATGCCTTTATAATTGGCTTATATTAAATTTTTTTCTTCTTCCAAAACTACAAAAAGTTAACAAAAAAAAAAAGTTTAGACTAATTAGAGAAAAGTTTTAGTTTTCGATTTTTCGTCAATAATCAACATTATTTCATATTTTTATTCGTGTTTTTATTTTTGGTGTTCTCATGTTTGTAAATATAGAAGCCTACTGTGTAAATAACTCATTAGTCTTTTAAACATCTATATGAGATTGCAATTGAAGCATGTAATCTGATTTCTCTCCCACTTGGAGAGAAATAAGCTTTCATTCAATTAATTTGAATTAAGTTCCTGTGTATTAAGAGATTTAAAGAGCAGCTTCAAAATTGCCCATATTATATTACGAAAGCGAATGATGATGGAATCTGCTACCTCACTTGTGTTGTGTTATCTATTATTTAAAATTAACATCGTGATCGTAGAGATTTAAACTTAGGTTACAACATAAAAGAAAGAAGAGATAAGATTGATTTAAGCTTCTAAGTAAAAAAAAAACTGAAATATTCAACTTAAAAAAATTTTTATATTGGCACATGGCCATAAATAGAGAATCAACACATATGTAACTTAAGCATGATTTAAATTAAGGCACTATTAAATTAAATTTCAGGGGGAAAAGAAATATTAGATCAAATATAAATATTTATCTGAAGTCGACAATATTCCTCCTGGGAGGGAAAATTAAAGAGGAAAAAAATGCCACCCTGTGACAAGGGCTCGTTCTACCCAGGCATACCAGACGAAAAAATAATATAAATGTTTCAACAAAAAAAACTTCTCATGTCGCCGCAACATTTTCAACTGGTCTGTGAAAGGTCTCTGCTTATTGGCTGCGGACTGTTGGAGGAATCCATCTCTGGTCGAGGGGAACAACTATCCACAGCGTTGCTTTCCGGTCTTTTAAAAACGAAACTATTTCGCTAACCATTCTCAGATTGAAAGGGGGACTGTTATAAATTAAAGTGTCCTAAAATTGGTTTTTAATGAAAGCACCTAACAATGAAAATGAATAAAATGCAATCATAAATATAATAAATATTAAATTACACTGGCCATATTACTACTTAATTATTATCCGCAATTAACTGTATTTACTTAATCCATAACACTTGGCAAAGTTTCTCAAAAATCATGGTTTATTACTCTTTGTTAAAAACAAAGTCTTTGTTGTCTTGGGTGTATTTCATTTGATGTTTGTATCAGTTGAGAGAACATGTAAATGTTCTGAAGTTGCATAAGTTATTGATTAGCTGATGCAGCTTTTAAAATAGAACTTTTAAGTTTTTCTATTGAAACTTTCTCTCTGATATAAATTAGTTAAAAAAAAAAAAGTTTAATATTATTTAGTTAAATATTATTTATCCTAATAAAATTTAACTGCATTTATGTCTAGCTATCTTAGTTTTTAAAAGTTATTTTTTTTCACGAAACATACATAGTGCGTAGCGTTTTTAAAAAGTGCTTATTTTCTTTTTTAAAAGCCCTTAAAGGGGCTTTTTTTCATTGGGTATTTTTAGAAAGTGGTTGATATTCCCTTTTTTAAAAATAGATTTATTTCTTTACCATGTTAACTTTTTACGCACATATTATGAAAAAGTGTGGTTTTCACATTGTTCTATTCAACGTTTTCACAATGCATTCAACCACAATCCATTTCGGCCCATAGCATATGAAACAGGCAATCATTTTACATGTTTTATGAAATACTTGTGAGTCTGCATGTGCGTCTACTGAGCTGAGTTCGATGAGATTCTAGCACTCTCATGTGCAACTCAGCTGCATTTCGCTAGTTATTCCCAATTGCAGCTTTCATTTTCCACCCTCATTTTTCGGACTGAAAAATCTCTTGATCTTTTAATGGTGGCTAATATAATCAAGAAAAGTGTACTTTGTCAGAAACTTTTTATTTTATCACAATCATGTAAAGTCTGAAAATAATTTTGTTAATGTATATGGTGCTTAAAAATATTTTTTAAGTGCTTAAAAATTACTTAAAAGGTGCTTATATTTGTTGAAAGATTTGGCTACACACCCTGTAATGGATATTTAATACTTGTATTGTATATATGAAATATTTTGAAGTTAAAGATTAATTTTAACAACTGATTAAAAGACCTCCAATTTTCAGATTCAGAGTGATAAACTTACCTTGTTGCTGTACTAAATTATATTTTTAAAGTAAATTTTAAACCTCTGGCAATCATCTAGATTAATTCATGTTTACTTTTTAAAGTAATTTTAGCTTTATGAATTCTGTTGTTGTTGTTGTTGTTGCTAATTCCCATCTGGTCTGACGGGGTCAGACCAGATCAATGAATCCGTTGACATTCAGAAAATCCGAAACCAGAATGGGAGAGGAATGAATGTCATTCCAGTCCAGCCCTAAACAGTTCAAGAATTTATGAATTCTAGTTTAAATTATATCAAATCAAGTCTCATAAAATATTTTAAAACAAGAGTAGTTGTATTGTGCTGCTGAAAAAATTTAATTCTAGCTCAATAGTAAAATATTTAGATTTGGTTTAGTTCTCTATAGAACGATGCTTGTAAAAATTAATCATTCATTTCAATATAATCATTTATTAATGTTGCTGATTTATCTTTAAAAAAAATGGGAATACTTTAATTATGTATGCTAAATTCTAAAATGTGAATATTAATTTTTTTATTATCTTCACAATTAAAATTACTCCTATATTTTAATTGACCATTAGCATACAAAAATTTCTAGTTTTTGTAATTTTTTACTCATTGTCTTTATAAATTTTAGAAATATTTCATGGCCTTAATTAATCTAAATTATCTTGTTTTAGGTTTTGGATTCTATGTTAAAGGAAATATGTACAGCACTACTAGAAGCAGATGTTAATATAAAGTTAGTCAAACAACTTCGTGAAAATGTCAGGTAAAAATTTTTTAGTTAAAGCATAATTCTTCACTTATTGTTTTGATTAATTTTAATGAATGTGTTGTATTGATCTTATTTTGTAAACTTCAAAATCCTCAGAATATTTTTTTTTAATTTATGGGCTCTTGTTGAAATATTATTGTTCCTAATATTTTAGATCTGTCATTGATTTTGATGAAATGGCTGCAGGTTTGAACAAGCGGCGTATGATTCAGTCTGCAGTATTTAAAGAGCTAATAAAAGTAAGAAACTATTAAAATATTTTATATATTGTAAATTTATGTGTAAAATTAATGTAAAAGTGTGATAATTTAAATATTGTATTCTGTTAAAAAACTTCCAATGTAAAAATTCCATATTTTATATAAATATTATTTATAATTATATATGTTGAACATCAGTTTAAGGACAAATTTACTTTTAAAAAATGTCAAGCTTGGTGCTGTGGTGTGTAAATTCTGAAAATTTCAAATTTTTTTTCCATCAAAAAATAATCTGTAGAGATGTGTTCGAAATTTTTGTACCTTATTGTTAAAATTAAAATATTCTATTTATTAATATTCCATTTTGTTAAAAATATTCTATTTTGTAACTACATGAAAAATAAAGTTTTCCCATAATTAATAACATAATTTAATGAAAAAAATAGAAAAGAAAGAAATAGTTATTAGAAAATACCAAGACATACATATTCATTTTCATACCACTTAAATTATAAAGATATATTTACAAACATTTTAGATATATTTTCAAAAATTAAAAAAAGAAATGGTATTTATGAAAAATCACAAAAGTGACAATAAAACAAGATTTTATTCAAAAACCAGTGGGTGTTTGCCATTCCTTTATTTATCCCATCCTTTATTTATCCATTAAAAATTGCGAAACTGTATACTGCTGTCCGATTGAAAAAACAACACGAGTGCTCCACGATTGATTTTGAGAAAAGTGGCTTGGCAACTTCTATTGCTAATGCTATAAAAGCTAAAATAGAATTTCAACAAACTGATAATACAAAATATATTTTTGAAAAAAATTTTTTTGCAATAGTTAGCTTACCATATAAAGATGCCTAATATATATAAAACTCAAATTTGAATTTGTTGTCACTTACGGTGATTTTTCAGTTGCATGGTCAGTGTTTTCATCATAGAAAAAAAATGGGTGACAATTTCTCACCCTTTCTCAAAAACAGGGTGAGATTTCAAAAAGTTAAGTGAGATTTCTAAAAACTGAAAAAATACAAATAGACTTGGAAAAAAAATAATTTCTTTTATTATAATACATTTTTAACGTCTTTTTTTTTTAAAGCATTGAATATTTTTGCTGCATCATCATAGAAGATTTTGCCTTTACTAGGTATTTGTCCATCTTACATTAGTGCATAAAAAAATTTGAACGTCTTATATGAAAAACCATACCTACAGTAAACACGTGGTTGCAGAGAAATGTGTTCTGAAAGGGGTTCCGTGGTTCGGAGGGGTTGTGTTCTGTTGTTCGAAAAGGTTCTGAACAATACCTACTGGTAAATAGGGAAGCTAGATAACGGGGCAAGTGTTGAAAATAATGAAGATCCAGGAAGAAAAGTAAAACTGATTTTATTCTAAATGACGTAATTCGAAGCTTTTTCCAAAATGCGAGAATTTCGCGAATTTTGAAATTGATTTACAGAGTGCGCGAATTTCTCGCGGTAATCATTTTTTAATGCGAGAAAAGAAAAAAATATGCGAGATTCTCGCGTTCTCGCGCTGTAGTGAAAACACTGATGGTAGTATACTGGTTATAATATATATTCTAAAATCTTAAAATAACACCTTCAATTTAGATTTGCAATTTCGTAATTGATTGGTGGGCCAATATTGTAATTGTTTCAGAATCGTTTTCCGTTATTTTTTTTTTAAACTTTAGACTTTTGCTGAATAAAATAAGATATATTATACTTTGTTTCACTTTTAAGATTCTATTATTATACATAATAAATTGTGTAAGCTAATTTTTTTTTCTTATTACTCTTATTATTTAATTAGCATTTCCTTAAATTTTTAGCTTGTTGATCCTGGAGTCAAAGCATGGCAACCCACCAAAGGAAAGCCAAATATCATCATGTTTGTCGGTCTTCAAGGAAGTGGTAAAACAACTACTTGTACTAAAGTGAGTGAGAATTTTGTTTTTGTTCTAATCAAGTGTTAGTTTTTGTTATAAATATTATTTAAAAGTATGACTCCATTACAACTTTTTTTTTACTCACTACTTTTCTTTAAATAATATACTGTCCTTAATTCACACCAATAGAAGTATATTTTCCTTTTTTTCTTATTTTTTATGTATAGTTAAACCTCCTGTTATAGTCACTCCTGCTAATTACATATTTTTAATTCCCCGATAATCCTCTAAAAATAAACCACTATGTACATTTTCCACAAAGCGGACACTCACGTAACCAAACGCAGACAATCATTTTGGCCCTGAAACATTATTTTCTATCTCTTCAAACCGGACATTAGTTCTTCTAAATTTGAAAGAAAAAAAACTATTTCTGCTTTAAATTGCAAGGGGAAAAGATGAGGCAAAAAATTTACGTATTTTAAAAATGACGAAAAGATGCAACTTTTCGCCATTTTTAAAACATGTAAATTTTTTGCCTTATCCATTACTAAAAATATTTTTAAGCTATTTCCCTACTGAAGAATCAATCTTTCTCCTGTCACCTTACTTTATCGTTGTAAAGAAAGGTGAGAAAATTATACTGCTCTTCTTGAAATAATCCGGACAGCGGCATCTTTTGATCTTTTCAACTGGACCACACAGGTTATGAGACCCCTCAAGTTGAAATGACATTTTAAATACTCTCAATGCTTTTTCCCCATTGAAACTTTCTTTAATTTTCTTATCAATTGGAAGACTATATTTAATGCAGCTGGGGTAAAAAGGAGAACAGAAATATAATCTTTGATGTGTTCATACAAATGAAACACTTATTCAGACACTTGATAGCTGATCAATTGTGAATAATCAACTCCATAGGTCCTCATGACTTAACTGTGAATCGTGGGAGGTTTACTTTCAAGAAGGTATTAACCATGTTCCCTATCACTGTAAGGGGATGTGAACTTAATAATTGAAACCAACTGAGGACTGAAAGCTCCTATTCGGTATCATACGTCTGACTTGATTATCTATGCTAATAGGAAAATTATATTCATTTATCTGTAGCTATGTATAGAATTATGTATTTATATCAAACTTGTTTATATATTCTTTTCTATCTTTCTTAAAGTTTAAATAAATATTCTTGTAGATAGTTGTTGTAAATTATTTCTACATCTGTGAAAATATTTTAAAAACAATTAATAGTTGTTAAACTCCGTTATTAGGGTACACTTCCCGTAAGCGGACAACTCTTTCATTCCCAAAAATGTCCGCTTAACGGAGGTTTTACTGTATTTCTTTTGTTATGTGAAGAGAATTTCGTTACCCTCAACGCCATAGATATTGCACTGTAGTATATGCTGTGTTCTTTCAAAAAAGAAAATAATAAATAAAAGAAACTTAAAATTCTTCATTTAATAACGATTTTACCCTCTGAGTGTTTTGACTCTATACTAAGTTGTACAGAATTTACCACCGTTACACTCTGCTTCATGGGAGCAATTTTTTTTTTCCAGAAAGGCACTAGCCTAAAGTTCAAAAATAAAATGCTCTGAGAGTTTTTTTTTTAAATGGGCTTTTTTATATTGTCTTTTATCAAATATAGTTATAATACGAATTAAATTATCATTATGAATGCAGAGTATTTTTCAACAGTGTATCAGCTCCATATTTGTTCATTTTATGGTATAAAGCTCTAAGTATAGAAAATTTTGCAGTAGCGTCTTCTGTTGTCAGTAAAAATCAGCTACCATTTTTAAAATAAGATACAAGTTACTTTTATGAAAATGATTTTAATTCTATTTTTTTATGCAGATTTAATCCAATTTTTATGTAAGAGTTTCATATGTTTGTAAGTAAATTAAATGTAGATATTTTATTAATTTGTTTTAATTTTGTTCTGATGGTTTGCTGTTCATAAATTGAATAACGAATGTAAAATTGATCACAATTTCATTCTAGTTACAATATTTACTTTTTTTTTTTGATTTCTACATTTTCTGTCCTATAACCAAACATTTTTCTTGCAGTTAGCTTATTATTATTTAAGAAAAGGATGGAAGACTTGCCTTGTGTGTGCTGACACTTTCAGAGCTGGTGCCTTTGATCAATTAAAACAAAATGCAACAAAAGCTAGAATACCTTTCTATGGAAGGTAAGTTTATCTGTCTTGGGTGCATTAAATTATGTTTTTTAATTGTAAACAGAGGTTATTACAAAAAATTTTTTTGCAGCTATACAGAAGTAGATCCTGTTGTAATTGCTCAAGAGGGTGTAGAAAAATTTAAGAACGAAAGTTTTGAAATTATAATTGTAGATACCAGTGGTAGGCATAAGCAAGAAGATTCATTATTTGAAGAAATGTTACAAGTTTCTAATGCTACGGTAAGTTTATTAAACTAATCGTATAAAAACTATTTGTTTTTAATAATGTTTAACGTTTTTAATAATGTTTTTAACGTGTTTATTCATACGTAAGAAATTTTATAGTTATTTTTTTCTTCCTATTAGCCTATTCTGAGCTTTGCATTCTTAAAAGCAGTAAATCTGAAGTTTTTAGAATTTGAAATGGAGATTTTGGATCAATAATAGAAAGAAATTGAAGCTAAATATAGAGTGTTCTATAATTAAAGTCCTAATATATATTTTTTAGAATTCTTGTCAAAAATGAAGTTTATAAAGCATAAACATTTAAGAAAATGTACACATCATTTAAGCTAAGAAGAATAGAAACAAAATTAATAAATCATTACTGAAATAGGTGGGGCTGAAAACATCAAAGCCTGTTTCTTTGCTGAAGAAAATAGAGAATAGTTAAAATTTAACTATAAGAAATACTGAGTTTCATCAGGATATCAAACTGGTTTTGATATTTTTCACCCTATCTTTTTCACTTGTGATTTAAAGCATTTTGATTTTTTCTCACTTAAATATTCATTTGCACTCCCTATCGTGTATTTATTTTTGACTAGAATTCTGAAAATATACATTAAAAGCGATCATTACAAAAAACCCTTTTTTTTAACATCATATTTTTAATATGTAACAAATATAATTTTTTATTTCGTATAAAGTAGTGACATAGCTCATTCATTGAAAAAAAAATTTTTTTAATTAGTGCCATATGAACTTATATATTTTTATTAAGTTTCTTTTTTTGCGAATTAAAAAAAGAATATTTGTTTCGTAAAAAAGTTATTAGATTTAAACTGAATCTGTGGTATTTTTAACCTATACTACCTGTTTTTGTATCTGCATGCATTTTATTTGTATTAGACATGTTAAAGTCATCGAAATATATTCGTATAAAGAAGTTAATCTTTTCACTCTAAAATTACAGAATCCAGATAATATTATATTCGTGATGGATGCTTCAATTGGTCAAGCTTGTGAAGCACAGGTAATTATTATTTAATTACTACTGTTAAATTATATTAAAATTATCGAAAAAATTATTAAAATAGTTTTAAATATATATTTTGAATATTTACAGGAAATAAATTGAATTCTTAACTAATTGCATGCACACACAACACTTGAAGACTGTCATTTTTCAAATAAAATATTTTTAATTTTCTAACTTAAATTTACAAATCTTGATTAATTAAAATTATTATTTACACCTTTCATTGTTAAAAAATGTATGTGCTTACACCTGGAACAGTAATTATGCAGAAGCTCCAAAGGTGATCCTTTTCACTTTTTTTTTCATGTTTAATATTTAATAATTAAATGCCATAAAGTAAAAATAAAAGTTTTCATTTTCAGTGAGTTTATAATATAAACTTGTTGATTCAATATTTTTTATTAACCACATTAAACTTTATTAAAAAAGTTATTAAAGTAATTTGAAATACTTTTACATATTTTTTTATGAAATAAATTGTTTACTCAATGCTCTAATTCAAATACTTGTCTGTATGCACAAATATGATCCTCTTAGCAATTTAACACTAGAAGACAATCACTTTTAAAATTATTGTGAATTACACAAATCTTGATAGATTGCAATTATTATCTTCTTTACTTATTGTTCGAGATAGTTTGTATACATTTCATGCATCTAATAAAGAGAAGTTAGCTATTTGAAAGCGGAAAATCTCGAAACCACTTCCATTTCTTATAGTATTAAATATTTAATTCTGTTGGAAAGAAGAAGTTAAAAAAATTTAGCTCTATAATATAATCTAGGTATTGTATCTAATGTTGTTAGCGACACTTATAACAATGTAAGTAATGGACATGCAATATGTTAAAGTCAAAATTGTGTAATTTGCAACTAATATTATAACTTATTGATTAAAAATTAGATTTACACATTTGTGACACTATTTGTTTTTACAAAATATTATCCATTTTTAAAAAAAATCCTTTTTGATATTCATATATTAAAAATGTATTTCCAAACCTCACATTTTAAAATTCAGAAGTGAAATGAAATGATAAAGTTAATATTCATTTAACAAATTAAATTACTCTAGAAACTGCTTCATCGATGACAATAATACTTAAAATTGGTTAATTCAATTTTATGTAATACATTTTTTTAAAAATTAGTGTGTATTTATTAACATTCTAGTAGCAAGCAATTTTCTACCATTATTACTATTTTAATTTTTGTTTTATATTTGTAAATTTGTGTCGATTTGTTAGCAGAATTCCTTAGCAAAGTTTTTTTTCTTCCTTTTTTTTTTTAAATTTATATATTGAAATAATCTAAACACTAAAACACACAATTAGCTAATATTATTGTTTAAGAATAAAAAAAATTAGAAATTAATAACAGAATTTCAAAAATATCTTCAAATGCTTCTTAAGCATATTTTGGTTATACATTTCAGGGTTCTTTTACACATTTGTAAATCACAAAATCAACAGTCAAAAACAAAATTTAAAAGGAAATTTTTATAATACCTGCAGTGTACTTCTGGGTACATATAAATGTACTAATGTCTTGCTTAGTTTTATATCATTAAATGCTAACATTTTTTAATATATGAAACTTATTGTTATTTTATCACTTTGTACATTTTTAAAACTTCCTTTCCTTCTCTTTCTAGGCTAGAGCATTCAAAGATAAAGTAGATGTAGGTGCTGTTATAGTTACAAAATTAGATGGTCACGCAAAAGGTGGAGGAGCACTTAGTGCGTAAGTTAATATCTGTTTAAAAAAACACTTTTTTCACACATATTTTATTTATAATTAACAGCAATTGATTAATAAATTTATTTCCTAATTATATCTCCTTATGAGGTTTATCTTAAGGTAAACATGGGTTTCATATTTCCAACATAAAGCTAGTGATTTATAATTCTCTTTTATTTCCATTTTTGTTTTTGATTCTGAAATTTTCAACATTGCTTAATTTTGTCACCTTCAGTTAATGAAACTTTTTCATCCTGAATTTGATGTAGCTGAGCCACATTCAGATAACATGATATTAAACAGTGCATTTATTTGAATGACCTATTCTGTTTTTTTAACAATCATTAGGATCATATTGTTCACTACCATTGGTTTAATTCATTGATTACAGTAAATCAAAATCAATGTAAAATTGACTCATTGTATAATTCACTTTGTGCAATTGTGATGATCACATGTACATGGTATTAGAAACTTCATTTGTTTTATGAATAGAAAAGCATGTTTTATGAGTTAAATTAATTTGTAAGAGATAATTTCAAAGTTGTTAAAATTTCCATTTAACTAGAATTATATATTAAATCTGGCCAAGTATAGCACCGGGTTAGGTTAACCTCAACTATAGACCATTTCAAGTTCCTGACCTTTGAAATTGATGCGACCCGAGTAGCAGAATTAACAGATCTTTGTAAATTTATTTGCAAACCAAACACAGTCAGATAGACTATTATTGTCGAAATTATGCTTAATTTAACATGCATATAGCAAAATTAGCACATATACTGTTGACAAAAATTATGTAGGGGAGAGGGGGACACATGTGAACAAATTTTTTTATTTCTTCATTTTTCAAAAAATATCATCAATTTTTCATAGTGAAGAAGTCCATATGTTTAAATAGTCTTTTCTTTGTCTTATGGAATTTTTTAGGATTTTTCAATAAAATATTTCTTTACTTTATGATATTTTAGAAAAATGACTTCAATTGTTCACATGTGCCCCTGTTGGGGGCACATGTGAACATGCCTGGGGCATATGTGAACAAGATTAAAAACACAGAGCAATCATCATATTTCCAAGAAAAAAAATCTTTAATATAACAGGTATAGATACGCATTGTACTAAATGGGTTGTAGCTTACTATGTGAATTTAAATTGTACAACAGTACTGTCAATAAGAAAATAATTTTTCAGCTGTACAATAATTTTTCTGTTGTTGGGTTTTTCGCAACTTCATGTTCCATGGGATTTGTAATGGGCCTTTTTCTTTCTTCTCTGATACTCTTTCATGTTTTTTTTTTGTTCAATTTTTCTATGTTTTCATTTGCAGCTTTAGCAATTCTATTTTCTCAGGTGTATCAGTTATTTTGCGTGGTGCGCGATCCACCATTTAATAAAAAGAAATTTTTTTAAAGGAAAAATTTATAAATTAATTATGGAAAATTAAATAATAATAGTTTTAAATGCATACATATTTTTTAAACTTATAATATCAGGAGGATAATAATCTTAATACTATGTAGGGGCACTTGTGAACTGTTCACATCTGCCCTAGATGTTTTGTTCACAAGTGCCCCCATCATTCTTCTTAAACCTAACTTGAAAAATAAGGAATTTTTAATTGAGTAAAAAAAAAATAATTGTCATAAACTTACCTGAATGTTCATATAATGGTCTGCAATAGTTAATTTTAGTTTATTAGTTAATTTATACTATACTTTCACTTGAAGAAGCGAATGATTATAATATATACAACACCAGCTGATACAAAGAAATTGTCAGAATGTTTTCAGAATGTCAGAATTGTCAGAATGTCTCATTGCTCTGAAAGTTTTTCAGAGAGGTAGGACTAGTACTGCCATCAATTGAAAATTTTTCCAGATTTTTTATTTCAAACCATATTGGTAAAACATACCATGTTCACGTGTTCCCCCCTCTCCCCTATAAAAAAATTTTACAAATTTGTTTCAATTTCAAAAAATATATATGTATACACACTTTTGAATGAAAGGAATAATGGGCTAATTGAAAGTTAAATAATGGAATACAGTCTATAAACTAGCAAGTCGAGTTTTAGAAAATTAAAAATTTATTTCTCAAATTTTTCTTATCATTTAAATTCATTATTTTTCAAAATTGAAGCTAATTAAAGTGAATAATCTGAAATTTTTAAAGTCATCATTTTTCATTTATATATTTGCAGATTGGTACACTATTTTTGTTTAGGACCTGAAACAAATTGCAATTAATAAATTTCGAATTTGAAAATGATTGTTGTTTCTCCTCTTAGTAGTATTTTTGGCCTGTTTTTTAATCTGAGAAGAAAATATATCTTTAGGCACAGTGATATATACATATTTAATTCCGATGTGAAACAAAATAGTTCTCATAGAACTGCATTGAGGATACTGGTTATAATAGGCTAAATAAATAAATATTATTTTTCATACATTGGGTCAAAATGCCACTTAATCCTAATAAATACATTGTAAGATTAAGAATTGTTTCCATATGAAGTGTTTTATGAAGTTATCATCATTAATATTTTAATAAAATACATGATACAGCAAAAAATTAAGACATTTTAACTTAACTGACATAAAGTTTAAATAATTTTTAAGTGCATTTTTATGGATGAGCAGTGATATTTGTTTGACTTAAAATTAAAGTTTAATATTGCATGTACAGTAGAGAACCGATTATCCGGAACGATCGGGACCATCGCGATTCCGGATAACTGATTTTTTCCGGTTTTCNGACGTATGGTGTGGCAGAAGTCGAATTCTTGGCCATAGATGGCGCCACCAAAAAACAAGAAATACACACTCTGCCTTAAATTTGCTCGGTTTCACCAAGCAGGCCTGAAAGTGTGGCAAGTGGCGTTAGAAACAACAACAACACAATCAGATATTATTGTAAAAATTAGGGTTAATTTAACACGTGTATAGCAAAATTAGCACATATACAGTAGACAGAAATTATGTATGAAAAACGTAATTTTTTTTTTTTAATTTAAAAAATAATTATACACATTTAAATGAAAGGAATAATGGGCTAATTGAAAGTTAAATAATTGAATGCAGTCTATAAACTAGCAAGTAGAGTTTTTGAAAATTAAGAATTTATTTCTCTAATTTTTCTTGTCATTTAAATTCATTATTTTTCAATATTAAAGCTAATTAAAGTCAATAATCTGAAATTCTTAAAAGTCATTTCTTTTTGTTTATATATATCTGCAGATTGGTAGACTATTTTTGTTTAGGTCCTGAAACTTGCAATTATTAAATTTGGGAATTGAAAAGGATTGTTGTTTCTTCTCTTAGTAATATTTTTGGCCTGTTTTTTAATCTGAGAAGAAAATATAACTTTAGGCACAGTGATATATACATATTTAATTCTGAGGTGAAACAAAATAGTTCTGCTAGAGGATTTCTGCTATTGAGGATACTAGTTATAATCGGCTAAATAAATAAATATTATTTTTCATACATTGGGTCAAAACGCCATATAATCCTAATAAATGCATTGTAAGATTAAGAATTGTTTTAATATGAAGTGTTTTATGAAGTTATCATTAATATTTTAATAAAATACATGATATAGCTAAAAATTAAGGCATTCTAACTTAACTGACATGATGTTTAGATAATTTTTAAGTGCATTTTTATTGATGGGCAGCGATTTGTTTGACTTAGAATTAAAGTTTAATATTGCATGTACCTTGTGTTAATGGTGTAATAAATTTAAATTGATAGTTGATGAGTAATAAATTATCAGTTTATATTTTTTGATTAAAATTACATTTCAAAATTAATTTTATTTTGATTACATCTATATTTTAAATATTTCATATTTGTAATGTAAGTCCTAATTTAATATTTTTTGTGAATTTTAATTTTCTATTATTTCTTTTTAGAGTTGCTGCTACACAGAGTCCTATCATATTTATTGGCACTGGTGAACATATAGATGATTTCGAACCTTTTAAAGTAAAACCTTTTGTCAGCAAGCTTTTAGGTAAAAACTAAATCTTTTAACAGACTCTTTTTTCCCTACATTGCTACTACTTATACACGAATTAACTCATGAAGTCTTTAAAAAGCCTTAAGTTGAAACATCATATTATTTTACGCATTGAAATTTTATTTTACAGATTAACAATATTCATATTTTAGGAATGGGAGATATTGAAGGATTAATTGACAAAGTAAATGAACTGAAACTAGATGACAATGAAGAACTTATAGAAAAATTAAAACATGGTAAGCTTTTATAATTTTTACTTTGCTCGATTTTAACTAACAGTTAAAATTGATTTATTAAATGCAAACTTTAAAAAATGTGTAGAACCAAGGATTTTTTATAGTTTCTATAGACTTATAGTATATATTCCATTTCTTTGTGACTTATCTATCAGATCAGATTTTCAATTTGTTATCATTGTGATACATTTTCATTTCTAAAATGATTGTACTGCATGATGATCTGTGCTAAAATGTGCAAAAGTATGCTAAATCACTAATAAAATCTATGCTAATCAAATAAAATGTATGCTAATCACTAACAGTAAGTGCTAAAATCACTAATAAAAATTAAAGCTTATAGCTGTTATAAAGTCTCATAAGTGCAAACTCTCCATATTTGCTAAGTAAGGCACTCCAACTTTTATGCTATTTTACTAAAAATCTACTAACCTCTTGTTTTGATTCAATATTTAATAAACTTCAATGAAAAGATAATTTTTACTGTAAAATGATTTCTTTTTCACTTAATTTTTTTTTAAAAATTATTATTGAAACAGCTGTATCAGTTTTTTTTAAATTAACAGCTAGCATTAAAACTTGTTGAGTGTTTTAAAGTAATTTTTTATCTTTTTAAGTATTTGATAGTACCTTTTCATGGTTTACTTTTTATTAACTGAAATTTGTAAAAGCTTATTTTAGCGATTGATTTAATATAACTTACTGAAGTCTTTATTAAAGCTTCATTTTATATTTCAATAAAATTGCAGTAAGTTTTTTAATGATTAGGCAGATGTGAAAGAAAATTATTGCTGTATATCAGCATACATGTAAATGCTCACAGACTGGCTAACTAACAGGATTTTTTTAAAAATAAAATTAACAGTTTTACTAATGAACTTCTCTTCAATTAATTTTGAATCTGGGTAAAAATGTATAAAGGCAGTGGCAGTTGTTTTATATACTCACTAAGCACATTATTTAGTGCATTATCATTAAATTTCTCAATTAATCTGCTTTTCAATAGTACTAAGTGTAAAGACGCTTTTCAAGTGTACTAATGTTTATATTTTATCATACATAATTGTAACTAGTTATTTTAAAATGCATCTTTATCTAAGGAATAAAATGTTTTTTGACAAAAGGAATTTTGAAATAAAATTATTATTTCTTAATGTAAAACTAAGTAGTAGTTAAAAGGATTAATAAACTTAAAAGTATACACTAATTAGACATTTGCTAACTTTAGATTCAAGAAAATATTTTTTAGTATGAAATTTTTATTCTATGGCATTTAGTTTAGTAGTTATAAAAATTTAAATCCTACCTTTTTTTTCTAATACTTTAGGTGAGTTTACATTGAGAGATATGTACGAACAATTTCAAAATATTATGAAAATGGGACCTTTCAGTCAAATTATGGTAAGGAATGTGAAATAAGTAATTTTATTTCCCTCCTTTTTTTAAAATCATTTTTTAATATTTATATTATAAAGTTATATAAAAATTAAATTTTTACAATATGCAAATATTGTAACCTTAATCTAATCATATTTTCTCCTGCTCCCCTTAAACATTGATAATTTTGTATTGAATTTTATTTTATGTGTTTTCTCTAATAGAGTAACTATTAAATTATTTTATTGAAAATTAAAATTTTTGCTTTGTTATGAAAGATGATTTACCCTGAGCTGGTAAATAAGGCTGCAAGTAGGAATCAGTTAAGTGTTATTTTAACCAAACAATCAATTTTAATTTGGCATAGTTTTAAAAAAAATAAAGAATTTATTCTCCACTTGCCTCTTTTTCAAACTAGAAATAATTGCTTATTTATTATTATTTATTGTAATTTATTATTATTGTAGAATATGATCCCAGGATTTAGTAGTGATTTCATGACAAAAGGCAATGAACAAGAATCCATGTCCAGGTTAAAAAAGCTGATGACTATCATGGACAGCATGAATGACCGAGGTTTGAATCTTTGATATTAGAAATATGTATATATTTTGGTCGAACACTATTGATTTTACCTCAATATGTATGCATATTTACACAGAATATATATTATCCAATAGGCCTTGAATTTTTTGCTTCATTCATGCTTAATATTTCTTTAATAATGCTTAATATTTAACACCTCTTATTTATTCTTAACCTTAAAGTGTTGATGTAGATACAACGTTAATATTTGATAGATTAGTAATAGGTACATTCATTTATATGAAACAAGAACAGATGTTAAGGGGGCATGTAATATTTTCATACAGACATGTGTTTTGTAGATTATATCTCCTTGAGAGCATTAAAAAATTTTGAGACTTTTCAAGCCGTGATGCTGACATTGCTGATAAGAATAAATTCGTAATGAATGCCAATTAAAATTTTTCTAAAAAAAAAAGAGGAAAAAAATTTTTTTTTCCTAGTTCCAGAATTAATGTTCTAATTCTGGAAAATAGATTTATAGAAAATTTTGCCTGTTATTTTGGAAAATTTCAATATTTATATATATATATATATAATCAAATGTGATAATTTGTATCATAGTGATGGAATTCAAATTAGGTTACACACGCCTAACAATTTTTTGACTTTCACCAGTGCATTTTTTAAAATATTGTGAAATTAAACAGTTAAAAGAAATTTTCAGATTTTCGTCAATTACTTATAACTAATTCTTTAATTTGTTCAAGCAAACAAAAAAACCTACTAATTTAATTATCCTATATTGAAATCACTTGAATAGAAGGAAAGGAGTTCTGCAACTTTTATTAAATATATATATTTTTAATAGAAGATAAAAGCTACTATTAATTTTAGATTTGCCTAATTCTCACTGTACCTTAACTGTATCTGAATTTTTCAAATAATTAGTAATTTTTAGTAAAAGTTAAAAGGATTTTTAGGAATCAATATGCAGAACTTTAGAGGTTTTATGAATCAGAGCTTGTATTACATAACTGTTTTATTCTAAGAGTTTTTTCTCTTTATAATGAAAGCAAAAAGGTTTAAAATTTATAAGTTGAAATTGTTTCTAAGTTTCCTATATTGTCCATATTTCTCTCTACTATTTTTTTTTTTAAAAAGTGTTTAAAATAATTATAATAATATATATTAAAACATTATCTCTATTTTTTTGTTACAGAATTAGATCACAGGGAAGGAGCAAAGCTTTTTTCTAGACAAACAGGTCGTATTACAAGGGTAGCAAGGGGAGCTGGTGTTGCTACGAGAGACGTTCAAGAGTTGCTTTCACAATATACTAAATTTGCTGCCATGGTAAAGAAAATGGGTGGCATCAAAGGCTTATTTAAAGGTACTAAATCACTTTTTCTAAAATGAAAATGTAAAAGATATTTTATTTTTTTTCGAAATTTATCATAAAAACTTTCCAGTTCATAATGGATTTTGGCCATTGGGGCCCTTAATAATGTTGCGCGATTTGAAAATCCTGCATCACACATCACGATTTGTATTCACACGATTTAGAAATTGCACGTCATGATCTGCATTTGTGTGATTTAAAAATGACACATGGTGATCCATATATGTGCGATTTGAAAATGACACATCGCGATCAGCATTCGTGTGGTTTAAAAAATCACAGATCGCGATGTTTATTCACGTGATTTAAAGATAATAAAATTGCAGTTTGTATTCATGTGATTTAAAAATCACACAGTAATCCGTATTTGAGTGATTTAAAAATCACACAAAGGAATCTGTATTTGTGCAATTTAGCATTGCAAAGCAGTTTTTAAGGAGTTTATCTATGAAATCTAAGAGCACAATTTGTATTTACAGGATATATTAATGACATATCTTGATCCACATTCATGCGATTAAAAAAAAATCCCACAACATCTTATATTTGTAGGATCTAAAAATTGCACATCGTAATCTGTATTAGTGTGATTTAAAAACCACGTAGTGCAATTCCCTATTCCATAGCTGCCAACTCTACTGGTAATAAATATTTTCACCCTTATTTTGTTTGCTTTCGCGGCAAGAAACAGCTACGCCTGAATTATGAAAATACAAGCTATCTGGCGGGAGGGTGAAAATACAGAAAATCTTATTTTTTGCGCTTAAAAACAGAGAAAATAGACAAAATGAGTAAAAATGCGGAAGGGTTAGCAGCTACAACGTAGTTTGAATTTTTTGTTTATCTTCGAAAATATAATTAATTGCAACGACTACATTTCAGAAAAAGTGGAATATTTATAAAACAAAAAAATAATCTAAACTTTTAGAAAATCTGAGTTTTCGTTAAAAAGGCTGAAATTCGAGAGACAATATCTAAAAAATCTAATCCCTGTAAAGAGTGGATAGTTTAAGTATTTGTGTTTAGTAGTAAGAGTGTTCTAGTTCTTAATGCAATATAATTTAATAATCAGATAATTAATATATTTTATTTTTGTATGTAGTTACATTAAAATTGTATTTGTAATACTGAAGCAAAAAATTAACTCAACTAAAATGTTTTGATCCTGATAAATATTAAAATTTTAGTAAAACCTCATTTAAAAATGATTTAAGTTTGAAAAATTGTGTTAAGTTAATATTTTTGTGTTTGAAATGTTATCTTTTTATTTGTTTATATATATATATAGTAATTTTTTAGTTCATGAATAATGTTGATACTTTTCTTTCTTTGAAATTAAGTTTACACCCCTTTTGAAAATAGCATATCTGAATTTCTATCAGATGAAAAATTTTGGCTTTGTAAAATGTTCTTAAAAGACATTATTAAATAATTTTAAATCTATGTTCTAATTTGAATGCTTGTAACCACTAATTGCTGAGTTATTTTATTTTCGGTTTATTTAGTAGTTCGGTATACTTTTTTATTGTATTTGCTTCGATTCGCTTAATAAAAATACATGCAAAGCGTAAAGCAATATTGTTTTTTAAGAGAGAAAGTTACAGGTTTAGATCTTCTTTCGGCTATACTGAGTAATAATATAAATCATGAATAATGTAACATGTGTAAATTATGGAAAGTGTTAGGTTGAAGTCATGAATCTAACAACTAAATTTAGCAGATAACCTGAATGTAAAATGAAAGTTACAATTTATCTTTATTCAAATAAATGAATGTAAAACCATTTTAATTAAATTAAGTCTTTATTAAATTCACATTTCACTTGACTGAAATTTATTATTTTGTATTTCTTTAGGTGGTGATATAGCAAAAAATGTTAACTCCGTTCAAATAAATAAATTAAATCAACAGATGGCAAAAATGATGGATCCTAGAGTATTACAACAAATGGGTAAGTTTTTTAAAAAAAATTTTATTAGATATTAGTTGAACCAATTATTTTTTTATTATTATGAATGTTTTTATATGCATGTATATGTAATTTTTCTTTGAATTTTACTATGCAAATAATTTTAAAAATGGTGTGTACCATAATAAATGTTTCCAGTGTGATGCTAGCTTCAAAATATTTTATATCTCTAATCCAAAGTTAGCAGTTACCTATGAAGTAAATTCATTGAAATTAGATATTACGTTTGCAATTTCTCAGCAGTTCTTAAAAAGGAAAAGTTCTTGTTTTTTATTTTCAAAAAAAAAGAATGGAAGAAAGATAATGCTCTACTAAAGGGAAATATAAATACAAGTTTGTATCACTATGCCGTTTCAATATTTTTTTCAAATTCCAATTACTTGTTTTGATGTCTGTGATCTATACAAATAACTAAAATCATATTTTCTGATTGGAAACTTATTTGTTATCACTGTTAATTTTAGAATCATTATTGTATTTAATATTTATTTTAAATTGTATATCTTTTTTTTAGAATTTCATCAATAATTTTAGTTTTTTAAATTATTTTTTTAACCATAAATTTTTCTTAGTTTGCCATAGGTATATTTTTAATTGACTCCTTAATTTATTGATTTTTTCTATGATGGGAAAGATTATTTAATTTCTTGCAATTTATTTCATTCTTGCAATCACATAGAGATTTGCAATTTTTTTTCTTTTTTAAATTGAAACATGTAAATCTCTAAATGATTGCACGAATATCTTGATTATTATCGATCAGATTAAATCGCACTCTTATCTCGTTTCACTTGTAGGAAAAATGGTTGATCCTCATTTGTCTTAAAAAAATCTGATAAAATAGTTTCATTTTTATATTTATAGGTGGCATCAGTGGACTACAGAATATGATGCGCCAACTGCAAGGTGCAGCTACAAATAACCTGGGTGCAAGATCAGGGAAATGACATTCTTGTGATGCCTAAAACCAAATTCATTCTTTTTGTTGCCTAATGGTAACTCACAATGGTAACAGAGAGACTGTCTGTGATGGTTTCAAGAATAGTTACAAAATTATTATTTATGGTAGATGCTCATCAGCCATTTCTACCAATTGTACATTAAACTTTTGTACACAATTTTATGACTTGTAAAAAAATATAGGAAAAGAAATTCTTATTAGACACTATGCATTAAGGAATTCTTTTTTTATACGAATGAAATGTAAATATGCCAAAATTGTGTATAACTTATTTGCCAGAAGTCCATTAATGTCAATAAAAGTATCACTTGGGTTTTAATCTGTCTTTTGTTATTAAAGTCAATAAATTAAAAACAGTAACATAACGCTGCACCAGAAAGAGAGCTGTGAAAAAAAAAAATTTTTTTTTCATGCCCGAAGTCTTCTATGAATTTAATATTCTCCAATAAATAAAAATTAGAACAATATATTTAAAAGACTAGACTTCATTTTTTTTTAATTAAAAAAACTTCAGAAGTGTTGAACACTAGTCAGGTTTTCAAACTTCTGTGTTGAAAAGTTAATTTAACTATTTTATAATGTATTTTTTCGATTTTCTCCATACGTAGCAGTTTTCTAAGTTTTAAAATCGTTTGCTGTTTTAACTTCATTATCCTTAATACTTATCTACTTGTCATTTTAATTGTATTATTATTAATATAAGAGTTTGTTTTTATCATTTCCATTTAACATTCTTCAATGTGTAATCATTATCACAATAAAGCAAAATGTAATTCTTCAGATTCGCTTTTATTCTCTTTGAATTATGATTCTCGTATTACGATTCCTATTGACGACAAAGTAGGTATTGTGATTTACGAATCAAAATCGAGATTACGAATAATGATCGTGAACAATTCATTAGTTAACATGTATTTTAATCTTATTTTACTATTCATATTTACAGATTATACTCCTCAATTTAACCTTGACAAAGTAGAGATTGTGATTTACAAACCAGCATCGAGATTTACGAATAATGATTGTGAACAATTTGTTGGTTAACATGTTTTTCGAAACTTATTTTACTATTCATATTTACAGATTATACTCCTGAATTTAACCTTGACTTGCAATGTCCTGTCATTGCACCAACCACATTTCATGTATACACTTTGCGTAATCACACAAATTAAAAATCATATACGTTTCATAAGTATGTCGCAATTAGTATTTATGTGATTTAAAACTAAAACATTTTCACATCAAATATTATGATTCGTATTCATGAATTTAAAAACCAATATTGTGATTCATGTGACTTAAAATTTATTCATTTCAATTATTCTTATTCAATTTAAGATTAAATTATCGGGATTCATATTCATACGATCTTAAAATCAAACATCGCTTTTTTTATTCATGCAATTTAATTTTAAAAGTTGATAATACTAATTCATGAATAAAATTTGAAAAAAGTTTTGTATGTAGCCTAATTATAAATTTAACACATTTGTAACATTTATTTTCAATGTTCACACAAATAATTTTAAAAGATATCACCTTTTTGAAGCTCCTACTGTAGCTAAATAATAGTCCAAATCTGTGCTAAGAACTGAAATCTCTTTTAATATTGTCACGAAATGTAGGTATTTTTAAAAATAATATGTCTTATAATGTTGATCAGGGTGCGTAACGTTTTTAAAAAGTGCTTAAAGGTACTTATTTTCGTTTTTAAAAATGAGATTTTTTCTTTACCACATCATTTCCTCCCCCAGGAATTATGCAAAAAACGTGGTTTTTCACATTGTTCTATTCAACGTTTTCACCATTCAACCATAATCCATTTTGGCATACATATCTCATAAATTCGGTTGTTAAATATGATTTTATAAATAACTTTTGTTCAAATCTAAAAAATACACTTGATAGCCTTTTTAAATGATAGTTAAATTAATTATAGTTTTGAATAAAAAATTTTTTTACGTATTTGTATAAAGTAATTATTAATTTAAAAAATAGTACTTCAAGTGAAACTAGATACCTATGTTACTATTTGCCACATATGTTATACAGTAAACTCTTATTTATTCAACAAATAGGTGAATTTGCGAAACAAGCCATAAATTAAAATCTGTCACATTTAATAATAAAGGTCAATTTTTTATTACATATAGAATATCTTTCTTTTTTTAACTGTTTTTTTCCTGATCCAAAAAATGTAAACTAAAAAATTAGTATTTATAACTTACGATTTTTAATTTTTTTACAGAATTGCTTTGAATAGTAAAAAACAAACTACGGGCATACAAAGCTATTTCGTTCACTTACAACTATTCTATAATTTGAGAACTAACATTATTTAGAAAAACATATATTCTGATTGTTCAACTGAGTATTTTTAGTGGAATACACTCCCAGTTTCTATGAAGGGAATATATTTCAGTGCATTGTGCTGATATCTAGTAGAAATTCTGAGTTAAAGTATTTTTCTGAAAACAATACTAAGTAACAAACCTAGCCAATAATTCATTGGGCCAATCTTGTCTCAACAAGGTTATAAACGCCCAATATGTTACGGATATAGAAACGTCCGACTCACTTGATATTTTATAGCCACTATTCAGTCAATGTTAACTCTATATAAAATTTTGAAATTCACCCGATATTTTATTTCCCTTATTTACCCAATATCGGCCCTATACAGATTTGTAAAGTTCGCCCGATATTTTAAAGCCGTTATGCGTGTTTCTTGTCATATCATTGTTTGTTTTTCTGTCTATTGTTGTCTTTTAATCTGCCAATATATTACTAGTTTTAAAAATGCAGCCCAAGTTTCTTCCATTTTATGTTAATTAATGTTAACAAAATACAAATGTAATAATTTTTTCATCAATAACTTTATTTTAATATAATGAATATTTACAGATGAATATTTCCTTTTCTTTCAAATATTATAAGTAACAGAATTATCTTTGGCGACCCATTAGCTTGTTTAACCTATTATTTAAAAATTCCAGTAGAATATGCCCATGAACGAGGTTGTTTTGGCAATCAACATTTTGTTCTGGAATAAGTCTTACACCCCTTTCCCAATTCCAAAGTATCCGCTTAGAAAAACAAGACCTGAAAACAATTAGAATATTTATGTAATTATATTTTTGGATAAATATTAGTAAAAAAACACTACAGAATATTCAAATATACATGCATCTTAAAGGGAAATCTCTAACAAATAAAGATTAAAAGAAAAGAAATATAAGCCCTATAAAAATAATAGAATTTTAGCAAGATAGCACTAAAATTTTATCATAAAAAAAAGTTCTAATATATTAAATATTAATCTAGTGTACGTTAAAAAAATGACATGAGACACATTAAAGGTTATAAACTATTTTACAAGGCAACAAAATAATTTTTTTAGTGCATCAATAATTTGTAACTATTAACTCTCTTAATTTTTTTCTTCTTCTCTAAGTTGAAAATCATCAGAGCCGATGCTGTTTTGGATGCTTAATTTCGGGTTACCTCTTGTTTTGCTGCTGAAATTTTTTTTAAGATTTAGAAATTTGAAATTAATGAAGACGTAAAGAAAAATGTACCGGGAATAAAGAATTAAAATTTTATCTGCTCTACAGCACACACAGAAATGAATTATAAAGTTAAAAACTTGATATGCTGAAATGTTCAAATCTTACTTTTGAACTTAAAATTAGCTTTTTTAAAATTTCTATTTGCTCAAAATTTATTGATTGCACTTTTAAATGCTTTTCTGTGATTTTTTTCTCAATTTTTTTAAAAATTTCACATAACTTTTCCAACTATTATTAAATAATATAATAAAATTTCAATTAGTTTTGCTGCACAAAAACTATAATACTTACAAACTTTAAATTAAAAACTACAGAAAGTACAATGAATACATGAAAAAGTACAAAATAAAGTTATTGCAATTTCATGAACTTAGCAATTTTTTTTTAGTTTTAAGTAATTATTTTTTACTCTTTCTTGAGATCACTATTTTATAGGCACAAGTTTTAGTTGATGTCGAAAGTTAATCAAAGGAGAAAAAAAGAGAGAGAAATAAGATGTTTTTAGAAATAAATTTGAACATTTACATTGAAATTTTTAAAAATACAAAAAACTCAATTCAAGAGAAAGAAAACTATTTTTTTTTTAACTGTTATGATGACACAAGTTTCACTAATAAATAAAATTACATCTCATTTTTTTTTTTACATTATATTATGTAATCTTAAGTTTACATTTTTTTAAAATCCAGGTATTTGTTCTGATTAACATATTCTAAAACTGTAACAAATAATTAGAATAATTAAATGATGAGTGTAAAGCAATCATTGGAGGTTGGTGAGCAAAGCAAAAGGGGGACAAAGCCTCTTGGTATTTAAAAAGAACTATAAGTATACCTAATAATAACTTATTAATTTGATAGATATAAAGCTTAAACTTACTGAAAATTAGCATTTGCAGCATCTGTTCTTTCAAAAGAAGATACATTCCTTCTAGTATTGAATAAATACTGTCTTTGATTTGTTTTGCTAAAGGCAGTAATCCATGGTTCTGTAAGGAAATAAAAAATTTTCTATATAATTTTATAATTAGCTAAACTATTAAATATAAATTATTATGTGCAATGCGAAAAAAAGTTTATCCTCAATAACTTTTATCAAATGATCAAATAGTCAACATATCAGGATTCAATATTAATGGTTCGAAGGGGTGACCTATATTCTAGTAAGTTAGGGTAGACAATATTGTAAGTTATGAAACCACACAAAAAATGAACTTTCTCTGGAGGAAAAAAAAAAACCATACCATTCTTTCAATGGATTATGATTCCTGACCCCATAAATAGGGGGAAGCTGCGATCTTGAAAATACAGTCCAAAAAATTTGGACATGAAATCAATCAAATATTTGGACTCCTTAATTTTTGATTTTACTTTTTTATCGGGAACTTATTCCGCAAATCGGAAATTTTTTACATACAATTATAAAACTAGTTTTTTTAAAGATAATTCCAAACAAAATATAATATTTAATTTTTTATTATATTATTTAATAATAGTTCAAACATTTGGAATTGTAAGGTATATAAATTTTTACATCATTTTAAAGAATGTAATTTTAAATGGCAAAATACAAAATTGGTCCAACAATTCCTGAGAAATATAGTTTTAAAAATGTCACATATTTAAAACTATATTTCCTTAGCATTATAAGTATCCTTTAGTATTATTCTTTAGTAAACTATTTGTTTATTTTATATTAAGTGCATATTCTCCGTTTAAATCAATTATCTATTATTTCTCTCAAGAACTGAGTAAATACACATGAACATCAAAACACATAAGATACATAAATAAAGAAAGCACATAATTGATAAGCTTTTGGAAGCAAGTTAGCATTTTATAATATGCTTTTATGAATGCTAAAAACAGAGAAAGGAAACATATAGTCATGCTGCTTTTACACTAGCATTACAAGATGATATTGAATAGCTTTATTGTAATAGATTATTTCTCATATTCATTAAATTTAAAAGTTTTCTAATAAAAATAAAGATCTAAACAGATATTCTTCTCATTGTGAGAAACTAAAAAAGTTTTGAATTGAATACAGAAACAAATCAAACCAAAACACAGGACGCTTGTAAGTATATTATTACTAACAAACTATCAGGCAAAACTGTCGCAGATCATGGAAAACAAGATTTTACTATTGTAAGCATAATTATTAGAATTGATGAGGAAGAAGGTTTGCAAATAAAAGTAAATACTTTTTATAAAAAATTGTAAGTCTAACTTAAAATGGGATTTTTATAAGAAAAATCAAATTATTAAAAGTTAATTGGTATTTACAAGATAATTTTTGAAAAAGCAGAGTACTTTTAGGAACAAAACTTTAACATATGATCTGACTAGTTAGGTTACAAAACAGTGTCAATTATCAAAATAGAATATTGTGCTAATTTGGATTAAAAAAATTTTTTAAAAATACAATTAGCTCATATTTAGCTTTAAAACATTTACAGACACAATAATGTTCAAATTTTTATTTTGATTAAACCACATAAATAAGTTTTCATAATATTGTTAGTGCAAATAAATTAAGGGAAAAAATTGTAATTGGGGAGAATTAAAGTTATTGGAAAGAGTTTTAATTTATATATTTCATAAATTTTTAGATAGGCTAGCAGTTCATAAATCAATGAATCGAAATAATATACACCTGCTGTAGTCTTGAAAATTAATAAGCCGGTAGGTAAAATATGTCGTCCATCTCCCAGGTCAAAACATAGCCTTGGAACTGGAGCATTCTTGATAAATTTCATGCTCAATCTGAAAATTATAGTTCATAAAATACTAATGCACAATAAAATGTTAAGATAAATGCAAAATAATACTTTTTTACAAGCACAAAATAAAATTTAAAATTATTCTAACTACTTTATCCAAGATTTGAAAAAAAAAAAAAAACATAAAATATGTCAATATTTATCATGGTAATGAAAAGCTCGATAACAAACAAAACATAAGTTGTAAGACAATAACAATTAACAAAGAAAACGAATTATTTTTCAGTTATTGTTGACAAATTGATAAGAAAATGAAAAAAATCAGTTGCGTAATACAATGTCAGCACCAGCTAAAATCCTGAATGTTAGAAAAATTATTATTGAGATAAACATATTTAAAAGTACTTTTTTATTACTAAGTAGTAAGTTTTTAGAAAACTATGAGGGCAAAATAAAAACATATATTATTCTAGAATACTTAGGAAGAATATAAATTTTTGTGTTTCTGGCATGGCACCAACCATACATAAAGATAGCTTTCATACAAAACAAAAAAAAATATTTTGATGGATACACTCTATAATCACCAAATAATAAAAATTAATAGGAATCATGATATAATGCCTTACTTTACAAGATTTTATATACTTAAAAAATCTTGTAAAGTAAGGCATGTATACTTTGCATGTATACTTTTAAGTATACATGCTTGTATACTTAAAAGATCAAAATATATATTACTAGAAAAAATATATTGAGATCTTAAACACAATGTTTCCTCTGCTGTTCAATTTAATTATTTTTACTAAGGCAATACAAATTTGAGCTAATACACAGAGCATAACAGTTATTTCATGATTCAATTTCCAGAAAATTTTAAGTTTTATTTACCATTTAATTGCTCATTATAGTTTTAACATTCTGCCGTTGTTCTGAGTAAAGATAAAAGTATATAAAAAATTTGCAAAATTTATTTTAATTATTTCGAATCCAAATAAGAATTAAGCATATCTTTTGTTTATAAAAATTTAGACAACCATGAAATTCATTCATTCATTTCAATTTTCATTTGTAATCAAATTTCCATGGTTCTCAGCTATATTCTACACAAATGCTGATAAGTTGTGACTAAAATATTTCACCTCAAATGAGAAATTGTACAGATTCTTTACGATGCATTTCCAGTTTTTCTTTAGATTCAAGATAAAAAAGATTTAGCTTTCATAATCACAGAGCGGAATAATGATTTAATACTGTAATTATAGGGGTGAACAAAAAAAAAATTAGAGTATAAGTAATTTATCATTATTGCGTAAAAAACTGTGAATTTTTAATGAAAAAATTGAAAATATTCAATGTTCTTCAACAGCCATAGACTTCTTTTTTATTAACGTTAATAAAAAGAATTTTATTCCATCTTAGATGAAATGACATATAATTTAAAACAAAATCAGAAAATATTTAAACGAATTTTTTTAATAAATAATTATTGAATTCTCTCCTTAAGCAATAAACACCTGCAAAACTTCGACTGATGAGTCGAAGTTGAGCTCCGACTATCCCTGTATTGTTTTTTTTTTTGCTGGTTTACAAGCAAACAAGGCTTGATAAAAAGTGGTACAAGTTTGTTCCAAATTGAGGTTGCTAAATTTATTTCGTAAATATAAGCCTAAATATATGTATCTTCATTTTAGCCTTTTAGGCAAAATTATATTTGTTGAGAAACATTCAAAATCCTCCATGAAATCCAGCAGATGAAAGGCACAAAAACCATTAAAATATTCAAATAATAAATAGTTAGTGTCAAATAAATATACCCCCAAAAATTAAGTGAGTTATGAGTTCAAAAATATATTAAAAACATAAAGATTGAGAGAATTAACAAAAACGAGAAATGTATAAACTTAAAAGTTCATTTACTTAAATTCACTACTAAATACTTCCCACTTCATCCACTCAGCTTTTCAACAGTAAAATCTATTTACGATTTTCTTAAAACTGAAATCGTTATCGCCCCAATAACGTTTTCAGATGCAAATCATAACTGAAGATATATATATATATATATATCTTACTATTCATTCACTCATCTCTTCAATAGTCAAATTCAAATCTATTTATCATTTTATTAAAACTAAATTTTTTTCTGACCGCCAATAATGTGTGCAGCTGCAAATCACCCTGTGGGAGAATTTTTTGGGGCTTTCTGCAACAAACCTCTCTAGCTCTAATATCTTACTGGAAGATACTTTTAATAATAACTAATATACATGTTATTAATTAAATTTAAAGTAACAGAAATGCTGTAGATGAAAAGAAAAGCCGATTTGAATACAATAAAATAGTTTTTTTTAAATGAATATGTAATGTTTTTTTCTTTCTAATATCATGGGCGATATTCTCACATTTTGTAAGAGGAAAACACACTAATTTTTCTTTTTTGGCATTTCGTAAATCATCATCACATAATAAAAATAAATTAAAAATCGTAAAATCAGTAAAAGAAAGAAAACCATTTTTTTTTATTTTTCCCAAAAGGGAATAAATAAAAAAAAATCATGAGCATATCTTCCCCTCTGTTGCATGAAAAAGGTATCTCTTGAGTTTAATTGTGGAGGGAAAAAAAATATTTCAGCAGAAACGAAATTTTTTGCTACAATGTTCTTTACTTTTCATTCTTCTCAAATAAGAATAGAAAAATTAAGAACATTTCTTTTCCCTCTGATGAGTGAAAAAGGCATCTTTTAAACATAATTACAGAGAGAAAAATTTTTAAAAAATTTTTGCAGAAAAGAAAACATAATTTTTTTACTTTCTAAAGGGAAATTCTTTCTTCAAGAACTCCGTGACAATGAGTTCTTCAAGAACGTTTCTTCAAGAACTCCGTGTCTGTCGCCGTGATTCTGCCACGGGGCCAAAGCATATATATATATTAAAATTAATGCCTCTGTGTAGCTGAACAGTTTAAATGTAAATGAAATTTAAAAACCTATTCTATGATCGTAGATTTTCTTCCAATAGTGGATAAACAATTCATAGATATTTAGGAGTTTACTAGATTTTATAATCTATAATAAAATTAAATTTTTTAAATTTATGCACAAAAAATTAAATAATACAGAGCAATTTGATAGAAATACATAGCTTTAATTGAATAAGAAAATACCTCTGAAAAATTTGTTCAATATCAGGTAATTGCCACGCCTCTTTGACTCTTAATTTAGTGTAATCAGATTTGCTTGGTTTAGATATAGCTTTCACAAATTTCTCAGCAAGTGATAACCTGAAAACGAAAGACAATAATCATCAATATCTATAACAGAAAGGTAAATTTGTTACTTTTTTCAATTACTAAATAGACAATATATGTAGAGCTGGAATAAATAAGAATTGAAAGTTACCATAATTGCTAAACCTTTTCAACTAATAATGGAATTAAAAATTATTCTTCTTATAAAAGTAAGAAATGAAGTTTAGCAACACCAAAGTTAAACCAAACAGCTTTTTCGTTCATTCATTGAACAGTTACTTATTGAAATATGTCAGTAAACTTTTCTCCTGTATTATGTAAAATCACTTTTTCCCTACACTGCATTTCATAGTTAGATCAAGATTGTTTTCTCAACACTAAATTTTATTTTAAACAAAATTTTAAATTAATCTAAGTAAAGTGGGGAAAATGCTCAATAAATTAAGCATAATGTATATGTAGGTATAAAATTTAAATTGAATTCAAACTTTTGTTTGAATTGATTTTTTAAAATCAATGTCTGTACATTCATAAATAGATACAACAGATTTACAAAATTAACCGAATATACTTTATATAACATGAAAATACGTGAATAGAAGTTACAGATTGATGTTAATTTTCACAGCAAAAGAAAATCTTAACTGCAAATGGTATTAAAAATTTTATTTTATTTATTTAGTGTTAGTTTATGTATTTTTTCATTGTTTTTTGGAACTCCCTTGTAATTAAATCTTTATTCAGAAAAAAAACAGAAGCAATACACTTAAAGTAATGCCAAAATTTATTTCTAATTATAAAATAAAAATTTATGTCAAAGCTTCTATTGCATTTTTTTTTCTTTTGAAACCAAAGCATAACATTCTATTGGATTACATGCACAGAAAAACATAAATTTGAACTTTACAACGTATAATAATAATAAATACTCAAAATAATAAAGTACATTTTATTTTAGTTTTACCTGTCTTGAAAATGAAAATTTCTAACATCTTTTCCTCCCAAATACATAGCATCAAAAATATGAAGGCATGTAATTTTTCTTTGAGCCCTGCCCTAAATAAATGTATTGGAGCAAAGTTTTGAAAACAAATAACACAATAAAAAAAAATTCTGCATAAAAACATAAACTCTTAATCATAGTAGAATTTGTATATCAGAGTAAAAGTATAAATTTTAGAAAAATAATTTCAAATTATTTAATGATAGATTATTTATAATTTTAAATTTCAAGAAACCAAAATAGTTAAATCTAACCAGAAATTTGGAAGAGAAAAATATAAAGAAAGAATGAAATTGAGTGTTTACATTAAGTTTAACACTCCGTCGGGCGCGTCTCGAAACTTACGGCATCGGGCGCGATGTATCTGTCAGATACATCTCTGTTTTGTGTGTTTTCTGTTAATATGTATTACTTAAAATCTCCTATTTTTACTCTTTTTAGGTCCAGGCTTTTACACCCGTACCTTTTATTAGTTTTTTTATGTATATTTTTAATTTTTACATATTTTTTAATTTTTTCAATAATAATTTTTATTTATTAATCACAAACGCTATTACAAAAGTTAAATGCTGTAAAAAACATTTAATTAAACATGTTAAACTGTTGAAAAAGTATAAAAAGGACAGTTATGCACAAATAATACATAATATAAAAGTGACAAATCAATTATTATAATTGAATCCGATTCTAAATTTAAGTCAAATTTTTTCTTCCGATCTGTTTTGCCCATTTAAGTATTATTGTCCTTTCCTACATAAAAATAATCATTATTAACATCATCATCGAGTTCTGAGTCATTATAAACACTTTCACTGCCATGACAATCAGCTTCACGTGTTTCTAAAATATCTTCTTCGTCAGCATCACTTTCATCAAATTCTTCAGCATTTAATTCCTCATTTCCATCACTAAATAGAATACTATGAACTAGCTCTAGGTCTTTCTGATTTTTCAAATCTAAAAAGCGTTTAGCACTCATCGTAGGAAAAAGATAAATCAAAAACGCTCAGGGAATCTCAATACTTCCATGTAGCTTCACGAGACAAACGTTATCGGGCGCGTGTATCTAACAGATACAAAATTCCAAACAAGCTTGGAAACAGGAAATACTCCTACACCGAACTGGTCACTACTGCATTCCAAAGTAGCAGGGGGCCAGATGGACAGATACTGATAAGGTCAAGGTCGTAAGAAAATGTTTCAGGGGACAAAAGCAGAGATATTGACACGTCTGTATCTGTCAGATCAACGCGCCCGATGGAGTTTTAACAAAATTCTGAATACCTTATTAATTCCTACAAAATCTAAAGCAGAGCAGATAAGAACAAGGAAGTTAACAATTTCAAATATTAGATTCATTATTAGAGAACTGTCATTATTAGCCTAATATTTACTTAGGCTAAAGAACTTTTCTAATAATATTATAATTTTTACTAATAGAGATATTTCATAAATAGCATGCTTACTTAAAATTGCTCTATACATAAACAAGATCTATTGTCAACATTTACAACAAGCAAAATTCAATAGCTTTTAGAGGAAGGTTTATATAAAAAATTTCTTTTCGTACAAAAGCTAATTAATAACTCAAAACTATAAGACAAAATCTGCACACTTTAAGATTTGTAAGGATTCACAAATTCAAATCAACTGAGCAAAGGGCTTGGTTCCTATTGGTTAACAAATTCATGAAAGAAAAATGGGATCTCAAGATGTGGACTGATAAATATATACATGATTCAAGAAGAGCAGGTGTTGGGATATGAAAAGAGAGATTTTTTTAATGTGAGAAAGGAAAGATGGACAGTAATGGTTACTCTGTGATCCCAAATTAATCAGTTAAAAAATTCTTAAACCACGTTTCTAATTATACTTTCTTAATTGTAAATAAATACGTTCTCTTATAGAATTTTATTAATCATCAGTGGAATTTATGCTAGCAAAAGTAATTCGTAAGTAAACAGTAATAACGTAAGTAATTCGACATCAAGTACAGAAAGAAAAGTAGCTTAACTCCTCTGACCAATACAATATTCCTCACACTGAAATTGAAAGATAATAACAATATTGTTGTTGGGTAATTTAGAAAACTTGACTTAGAAACATTTTCTAAATTAATTTACATAAAAATTTTTTTTAACATCATTGACCTACATTTACAGAGGTGAAAACAAAATACAAGTTTAAATAAATGTTATAGAAGTGTTAGTACTAGTTTTTCTAGTATTTAGCTGATTTGATTACGTATGGCATGTACCTCTCCTTTCAGTTCTAAAATAAGCTCGCCATAAAAAAGAGTATCAGCAGGAAGATCAAGCTTTTCTTCAAGTTTGAGCCACTTACAACTTTTTGAGTCGTATCTGTAACTGCTAGATCTCTACAAATAAAATCAGACATAAGTACTGAAAGCTAACAACAAAATAATAATAGCTGGTAACACATAGGTTTCACATTTAAAAAGAAATCCCCCCCTCGGATATTTAAGATCACATTTCTGAAAATTCCTGGTTTAAAAAACAATTAAACAAAATTTTATATTCAATAAAAATGTAAATTATATTTAATACAAAAAAAAATATGATTATAACTTTATGTAAATTTTATTACTTTTAAAGATTATAAATAATTTATTTATAAAATAAAATACAAAGTAAATGATACATGTACAACACTATCAATGATTATTTAACTTATATGATAAAACTAATTATTTAAATAATTTAATTTTCTAAAAAAAATATAATAACTGATTTAAAATATAAATGTAAAAGTTAAATGATTAAGATAATTTATAATGCTTCAGATTTTCAGTACTGAGATCAAAAAATATAATTTTTCCCAAGTAATAAAAATAATTTCAAATTATTAAAAATACTTATGCATCATTTTCAAATATTTTACTATTTAGAATGAACAGGAACATTTAAAATGCACATTATAGTGATATGCAAAAATGTTGGACATTTGAGCTCAGAAAACTTCAAGTCTCGTTTTTACCTTTGGTCTCGTTTATATTAAGTACCCACCTTAACATATAAGCTTATCAGAATTGACAAATTTAAAATTATTCTAACAGTAAAAGAAGAAAAGAACTATAACAGTTTATACTTAGAGTTTTTAAAGACAAATAAAAAAAATGCAATGAGAGAAAAAACATGGGAGAGTGATGTAATAAAAAGTATTTAATAAAAAATTATAAAACACTAAAACTTTCTACCTCATTATAAAATAAATTGTTTACTTTGAACCCATTTTCAAATTTTTGATTTAATTAGAACAAGCTTTTATTGCTTTTTTATCATCCAATATTTGAATTACTAAAGATTTTCGCTCACAGAATTTTAGAATTGAGTTTATGTTCTTTTGCTTTTTTTACAGGAGGGCATCACAGGGGTTCAATTTTTGAGGGGGACGGAAATAAAATAAGCAGTCATAATCGTTCTCTAAATTTCACACCAAAAAAAAGAAAAAAAATTATATCCCCTAAATATCTGCTGTTCTTTTTTATCTTTTTCTTGTTTTTAACTTTAGAGAATTTAATTGGATGAAGATTCAAGACATTTTTTAATTTGAATTTTAGAGAATTCTAATTATTCAAGTATACGTATAACTACCGCTCCCTGCTGCCAACAACACTCATACTTTTTTTTCAGGAGAGAAGATCAAGTTTCAAAATAGCTTGTTGGAAGGTGAAAAGAAGAGATTACTTTCCTTTTTTTATATTTCTTGCTGCCATGAAATAGTTTTTGTTTTTTTATTGTTTTGAGAATTATTAAGGTGTAAAAAAATATTGTCATAAATTAGTCATACACAGCAAAATTAAAAAGAAAAGAAAAAAAAGCACAATTAAACAGATTATTACAGAAATTCTCGAAATCCATAATTTTTATTGATAGCAACCGAACACTGTAATCTTGTTTATAAAATCGTAATAATTACAGATAAATTGTAATAGTTGGCACCAGTGTAAATATCAACCTTTAATTTTTTTCAAAATGTGCATTCTGATAAATTAGATATATATAAAATTTGCTTTTTGAATTTATGCATTCTCTTTTAATGCAATTTAAATTTCATTAAATTCTCATATAAAAAATAAGCAATTTTATTATACATTTAAAGAAATTAACTGATCAATTTCAAGTTGGATACTACATTTAAAAAAAAAAAAAAAAAAAAAAAAAAAAAAAAAAAAAAAAAAAAAAAACATTATAAAATTTTTAACAAAAAGCTGAACAATTTTCAGAGTTATGCTTAAAATTAATATTGGTCATCAATACATTATTAAAAAGAATCTAAAACATATATTCAATAAAAATAGAGTAGAAACATTATTGAGTCATACCCCAAGACCAAGAAAGAGGGTTGGATGTTGGTCAGGTTTGCAGTCTCCACAGATAACACAGTAAAAATCAAACACTTGCTCTAATTTCTTAAAAGAACTGGTTGTAAGTATTTCGGGTGAAGAGCTAAGATATTTTAAATTTTCACCCTTGAAATAAGAAGTAAAATATAGTTCATTAATTTAAAAAAACAAAACAATATTTAATAAATGAGGACTCATACAGTTTTCAAACAAAAGTACAAAACAGACAGACATAAAAAATTATTATCCCTAACTGTCTATTTAACAGGCAAAAGTGTACTAACTTTTCTAGTCAAGAAATGTTATAACCCTTTGATAAATATGTGTTTAAATTATTCATAGACATTTCCTGAGAGTAGAATCATATCTAATGTTCCGCAAAAAGACTTTTGGGTGATTACAGATGTTTTGCAGGTATCATCAAAAATAAGCAAACAATTCCCACTAGTTAAATTATTACTCTTGTAATCGAAAAACCATTTTGCTAGATTAATTTTTAAAAGTAACTTTATTAACTAAATATCAAATGCCTTCGTTTTTTCCGGTTCTACAGTCCTTAGCTTACTACTCTACCATGATTTCCACCGCATCCTCGACAGAGTTTCGTTCCACAGTGCTTAATTTTAAAAACCCTAAGGTCCTCCTTAACTAGTCCAGCTACCGCAGTTCTTTTTCCGTATTTCCTTTCATGATTTCATTTGGCAGATCAGTTTCCTTCAATTTTTCTACAGATTTTAACCATTTATTTTTTCTTTTATGGATATCATGATATATAATGAATTAAACCTACATAACTGAAATAAAAATTATTAAGAGCATACATAACGTTCTTCATGTCTAAGATATGAATTGTTCCGTAGGTAAAGTAGAACTCTGTAGTTTTAAATTAGATTTATTCTGCAGTTTTAGAGTAAAACTGTTCTAAGTTTTTAGACTAGAACTGTTCTGAGGTATACATAACATTTTTGAGAACTTTTCCCTTTAAGGCTTTTTAACTTTTCCCTAGAACTTTTACATTACTAGCTTCACATGTCGAAAAATAACTGAAGTATGAAAAACAAGTGTATTTCTTCAACTCTTAGAAAAAAAGAAAGGGGGAAAAAATATTTTCAACTTACTTGCAATAATTGCTCATATCTCTTACTTGCCTCTGGTCTAGCAGGGGCTTTCCTAACTTCATCGGGAACCTATTGAAAAGAAGCAATGCACAAAAAGTCAGCTAAATATATCACATAATATGATAAAATCACAATATTTTCAGCCTAACATTACCTGCCAATGTTCTAAACATTCTTTTCGTAAGTCAGGTTGTCGCTCCTCACGCAACTCACTAAAAAAATTTATAATTAATTTATGAAAATTAAATAGATAATAAATGCTTTCAAAAAAAAAAAAAATTAAGAGAAAAATAGATTTACGAATTTTGGGCAAACACTCTTATTTTATCCAAATGAATTATCTGCCTTTCTCCAAACCTAAAAGTAAATAAATATAAAAATACATAAATTAAATGTTATGTAGGATAAAAGATTTGTGACAAACAATTTTGTAAGTCATTACAAAATAAAATATTTGAATTTAAAAAAAAATTTTTTTTTTAGCTTTATACATTTACTAAACAGTTGAAATTTACCAGACATTAATTATCATCTATAAATAATGTGTTTGCTTTAAAGGTTAAAACATCACTTACTTATTATTTGATTCACAAATGTAGTCATAAAATTCTTCATTTTGCTTTAAAATATTAAGTGGAACAACTTCACTTATGTCTACTTCTGAAAAGTCACTAAGTTTGTTAAAATATTCATTGACCTCATACAAATAATCACAGATATCTTTAGTGTTCTCTTTTTTCCATTTGCAGACAATGTATCTAGAGGATGAACGGTAGCAATTAAATAATCATAAGAAATTATATGTAAAAAAAATAATTAAAAATATAATTCATTAAAAAGATTAAATTTTTTAAAAATCCAAATGCATAAATAATCATTAAATCTTCTAACTACTCAATTGATTGGTGTACATTTATATGATTATGTTTGATAAAGCACAAACATAATTGTTGAGTGATTAACAAGTTTAATGCTTTCAATTAATGATTATAGTTACAAATTGCTTATTTGCATAAATTAATAGCAATATTTTTATAAACTTGCAATACTTAACTAAAATCCTGATATTTAAATACAAGACCATTAATATTGTTATCAGAATAATGCTATGAATAACATGAAAACTGTTCTCACATATAGATAACGGAATCATTTTTCTTTTATACTGTTTTCCACTCTAATACTAAATACTGAATATAAAAAATTCACCGATTATCTGCCCCATGTACACATTTATCTCCAAAGTTTGCACATATTTAAACGAAACAGTTAAAAGTACTTTTAGTATACATACAAGTTATTAGTATGCATACAGAACTGTTACATAATCATGTTTTTTTTCATTCATTATAAAGTTTGTTAGTTCAGGAACACTAAAATCTAACTCAGACTAACATGGAATGCATGCTAATTTTTTTTTAATAAAATAAATAAATAATGCAGTATTCATCTTATTTTATGATCTTTTTCTATTTTAAATATTTAATTTAATAATCTACTTACATTACTACAAATTACTTATATTTAATCTTTACATTAAAATGCTTGATTTATAGTTAATCGATTTATAATAAGTTTTAATAAGTTTACAAAAGTCTAAATACACTATTTGTCATGTTAACTTTTTGTTTACATCATAAATTTTAAAATTCCTTCGAAAATTTTTACAAAAATATGTTAAAAATGTGTACTTAGAGAAGAGAGATCTTTAGGTACAACTCTTTTGGACTATAACTTCTTTTTTCATAACTTCTAAGTTCCCCCTGAGTGATTAACATATATATTGAAAGAATAGTATATATTGCATATATATTATAACAGATCTAAATTTTTCATAGCTTAATGAATACGAAACTTCAAGTTTGAAAGGCATCTTGACAGAAATGTTACTTAATAGAGATAAAAAAGATTCATTTAATTTTTGGGGAAAACATTAGTAGAAATACCTTTCAGAGTTGGCTGGTCTGCTGGTATTTGGCTTGAATATGCACACTTTTTCATAACACATACACATCAAATATACAAGTCCCACGCTAAATGTGGTGAATAAATCGAATAATTTACACACAAAATGACCTTCTGAAATGGTATAGATTAAATTACATAAAATAATTAAAAATAGATTAGTTTTTAACAATAAGTAATAAAACTTTTATAATTCAAAATTAAATTGTTAAAAAAATGATTGTTCGGAATAAAAATGATTTAGTTAAAAATCATGAGTTAAAGTGATAGTTAAAAATGATTTATTACATGCATATAAAATAAAAGGAATAATTTATGCATATAAAATAAAAGGAATAATTTCACTAAAGATCAAGACATTGTCTGTAGCTACTTTATTGTCATATCTCTAATTTTTTAAATTGCATTTAAAAGCATTTGGAAAACTATGCATTCTATTTTCTACACTTCCTTGTTTTCTATGTTTAATTTGTAGTCAATTTAAATTTTAAAACTATAAATTAAATTATTTAAACCTTAATAATTTAAAAGTCAATATAAATACTAGAAATACATTTGATTTTAAGAATTAAAAATAAAAACAAATTTATTTATTAGTATACAACTATTGTGGTACTACACATACATTTTAAAATGTATACCAAGATAGCATTTATATAATGGATACCATCTTAGTGTATATTTTAAAATATATATTCTACTGTTTTAGAAACATTTTTCAAACCAGAATTTTTAGCAGAAGAAATAAGGAAACAGTCTATTAAATTCATTTTAGTTTAAGAGTTGTGTTCTTTAGCATCTTCTGTGATAATTCTTCATTTTAATTATAAACCATTGCACATATGTTTAAACCTGTAAAAAAGGCAAGTAACAAATATTCACAAACAAATAAATAAATTAGTTAATCAAAAGTAGGTTTTTAAACTTTATTTATTTATTGAAAAATTTGACTCTAGAAAATGGGTTTAATGATACTAAGACAATCTTTTCATTATCATAGCATCCAACATAAAACTATTAGGTTAGGAGTTTTTTTTTCCCTTCCAGAATTTGAGCTTACTACATAGTTCTAAAAAAAAAAAAAATTCGAAATTACACTAACTTAAATCTACTACCAAAATGAAGCACAAATCACATTATAATTTTTATCAAATATTGAAAAATAATCAAAAACTTGAAAAACTTTTTTTGGGAGACTTGTTATCATTGTCACTCATCTTGTAACATATTTTGAAAGCTAGTTGCATTCAAATGCATGTTTCAAAAGAAGAAAAAAATATTAATAAAAATATATTGTTATAACATGTGTTGTGATGTCAGCCGACATCACTTTTCGTCATTATTAACGTATCCACGGCAACAGTCTTTAGCTGCAGAGCTACGGAGCTGCCTCCCGATCCAGAGAGAGTATATAAGGACTATACTAATTTATGTTAGTCGCTATTCTTCTGTAACCTATTTGCTAGCATGTTATTTTAATTACTTATGTGTTAGTCTCGAATCATTATATATAGTTTCAAGTTATCATGATTCTCCCTTGAGGATACCTCGTCAAAGATGCACATAGTATAACAGTACAGTTATGAAAATAACTTTTTTTCGTCTTCTTTCTGTTGATGACTGCCTTATCACAACATTACTTTCTTTTTACAGTACATATATTTTCAGGAGATGAAAAATAAATTTCAAAAGACTTAAAAATGTCCAGTTTGACTTCCTCATGCCCAATATTTAATAACATTTTAAAGCAGAAATAGAAGAAAAAGGGTAATTAAACTTAGAAAATTGGCTAAAATCAATGAAATTGAGATGATTAAAAAGTGATCAAAAAATTTGTGGCATCATCATATATCAAAACTTGCTACTTGAATATTATTTTAATAAATAAGAAAAACAAAATAAAAATAGGACTGTAAATGCAAGAAAAAGGTAAAATGATATTTAAAACATAATTAAGCTTCTCATTAATTTCCTTTCTCCTTAAGCTACTTAAGTTAATCTAAATGCTTTAAGGATTATTTTTCAAAATTTAGGTGACTATCAAACAATTAATACCTAAATTAACATAATATACATAGACGTGCCTAATAAGAAATATAGTATCAGCAGATAACTGAATCTATTCATCTTTATAATAGTAATTTCTAATTTGCAGTCGAAATGAAACTATACCTGGCCGTACTATCATGAGGGCACACAAAAACTGACAAAGGTACAATCTTTTTGACAAAATTTCCTGCTCATTTTCTTTTCCTTCAACTGAAAATCCCTGGAATGAAAAAAATAGGTACCTATTAAGTGAATAACAAAGATAAAAATACATTGTCAGGGTGCGTAGCCAAATTAACACAAAATAATTTTAAGTACTTTTCAAGCACTCAAAAAATATTTTCAAGCACTTTAAAAAATATCATAATTGGGTACTTGCACTCCAAGAAGAAGAAGACAACCAATACCCATGCATGTGATCTATGACGTCAGCACCAGCTAATCTTTATCAGCAATATGGAGTATTAAAGTTGAGCTAAGTCTCTCTACACAACTTAAAATATTAATTAACTTTGAGTTAATTAAATAGAGAGCCGTATAGCAAATCAAATTTGTTGAAATAAAATTCTTTCTAGTCTACTTCTTTTACTTAACTTTAATTTATTATTTGTTCATGTATTTAATTGTAACTGTTATATATTTTTGCTTTGTGTACCTGGCAACTTCGATGCATAATAAGTTTGTTTGTGTTCTACATGACTTCGTGCCTGTCTTTGTGTTATTATATAGTGGTAGAATTGAAATATTTGTGAAAGATTATAGGCTGCGTTACTTAAGAGAATTGGTACTTGGCAGGCTTTACTTCCTCGAAGTAGAATAAAAAGAACAGTTGCTAGCGTAAACAATTGCCACATTTCAATAACCAATCAGGATCGAGATACCCACACTACATCACTTGCAGGTATCCCATTAAGCATGGTTGGAAAGTTTTTGACAATCGACGGTTTTATCTAGTTTTAACAATCATGTAAAAATAAAATAAATAAAAAACCTTTCGGGATTGTTTTTGACAATTGTCAAAAGTCAAGACATTTTGAATCATGTAAAGCGAATAGCGTTTTCGTACGCTACAGACTGAGAATACGCCAAAATAGATTGGGGTTGAATTAATTTTGAAAACCTTGAATAGAACAATGTGAAATGTATCTTTTTGCAAAATTCGAAGCAAAAATCAATATAGTAAAGGAAAAATCTCATTTTGAACAAGTGAAAATTAAGCACTTTTTAAAAACACCCAATGAAAAAAGCACCTTTAAGGGCTTTTAAAAAACGAAAATCAAAAATACGCACCTTTAAGCACTTTTTAAAAAACGCTAAGCACCCTGATTGTAACTAAGAAAAATTTAAATAACAGAAAAGAAAAAAGGACTGTAAATGCTTAGAACCCACTAAACTACATTAAATGGGAGATAAATTATTTCTTAGAAAATATTGTCCATAAAGTAATATTTTTTTTCAATACATTATCATTGAGCAAATAAACTTGAACTTACAAACTGCAGCAAAATAAACAGTAATTAATACGGGTAATAATAAACAGAATTGAGGTGAATTGAAAGTAATGTTTAATTGTATAGGTGCTCAAATCTGACATGCTGTATTATATTAAAAAAATAAAAGGAGTAAGATAAATGCTGCACTGTAGGAATTAGAAAAAAAGAAAAACTGAAAGAAATAACAAACAGTAATGGCTTGTATTAACAGCAATTAGCAATTTAAATCATAAAATAAAATATAGATGCAGTATTATTTCTCAACAACATCTAGAAAGAAAAAAAAACATGTAAGTGCAGCTCCTCAGAAACGAAATCAAATCTTGATTGCAATGATCTAATCTTGATCTGTTAAAGCCTTGACATAGCACAATTCAAAGAAATTTCAAAACATTAAATATGTAAAAGGAAGAGGAAAAAAAAGAGAAAACACAAGATTTTAATTTTATAATACATATTTAAAATTAAATTATTAATCTTTTTAGTGATTTTTCATCACAATAGGTTGTACTATAAAATTTACATAAAACATTCTTTTAAATTAAAGAATTTCATACTACCACTCTTACTCATAACTCTGATTAGTAAATAAAAATGTTTATGGATTAATTATTTATTTATTCAGTTTTATTAGCAACTATAATTAACATTAATGCAAGCACTTTAAATATTTATTTAAATCATGCGAATTGAATCTTAATGTTTGAATTTAAAATGGAGTGAATATGAATATTGATGTTTGATTTTCAAAATCGCGTTAAAACGAATCTTGATGATTAATTTTAAAATCACGTGAATACGAATCTTAATATTTGATTTTAAAAACGTGTGAATACGAAATTCGATCTTAGATAACAAAATTGCGTGATTGAATCTTCATATTTTATTTTAAAATCACGTTAATACAAATCTCAATGCTTGATTTTAAAATTGCAGAAATGCGAATCTTGATATTTGGTTTCAAAATTGCATGAATATGAATCTCACATTTTTGTTTTAAAATCCTGCTAATACAAATTATGATGTATCATTTTTAAGTAAAAAAACTTAATAAATTTATATTACTAATGTAAATTAGTGAATGGCCCTTATGAAAATTTGTTACTTGGTTCAGTATTTCTTTAATAAAAAGATTAAAAAAATTTCAATTATTTCAAAATGCTAACATAATAAGTATCTGAAGCCATTCTTGTTAGAAGTAAATTATTATGTAATGTCCTACTTTTATAATATTAAAAAATTTTCAGATTATTGACTTTTTTTACTTCAGTTGTTTTTAAATCAATTCATTAGGAGAGGAATTAAATTATTTTGAAAAGACAAATCTGAATTAACATAAGATTTTTCATTGCATCTCCCTTTTCTTAAAATCTTCCCACTAAATATTATTGAGTTTTTCATAAAATAACTTATAAGAACTGAAAATTTTAAAAGTAATACAGAACTATAAAAAGGTTAAAAAATTATAGGCAATTAGTTGACAATCTCTCAGGTAAAACATCCTAAGATTAAGTCATCTCAATAATTTCTTGTCTTTATTAAATTTAAGGAATAAAAGAGAGATGGAATTTGTGAGGTGATGAAGCTTTGTGATTATTGACTGCTTTGGATCCATATAAAATATGTAATTGATGAATGATCCCCAAATCAAGTTCAAGCATTAAAGTACTGACATATAAATATAATAATGCAAGAAAGCCATTGGATTGCCAGGGACGAAGACGATGGTGTTTCACCAATGATAAAATTAACAAGAGAAATTTTAAAAAAAATTTGCTATTAGGGAGAAAAAATTACCAATGTTTAGTTCCATATGATCAGAAAAAAATCCATTTTTAGGTTCGATTTCAAAGGGTAGAAATTGAAGCCTGAAATCAAGAATTTCTCAAGTCAAAATGCAGAGTTGTACATGAGAATGCAAGAATTCCTCTCATTGAATCAAGCTCAGTGTAAGCACATGCGAAATCACAAGTATTACATCAAGCATGTAAAATGATCTGCACTTTCATGTGCTATGGACCGACATATGGCAAAATAGATTGTGGATGAATGAATTGTGAGAATGTTAAAAGGAACACGTGAAAACCGAGCTTTTTGCTTAATTAGTGCCAAAAATTGGCCTGGTTAAGAAAAAAATTTCTCATTTTGGAAAAGCAGAAATTAAGCACTTTTTAAAATAGCTCAATAAAAAAAGCACCTCTAGGGACTTTTAAAAAACGAACATCAAAAATAAGCACCTTTAATCACTTTTTAAAAAAGCTAAGCACCCTGTTATAGCTTAAAATTTATTAAACTAATTTTTCTTTGGTCTCAAGTTGAAAAAAATAATAAAACAAAAAATTTATTTTCAAGGTTATTTAATAAAGTTTAAGATGTTTAACATTTATATAGCATAGTGAAAAGGTTAAAATAAGAGTAGTTCGCAAAATATTCATAATGGCAAGCAATATAAAAAAATAACATACACCATCAGCCATCATAAAATGAACTCCTTTGTTTTCAGTATTTTCATACACATATTTACTAAAGGACCGGAGATTTTCAGGAGCATATACATTTCCATCCTCATTGACACCTAAAAAAATTTCAAAATAAAATAAAATATTGAAGAGTTATAATAATACGAGTTTTTGATTAGATTTAAACAAGTATCGATGGTTCAATTATATAAATTCAGGTGCACTAGACTGCAAATGACATTACATAAGAGAGCTAAATTAAGAGGATAAAAAAGGTGTAAAAAACTAAATCTGGCAGAATAAATTGAATAACTGGATACTGCGATACAGTAAACTGGATAATGATAAAATTTTGAGCTGTGCCCATTTTAGTTCAATTTTGTGGATGCAGCATATGTTCTATGGTGTCATATTTCTGCAAAATTATGGTATTTAAGTTCAGAATTTTACTTTTATGCATATATTTTTTTATAGGAGGTAAAATATTAGTTTAGTATGGTAAATCTTAATTCAAAATAATTCTAACAAAAGGTTTCTCAATGATATGAGGGCTAAGTATTGTGGTTATATGAGTCTATTTAAGAATAATAGAAGTTTTTTTTTTTTGTAAGTTATCTAATAACTAGAAACTTCTCAACATAAAAAATAATAGGATGTTTAGTTTAATCAAAAAGAATATTAAGTATAAGATAAAAAAAAAAAATTTTTTTTTTTTAAAAATTCAAAATTATTAATCATTAATATCTCAAATGACTGTAAAACATTAATATCAACATTAATTTCTCAAATGACTATAATATTTGATTATAAAACTTTTTTTTGTGTTCATTAACAAAATCTAAATCAAACAAAAACTTCTCATAACATAAAACAAAAATTTATTTACCATAGTATGGTTCAAAGCTTTCAGGTGGACCAGAAAAAAAGTCCTCTAATTTAAAGTCATTTGAGCCTCTTAATGTAAATCCAAATCCTTTTGCCTCCCACTTTTTTCTCCATAGAACATACTCTGAAAAACCTCCAGGGCCAGCACAAACATCAGCAAAGTATAAAAGCTCGTTATTTTCTATAAGTGACTCCTGAAACATGATTAATTATGAAGTTAGGGCATCCATTAACAGGGAAATTATAAAACGTACAGTAAAAAAAATAACTGCTAATCAATTGTTAAAATTAAGTATAATTTATAATTTTCACAGAAACAGAAATAAACAAATCTGCAAGAGTCATTATAATTAGAATTTTACTAGAATATATATACATACATATATATACAGTGGTCTATGCAAATACAAAGTCCCATATCCGGAATTTTCGGAACTTTGGCAAGCCCGGAAAATAGATTTTTCCCAATAATAGGTCTTTAGTCTTTAAGGTAAACAAATATCATAACATCCTAATTCAATAAAAATAACAAATAGATGATAATTAACATGAATTTTAATATACAATGTATAAATTCACGCAATTTGGGTGGCTGCGCTATTTCAAAAGATTTTGTTACAGATTTCCATATAGTTTTTAAAACCTCAATGCAAATTCTGAATCACGCATTTCAGTTAGTAATCATTTCTCCATCCACTTAATTAGCGACAATTCCACAGTGAATCCACGTGGCTTTGCCGATCGTTTTTTCAGTAACTATTAAAACCGATTTTCATTTCGTTTTTAAAATCTCAATGTTTTAAAATCTCAATGTTTTAACTTCAAATAGTGCATTCATTTATTGAGGATTCATCCGCAATTTCACATGGATTTACAATAGCATTTTTGCCAGTTATTTACCGATTTTCATAGCTTTTTAATGCTACATAATCATAGAAGGGGAAATTTCGAATCGCTCATTTGTAAAGTTACTTCACGATGACTAGATGTTTGACGATTTTATTGTCCATGTGGTTTTTGCGAACGCCATTTCAACAATTTGGGATTTCCACATAGTTTTTAAAATATTGATTTCATCTTTAATAGATTAATATTATGATCCCCAAATTCCAAATCACCCTTTTGAATAATCAATTGATGACCCACTTCGAGCTGTAGTGAAATACCGAATTTCGTTTACTTATTATCCAATTTCTTTTCCACACTGTAGCAGAAATGGGATTAAAATTGAACAAAAATCGGAAGTCAGAAAAAAAAATCAAAAAGCAGGAAAACGGAGGATTCTCATCCCTGCATACCTTTCTTCAACCAGTCGCACATGTAGAAAAAATAAATAAAAATTTTTTTCTGGACAAGGGAAAAAGAGTTCTGTTTATGGGACTTTGCACTGTACATATATATTAGTTTTTTCACTTTATTTTTTTTTTCAAGGATTAAGCTTTGTGGAGTAATTCTTTGAAAAACCGTAATGAATTTTTCTTTGGTTTTGTAGCAATTTAGAGAAGAAATTAAACATCTTTGGTGAGGTTAGAAGTAATAATTTAATTCTCACCTAATTGTGTATATTGACAGATATAAAATTTTTGGAAGTGTTTATTTTGGAACAGATTAAAATAGAATGGGTACACAACAATATGTCTTATTTCAAATTCTTAGAAGCAATTTTGTGTAAAAAAACAGTAGCATCATTGCTATAGTATGAAAAGTTTCAATAAAGAAAAGAATTTGCTCACCCCGTTCATCTTTTTTGGTTGAGAAAACATAAAATCAAACATGGCATCCATGTTAGCCATCTTCATTGCAGCTCTGAAATATAACATGAATGTAAGTAAAATTAAAATGAATTATAATTCCTGTTTTTTAGTATACTTTTATAACCCTTACTTACAATGAAAAATGAGGAGTAGGCCTTCAAACAATTATTAAAATAGGATAAGCATTGATCAAAAAATATCAATGCATCATAAGTAATGGCATCAATTCAAAGAAATTTCCATATTGATATCCATGTAAAATAATTGTTATGTGCTTTTATTCGTAACTGTTTTTATTATAATTTTTTTTCCAGTTAAGTCAACATAAATTACTCACAGAAAAAAACCCTGATCTATTTATGTAACAATTGTAAAAAAAATTACTTTCAATTATAAGTTCCTAACCATCTTGAGCTTTTCTGACCCAAAATTTTCTTGATGCCAATTGAAATGGGATAATCTACTTTATTTACTTATTTAATTCCTTCTTCCATACACATTTATCTTGTTATAGCTCCAAAATGCATATTTTCATAATAGTAATAATTCAAAATACTCATGAACACTATGTTGAATATCATATCAACTATACCTTTCGTTACTAGTTCTATATTTTGGTTTGGATCCATATCCCAGAGTTAACCTTTCGGTCTAACAGAAAGCAAAAATGAAACCCTCACCTTTTGAAAAAGAAAGTGAAACAAAATTACTCGTCATCAGATACAATAATGAATAATTTTGCTTAAAAAACTTTCTTACACTTTTAAGATTTTTTACTTTTTTGTTATGAAGGAAAAAAATACTTTGTGTAAATATTTAGGAATATAAAAAAGAAAAAAATAACTAGTGTGACTTGTACGGACAATGGGCACAAATAATTAAAAGTAAAAATTTAGTGTGTCCATTTTTACAGAAGCGATAGAGAGAATTATTAAAATATTTATAAATACTTGGATTAGAGTTTAAATATGTAATATAAAATAAAAAATACTTTTACCTGTTTAAGAATATTCCACCTCGAATAGTTTCAAAAGGATTGGATCGTGTTCTTGCCTTCCTCATTTCTTCAGGTTCAAGCTCATCAAATATACTCTAAATTATCAAATTTAACATAATTTTTTAAATTGATAATACTATTATTATGCTACAATAAGCAATTTAATTTATAATACAAATAATAAAAATTTCAATAACTGAACAAAAAAAGATCATATAATGGAGGAATTTTCTTAATAAGTTTAATATCAAGCAAAGACCGAAAAATTATAGTTTAATGATATATTTACTCATGCTACCAATAACATTCAATTACAATACTAGTGAAATTTTCACACAAACTTACTTTGTAATCAATAATTTTTTTTAGAATTGTAGGATCCACAAATTCAGTTTCATCATCAATCTTGTCTATTTTCTGTTAGATAAAGTAAAATATGTATTAGTTTTGTAATTCCTTAAATATTAACAATAAATATAATTGGCAAGTTAAATAACAACTAGACATTAGAACAGACAATTGTACTGTTATAAATTACAGAATTTGATAAAATTTAAATCAAAGAATTAAATAATTGAAGGAGAAGAGTAAATCATCTCTATTATTAAGGAAATCATAATAATTTGAAAAAAGATTATGTAAATAAGTTTAAACTTTTTATTTCTCCATGTGATCAGCACGTATAATAAGACACTAAAACATAGGCACTGAATGCCTAGCATGTTTCTAGTTTATTGAGATTTCAGTTTAAGAATTAAACAAAAGAGAAAACAATTTTTTGATACCTATGCTGCCTTATGAGTTTTATCAAATAGAGGTCGGTTGTATATAAATTGTGCCCACTCCCCCTATAAAACATTTGATTTTAAAAAAGTGCTGACAAAGTTTACTCATCTAAAAGAAATTTAAAAAGTCAAACCTCATTATAATATATACACACTAAAAGTCTATCTAACTACTATATTTATTTATTTTTTAACTTATATTTATCTATATTTAAATATAATTTCCAATTTTGTAGAGACCACAATAACTTGTTGACTAATAAATACAACTACATTTCAAAGTTAGCATCATTATTCATTAAATCTCAATAAATTAAAATATTTCACTTACAAAATTAGCATATGTGTTGATTAAAAAAAATTATTCAATATAATTGATTCCAATTTATAAGATCCTAAACTAATATTTTTATGGATATCAAAACTGCCATTTCTGTTATTGACAACAAACAATAACATGCGTCTCATCCTCGGAATAAAAATATATCTGCATACCTTATTCCTATCTGGCCTAAATTTATAAAATTGATAAGTACAAAATATGTACAGGGAAACATGACAAATATATTATAAATATGTTTAATATCTACAAATAAATTATAAAGTATGACAATTATTTACATTTCCTTCTGTCATCCACTCTCTTAATTCTTTTATGCTTACAGTTGGAAAATTAATGTCAGGAATCCACGTTACTTCTTCTTCAACAGAAATCATCTATAATGGAGGGAAAAGGTTACTTCTATTAAAATAAAAATCTAAACTTTATCAAAAAAGGAAATTAAAATATAATAAATTAATGAGAAAAATTCTATTACTTCATCTTGTCCAGATTCCCACAAAATAGCAGCAGGTTCTAGGCCAGCTTTCATTTTGAGGCCCAAACCTCTTCTTCCTCTTTGTTGGGAAGCTTCAACGATATTAACTCTACCTTGTGCAAATTTTCCCAAACCGGTACCAGATTTGTATCCCATTTTGGACTGAAATAAATGAAGACATCATTAGGAACAATAAATTAAGCACACAAAACATGCAAGATAAAAATATTATAACATTGTATTTATAAAAAAAAATTTTAATAGTAAGGCAAGGATAACTTTACGTATAAATATTATAGAAAAAACTAAGAGTGATGAAACTTTTACGAAACAATTAAATTTAGTATTACTAGCTTGAGCAACATTTTGTAACTGGAGACAAAAAATTTGAATAAATTTACAGAAAGAAAGTTTTGAATATAAGTTTTACTATATTAATAGCTTTAAAAATCATAATTGATATAATGTTTGATAAATTACATTAATATAATGATGAACAAATAGAAGCAAAATTATATGAAAAAGTTTCTTAAAATTGTAAAAATCATACGAAGCAACATATTTTAGAAGCTGAAACTGAGCTGTTGAAGAATTGGCTTTCAAACAGGAAGGATTGTAAAACATTGTAACTTGTTACGGGAAAAGTTTATAAGCAGAACTATAAAATTAAACAATCAGTATACATGCTATTGACAGAAAAATTGACAGCATTCACAATAAGAGATTAAATGAATCTTGTCATAATCTGAAATTATGAACTAATTATAGTCTTCTGTTAGTCTGAATACTGAAACTTTCCTTATTGTACTTCCAATTTTTAATTTTTTTATTTTAAAATAAATATTGTTAGTTACTCATCTAGATCTCCACTTGCCTACTTATTAGAGACAAAAACTCTTCTTAATGCTTTAAATAATGTGAATTTGATTGAAAAGCTTTTTCTCACACAGTAACTGAAAATGTGTTTGATATTTATAGAAACAGTTACAATAACAGTATTACATTAACTGCATGATCAACAAATATAATTGTATACAAATTGAAACCGCATAAAAAAAAAAAACAAGAAAAAGGAGAGCGAAAAAAATGAAGTCACCATTATTTTCATCCCAACTCCATAATTCCCATTCAAAGCATCCATACTCGGCATATCAGAGCCAAAGCTCACAGGTGTGCTTTTCTCTTCACTTTCACTACTGTCAGAAATGTCTATCAAAAGAAAATTACCATTATTAATACTGCATTTTCCAAAAACAAAACATATAAAAGGAGCCTACTGATAAGAACTTTAATTTTAAAATGCATTAATTAAGAAAATTTTTAAATAACTGAATTGCATGGATAACCACTAAGTGTAATTATTATTAGACGATTCTGATCTAAATTACTGGCTCTGTTTCAAATAAACTATTTTGACATTTTAAAAGTTTGTTTTAAAGAATGGTGATCAGTGGTTTGGGAATATCAATGGGATTCAGTAGAAACAATTAAAAATTAATAGTTCCTCCAATTGAAAATTTTAATTGAATAATAAATAACAAAATACAAATAGCCATACAACATAATTTGGAAAGAATCAGACCATAATCAAAATATTTTTTAAACTTGACAAAAAAGTTAAGCTAGTTATGGGAATAATATTTTAAGCAAGTAGATATCAAGAATTTCTATTTTTTAAATAAGAATCATAAAAAATCTACTTGTTTCTTTTGTTTTTCAGCATTTATACTTTCTCAAACCAATAATATGACAGTCAGGGTGATATTAGTTTTCATAATTAAACTACATTCTGCTTAGAATTGCTCATAGAAAAAACGGTTATAAGCTACCTCTTTCCACATAATGGGAAGGATTTTTGAAGCCCAACATCATCTTCTTATTGGGAGGTAATTCTACAGTATCTAGATGTTCATCTTCAGTATCGTCAGTACTAAGTCCTATTACAGAAACATGTTCAAATTAGTTGAAAAATAACTTTCAGCAAGATTGAATTGAATTCATTTATGAAATTAATAAAAATATTACATGATATATCAAGTATAAATAAAATATTGTAAATATACTGGAACAAAAATAGCTTAAATGCTATCTTTCATTATACAGAAAATGATTGGCTAAGTGAAGAGATTTTAAAAAAATAAATAATATAGAATGTAAAAAATACACTTGTGGAAACTTGGAAGCAGCAAACAATTAGCAAATAAATTATTCGTTTTCAATCGAAATAACAAACATTCTTAAGAAAAGATATTTTATGCTAATAAATATTCTTTTGCAAGATATCAGAATTGACAGAATTTTAAGGGCTAAATAAAAATACTGAGCATATTCTAATAAAGGGCGGGCAGTATAAGACAGGGATGAGATTAGCCAAAACGCAAAAAAGCTGAATTTCCACGATAGTAAATTTTACGCAAGCGCAACTCTATAATGAAAATACTTGTTACATTTTTGAGAAAAAACAGAAATTTTAATAATAAAAGTTAATAGAAAAAAGATATTAATTTAAGAAAATTAATCTACTGATCTTCACTCAAGAAAAATTTCAGTCCCCAGGACTGAAGAGTGGCACTCATGATCATGTGATTAAATATATCTCTATAAGAATATAACCTTCAACTATGAGCTTTAAAATTTCGCGATCAATCTTCAAAATTATTAAACAAATATGATGCAAAATTCGATGATATAGATCAACTAGATTACAATCATGGTAAAAACATAAGTGATTTTAGAAATTAATTCCATGAATGTTTTGCTAATGGCTGGAACAATAGATGTACCATAAAAGAAATGTTACCACTTGAAAAAGTAAAAGGGTAATAAAGTTCCTAAATAAAATAAAACAAGATCTTTAACAGCAAGAAAGTAAACAACAGTATAATACATTATACATCAAAATTTCAGAAATTGTATCTAGTCAAATTATATTTTGTCCATGCACAAATGTATTCGTGTACAAAAAATTAATGTTAAAAATAATGTCAAAGTTGCTATTAGTATTACAACTACACAACCAGTTGACTTATTTTAATATTATCTTTCTTTTATAAAATTTACTTTTAATATTAGAAACAAAAACTAACAGTTGAATAATTGTAAATAAAAAAAGAATGTCATATTGGTAATGTTAACTAATAATAATTAACAAAGAGAAATAAATAGCACCTTTGTAAATATGTAGTTATGAAAAAAATATTCTTAAAAAAAAGTTTAATAAAAACTAGATTAAAGAACAAAAANGTTAATAAGAATCGCAACACGCAAATATGAAAAGCTATGTTTGATATAAAAATCGTGTGAATAAGAATCGAGATATTAGCAGATTCCAGGCTTGGGACCTCTAAAAGGCTTGTCAGAAGCAGCGTCGTTTGAACTATGAAAATCGGATCTATCTGGAGGGTGGGTAAAAAATTCGGAAAATCTTATTTGCTGCGTGTAAAAGGGGAGAAAATAGGTAAAATAAGTAAAAATGAGAAGGGATTGGTAGCTATGTAGTTTGAATTTTCTGTTTCGCTTTGAAAATCGGTGAATTTTCTGAAAAAGCGGAATACTTATAAAAAAATGAAATTTTTAGAAAATCTGAATTTTTGATAAAAAAGCTGAAATTTAAGAGATAAAAGTGAAAAAAGCGGAAATCCGCTAAAAAGTGGAAAAATCTCATTCCTGATAAGATGAATTTTACATTCATTCATAAAGCTTATCACACTATTAGAGAACAGTCAAATAAAGTAGAAACAGTATTAGGGTGCGTAGCCAAATATTTTAGCAAAAAATAAACACTTTTTAAGTATTTTTCAAGCACTCAAAAAAATTTTAAGCACTATATACATTAACAAAATAACTAGTTTCTGAGAAATAACTTTTTTCTTGATTACATTAGCCACCATAAAAAATTGAAAGATTTTTCTGTTCAATTTCAAAAAGTGGAAAATGAAGCCTAAAATTGAGAATATCTTGCAAAACGCATCAGAGTTGCATATGAGAGTGCTAGAATCTCACCGAACCTTTTTCAGTTGACGCACGTGCAGACTCACAAATATTTAATCAAACATATAAAATTATTGGCATTTGCTTACGCCACGGACCTACGCATGCCGGAATGGATTGTGATTAAATGAATTATGAAAACATTGAATAGAACGATGTAAAAATCACACATTTGCATAATATGTGGCGAAAATCGACATGGTAAAGAAGAAAAAAATCTAATTTTCGGAAAGGAAATATTAAACACCTTTTAAAAACCTTCAGAGAAAAAAGCACCTTTAAGGGCTTTTAAAAATCGCAAATAAGCAACTTTAAGTACATTTCAAAAATGCTACGCACCACGAGTGAAAGTCGTAATACAGGGTGGTTCGAAAATGTGCATCAAAAATTTAAAGGCATGTAGAGGGGATTCTTTTGAGCAGATATTGTAAACTGTTTGATTCTTAAAGGTATAAGCTATTGGAAACTTTTCCTAAATTATTGCTTTTTTAGTTTAACAAACCTTCTTACTTTTTTGCGATTAATACTACTTTACACACTAGTGTTTGACACTACATATACACATCTGCATTCCTTTACAAAATCTGCTTTAGGTACCCTCTACCTGCCTTTACATTTTTTACCTTTAGTTTTGGACCACTCTGTGAGCAAACACCATAAGCAAAAAGAAAATAAGGTATGGCATTACATCTAATTAATGAACAACTATTTAATAAATGGACATCTGGGTTACAAGATATAATTGCTCTATCCAAAAAATCAACATATCTAATCAGGGGTCTGTCCAGGCCGAATTTACTACCGTTTAGCCGTACCTTCACAAATTCAACTTTAAGAAAAACGGTAATTTCACATAATACTTTTTCTTAAACTTTAATTTTTATATCCCTTAAGAAACGATAAATCCATATTTTTGTGTTGATTTTTTTAATATAATTTTTAATTTTTCACAAATTATGTCTTAATTTTCACAAAATAGGTACCTCTGAGAAAAACCTAGACAGACTCCTGCTAATAATGATCAACTGAAGAAAATTTTTTTTAAATGAAACATTGTCAGTCAAAACGGAATTAGAAAAAAAAAAATTACATAAAAATTCAGGTACATTTATAATATCATAACATACTTTCAGCATATTTATATGGACTCTTAAATGCTGTTAAATCAGGTTCATCTTCTGTATCATCAGTACTCAAACCTTAAAAAAAAAATAACCTATTTAGTATCACTATTAAATTTAACTTTTCCAATTGCTCTTAAACTAATTATAACAAAATGGTAAAAAAAAAAAAAAAAAACATAAAAAGTGATGATAAAAATACTAAAAACAGATGCAAAAAAAATAAGAACATTGATCCATCTCTCCCTCTTGCTTTATTCCACCGTATGTATTGTATTGTTTTAAAGGTCAAATCACAAAAGCTATTGTTATAATGTAAATAATACCCCTTTAGATCGTTTTTAAAATTAGCAGGTTCTTGTGTCTATTGATCAGAAAGTCTATCTACATTTAAAAAAGAAATATTGAAGTTAATTTGTTTAGAGAAAAGAAATCGTCACTCCTGGTGCTAAAAATGAAGAAAATCTGGATTTGTTACAGTTTCGATAAAATGCCTCAAACAGGTTTGATGTTTATGCATTGATTGAGGAAAATGTTCAAACTTGTGGTGTTATCGGTTCAAAAAATGATTGTAGAAACTGAAGAAGTGCAAAGTCATACCGATAAAGATTAAACAACACAACCAATTGGACAAACATTTGTAAAAGGCATGAAGCCTTTAAAACATTACCTTTCGCATTCAAACAAACTTCCAGAAAGTGGACAGCAGCCTGTAACAAATGTTGAAAATTCGCTGTTCGCAAAGAAAAATAACCAAAATTTCCTAATAAATAAATAAATATATTTATTTATCCTTCTTTTGTGTGAAAAATATTGTTGCAGGAAGTACATAATTTTTTCAATTAAAATTTTTTATACGTAATGTATTAATTTTCAAACATTTTCTAGTCATTACTTCATATTTCAAGCTGACCCGCATTCCCCGTTTTCCAGTACCTATCCTTCATAATGAATAGTCTGTTGAGAAATGATTGATCAAGGTTCTACTACTAACTAAAAATTCATCTAAAAAAATGAATAATTTTAATAAATTATAAGACAAACGCAATTTGAATAAATCAAAAGACTTAATTTACTAAAAAAAAAACTTTTTTTTAAATTATATGTTAATAAACTAAACAAAAGAAGACGGTTAGTTTACAAAAAAAGTTTATTTATTACTTCTTTTTAAACTGTTCTTGTCAAATTGCAGCTGATTCTGCAACCTTTTTCCATAATCCTCTTCACTCTCACTAGTACTAGAATCTAAAAGAATAAATACAAATTTCACAACTCTATTATAATGATAAACAGACACAAATTCATTTTGATGTTCTTATCACTTTATTAATTAAATCACGTAGAATAAATTATGTAACTGAATAACTTAAATTTTTAAAAAAAATAGCAAAGTAAAATTTTTTTGAAGGAACAACTTATCTTTTTACAGAAAATTCTAAATTTCAAATTATATACAAAAGAAGGGCTAAAAAGCTCTTAATGAAATATTGACTTTTGTCATACTCAAAAAATTTTTAATTCTTTGTTATTTTGAGAAGGGAGAGAGGGTGAACTTTTAGATCAAATTTGTTTAGATAGACCAGGGGTTTCCAACTGGCGCCCGCAAAGCCTTTTTTTGTGGCCCGCGAACTAAAATATATTAGATTTCATTTTTTTGCAAAAATTTTTTTTAAAAATCTATATAGGTTTAAAATACTTTTCTCGTTAATAAAAACCTAATTTCTTCGTTTCTGTGAAATTTAACAAATCAAGGGTGCAATGAAATTTATTTTTCAGGTTTTGCATCCAAGAAAATATTTATTCAAATACAAAAATAATTTATTCAAATACAAAAATAATCATGTATGTTGCTCTTCTTTATTTCATTTTTTTCGTATTTTGTGAATATAATGTGCGTATCAGAAATTTTCTATATTAATTCAATAAATAATAAGTAAAATATTTATTCAAATTCAAAAATAATCGTGTATGTTGCTCTTCTTTATTTCATTTTTTTCGTATTTTGTGAATATAATGTGCATATCAGAAATTTTCTCGAAGAAATTCTCCGATTTGACATTTTGAAACCACTCATTTTGGACGAAAATATTTAAACACACATTTGTAAATTTTAAATGTAAATATCTATTCTCTGGTAGTTGCAGCAGACAAATCTCAATTTTCTCATTGAATATTTTGTGTACTACTATGTAAATTTTAATACCTTAACAATTAGATATCTGTTGCACATTAATTGTTTCATACATAGGTGCGCACTTGAAAGTTATTGAAGCTCGAATTTTTATTATTTATTTAATATTTTTAAAAATATTATTAATAACAATTAAATATTTTTAAAAATCTACTTCTTATTTTACTTTGCAATTCAATACTTTTCGTTTTGTTCAACTTGATAAAACTCTGACAGTAATATTTAATGTTCCTTCAAATATAAAAGAGTCCTACACAAATTTTTGATAAAGTTGCGGCCCGCCATTTGATTGTGGCCCCCGGCCTCATGTAAGTTGGAAACCCCTGAGATAGAAAAATATTTTTAATCAAACAATTTCTAAGCACATTGCCAGAAAGGCAAAAAATTAAAATACAAAGAGGCTCTTATTTCAGACCAGTCTTCTAACAAACTTACTACAACACTTATACTTGCTTTAAGAATTTTAAAATAAACAATTTCTTAAATAAAAATTATTACAAAGCCAATTGTTTGGAAAAAAATGCTAGACCTGCAACTCAAATTATTTCATTTCCCCCTGAATTTTTAAGCATTTTAATTAAATTCTCTGATGTTTCCAAATTGATAAAACCATTTGAATTTTTAATATGGTATTTATAGTGCAAAAAAAAGACTGTTTCTTTGGAATAATAAACACCCAAGACTTTTTTTCTCTCAGAAAGGTTTACTATGTTAGTATAAACAATGTCTAAGTACACCCCCGTACACTTCTCCCTTTTTAGAAGTCAAATAGGGGTAAGGAAACATAAATGAAGAGGACATAAACTGTAAGGGAGCGGTATTACTCTCCAGTGCAGTTAGAGTGTCTGTGACGGGATGGGATCTAGTGTCAGAGAGAATAATTCGAGCTAGATTTAGAGGAAAACAAAAAAATATTTCAATTATTAATGTGTATGCACCTCCTAATGACAGTAATGATGATGAGAAACAAACACTCTACAGTGTTTTAATTCACAAGACATATTGATGGTTATTGGTGACCTGAATGCTAAAGTTGGATCAGAGAATGATGAAATTGAATGTACAATGAGAAGACATGGACTTGGAAGAATGAATGAAAATGGGGAACTTTTTATTGATTTTTTATATCACTAACAATTTATGTATTGAAGGAACAATGTTTCAACACAAAATTACCGATAAAGCTTATTGGATATCTTCCTGATAAAAAGACAAGGAATCAAATTGATCACAATATTGTTGATAGAAAATGGAAGAGGACTTTGTTAGATGTTTGTGCCATGAGAGGAGTAGATGCAAGTTTCTTAACTCAGACATCCAATTGACAACATTCAAAAACAATTAAGAATAATAGAAGAATCTTGAATTGATGGTTAGTTCAGAAAAAAAATTAGAATTTCTTTTTATTCCTCTTCCTATTTTTATTGCACAAGCGCAAATTACTATAGTATGAAAAACGGAAGGGTAAAATCCAGCAATTTGATCGAGTGTAGAATTCTCTGACAATGACAATTCCCAGATTTTAGGATAAAATTGTGTTTTCCCCTAACAATTCACTGATTCTTTTTTTCAAATCTCGTTTTCAATAACAAATCCCAGGGCTTACCAATCCGTCATTTTACTTTCAGATGATATCATTGTTCAATTTCCAAATTTTCATTCCAGATTATAAATTTAACAAGATCCGACTTTAGAAAAAGATTCATACTTGTTCATTATTTTATTTTTTAAAACGTCATGTCCTTATAAGGAGTAGCAAAACTTAGTCACGTTTTTAATTGTATGTTAGCAATTTGTTTTCTTATTTAATCCATTTTTTTAAGTAACGCATTGAAAAAAAAAAATAGCTACTCAAATTTAGATTATCACAGATATTTTATAACTCTCTTAAAATTATTTAATTTGAACTAATAAAGAAAACTTATTCATTTTATTTCGATGAATTATGAATTTAAGTACTAGTTCGGTAAAAGCTCTATGGTTTCTATATTTCCCCCTTCCCCATCGGCACAGCCAATTATGTTTTGAGTTATAATTTACTAAATTTTTCTGCTTATTTTTTAAATGGTTAAAATCAGCTCAACTATATTCCTACTTTATTCTTAAATAAAAGATAGCCATTTTTTAATTGTTTTCGTATTCCAATTAATATTCTGTAATTCTATTTCACTTTTTCTCAGTATATAGGAATATATTTTTCTTTTTATTTCTCCTTCATTTTCTGTTCACTGACATGCATGTGCAATGCATTTTTCTCACCCCCTCGTAAATCAAAGAGAAAACAAAATCAGCATGCTACTCCCTTATGTTTGATTGACAAAAGCGTACCTGAAAAACGAGGATTCCTTTAAACACACAGGAGAAAATAAAACATTTGTCCCTTCCCTGCCCACTCTCAACCTAAAGATCTTCAAGGCCAAGAAAAAAATATTGAAGTTTTCTCTCCATGAATCGGGAGAAAGAATACCCTCCCACACACACATTTTCCTGTGCACAATTTCAAGGGTGAATCAATTTTCCGCGTTTTTTCTCAATCGTTCTAGTTCAAATTGGCGGTAAAACCAAGCAAAATTTTTCTCAGATTTCTAGATACCGGAAAAATGATTCTGTACTGTAACATCAAAAAGCTTAAGTAGAAAACTTACATCAAGAATCTTACATAACAAGCGGTTCTATAAAATTTGAAATAAAATCCTTAGAAAAGCAAAACAGAAACCAATTGATCTGAAAATTAAAAACACAAATAGATTGGCCCTGTTCTACATAAACTTGAAAAGTTTAAAGTAAAACAAGTTTTTGATTTGAACCCTCAGGGCAATAGAAAAAGAGAAAGACCTAAAAAATACTTGGCGCAGTATGTTTGTAAACGAATTGAAAGCTATAGTAAAGACATAGAGAGAGCAGGGATTGCAGGTTTTTGACGGTTTAAACCATGGTTTAAAATGTCACGTCGAAAACCTCATTGTCAAAAACCTATATTCATATGTGACATTTAATTAATACATAAAATTTATATATTTTTTATAAAGGATAGTGTTTCTAAATATGTTCTAGAAAAAATAAATTTAAAATTTTGAAGAAACACTTATATTTTGAATAGTAACCAAAATCTTGTACTTTTGAAAACTCACATCTTTTGTAATTTTATGTATTCATTTTCATGTGTTATTGAAAATCTGCAGTGATATTATTAAGAAATTTATTAATAACCAAATTTAGTGTATAATATAGATTATACTGAAAATTAGACATTTTTAAAGATAAACATTAGCAGTTTTGTACATTAGACATCTTTTAAACAGGTTGCAACATTCACAATCAGGGAATTCGCTGAATACTATATAGTTTTGTTGAATATCTAAATATTCAGCTGTTGAATAATTACTTCTTGCTTTCAAGATATACATTATTTGTATTCTTAATACAAGTAAAGAAAAAATTAAGAGATAAAAATTGTTTCAAAATAATGATAATTGTAATAATTATAAATAAATATAATAAACAATATGAATTATATTTATCATTATTCATAAATATAACTACTTTTAAATTCAAATTAGCATACTGGATAATAAAGATCTTTGGTATAACATTAAAAAAAAATCTTTATACACTTGTATCAAGTTTGTATTTATGCAACATAACTTGTAAGTTCCTTATAAATATTAGTTATATGTTCCTTATAGGGTGACCTGGGGTAATTCCTCATCAAAAAACGCAATCATCTATTTTGTGAAAAAACTATTCAAAATAGAATTTTAATATTTACTGGAAGTTTGACACTATATGAGATGCGTCCTATGAGAAACGAAAGTTAATTG